ATTACAAGCAATGATAAAAACAAGGTACAAATAGTAACATGAACTGAAAATGACCACATTTCACAGTTGCCTAGATTTAAATTAATTCTAAATTACTATTTTGCATTGCACATTATTTTATACCTTAATTGAATTGACACGTGTGACCTTTGAGTTGTACTTTATCCCCAAACGATATTCTTGAACCAAGTTTGAAAAGCATCTTCAAATAGTCCTCAAGATTTCACAATAACAAAATTTTAAAAAGATGCGACAAGCTTTGCACGAAATCTACCAAAACATGATACCCCTAGCACCACCTCCGGCGGGTAAAAATAAAAACAATGTCTACTAAACACTCAGCAAATATTACTAACAAGGTGACCAGATTTTGAATCTTGAAAAAAGGGACTATTTCTGGGCTTTGACTTCTGGCAGAACAGAATGTTTGATTTGAAATACAAAACGATCCAGTAAAATACACAACGATCCAATAAAATAAAAAACGATATTGCATATCTGGTCACCCTGAATATCATGTCCTCTTAGCGTATTACTTTCATTGTGCTGAAACAAATTTCTCATGGCGAGGAAACGAAAATTACCATACAAATATGCCATTTGTCATAAAAGGCAAAACAAAGTATTGATGGGAATTGCATCCTTGTGAATATCATTACATCATGAATAATTATATCAAGTTGATGACTTTGCACCGAAAAATCTATTTATGTCATTGGCAAATCCCGCATACAAAAAAAAAGAAAGGTCATTTTATATTTTTTCTTTGCCTACCAACATAACAATTGATAAATGATGGAAAAAAATATCAAATTATTTGTTGTCATTATACATGTAAAGTGATTACCAGAGAGGAACTTGAATTAAGCTAGTGTTCATATCAAGTGAATTCTCATTGGAAATTAGTGTAAGATATAAAGCTTTTGAATGTCTGTAATCCTTGCTATAAAAATGATATCACTGCAAAAGAAAATTGGCTTTATTATAAATGCTTTAACACATATTTTATCTGTTTTTAATGATAACAGATACAATAATCATAAAGTAACCTGAGAAATATCATTGACCAACCTTGAGTTTCCAACTTTTTGGCAAGTTTTTATTAAGAATTTTCCAGATTAATATGAAGGGCTAAGTCTAAGCATAAAAAGTAAGTAGATCTTTCTTCTTTGAGCAAGCTAAGTTGTGAAATTTCTAACATAAAAATATTCCCACATGATTCCTTTTCCCCCACTTAATTGGTATAAACATCCAAACAAAGATAAGTTGTATTGGAGTGAAACCGAAAGAACACAGCATAGACTTTAAGTACCATGGTATTTGGGGGTCCAATTCCAATCATTATCATGTACATGTATGAACTTTGGCTGTAGTATCAAGGTAACATCAGACATCTAGTCACAGGGTCCATACAATGTTAGCTACACAACACAACACCGATCAATGCATGCTAGATCTCAAGTACTGACATCATAATATACATGTATATTGTAGATCTTTCTTCCCGATTGATAAGTTTATAAATCCCCCACCTCCACAGTTTTGCATGCATTTGTATTTTACAATGCATTAATAAGATCTTAAGACTACTACTTAAGGTTATTTTGTACTCTAGTAATTGAACAACTTCTAGAGTAGTTTTAATTTATTGAAAAAAACGTGAAGATGCATCATAGGAAATTAGTTCTATGACATATCATGATGAGATACTTTCAATGTCTACGGTATGTGGTTTGAAAACCTTGAAGTTAGCTGCAATTTTTTTCAATTGCAAAAAGATGCCAATTTGGCGATCAGTGCAATGTATATTTCAGACAGCCAGTGTGTGGAGCTGTCTTGTTTCTGACTGTTTGGTATTCTCCTACGTGTAGAGTAAATATGTATCATCACACAGCTTCATTTAAATTGCAAACATAATACAAAGACATTAAAAAAAACTGACTAAAAAAATGCATACATTAAAAAACATGAAAGCACATATCACACAAGGGTTCATATTCACAATCTATTAAACAACAGTCTAGACGAATGACTGCATGTATTATATACACCTCGTTACATAGGTACAAATGTCAATGGAGTCTATAAGGTTTCTGAAGTATTACCTTGAACAACAATAATATTGATAAGTTGTATGATCACAAACAATGCTATCCAATTACAACCATTCTGATAAATAATTTGTTTATATACAAATTCACACAATCATACAATCTATTCCATATATAATTGATAAGAGCTACACTGAGCTGAACAAAATGACCTACTACAACACACTCTCTTTCATATCAATATATATATATTAAATATTTTTGTAGCATTTCCAGAAATCATATCTTTGGTAATTACCATATCCTTGAAAAACTAAATATTTCGATTCTTATGCACCAGGTTACAGTATTATAGATATAATCAAACACTTTCTACAAATGTATACCGTACTGTTCTTGTTGATATTCTATAAAATTGTCTGTAACAAGGTAGAATATTGCTTGAGTAAAAATGATAATAATAATAATAGTGGGTTCTTGTATAGCGCTCATGTCTGTCAAACTTGACACTTCTAGTGCTTCACAATTATTACCCGACTTCAGCATGCATGGCTGGCATTACGGCACTCCAGCATTTTAAGGAATTAATTCCTGCCAGTTACCACTTTTCCTCACCTGGATTGCGATTGGCAAATGTAGATTAATGTCTTGCCAAAGGAAGTTAGTGCTGTGGCAGCGATTTTAACCCCCATGGTTCATAGTCTGGTGATTGCCACTAGACCGCAACACCTCCACAATTATATTTTAATACAAAAACCTAGAGCTAAATCTCTCTCTCTCATTCTAGTATTGCAAATATTCCTTGACCACTACAAGAGCAGGACAATCAGATGATAGTACATAATTCTTCATAAAACAAACTTAATTTTCACTAACAAATATTTCAAGAACAGATATTTCAAGATTAATAAGGTCTGGGAACACCAGGTACCTATTAAGTACTGTTACTTCTACACGTTGTGAAATGAACATCCTCACATTCCTCACTGTTACTGTATTGTGTCTTGTATTGCCAGACTCCTGGTACATTGCACATTTCTAATTATGTAGATATACAGTACCAGTATATTAATTCTTTGATTTCCATTAGATTTTCTTTTTTGCTTCAGCAATTTTTTCCTTTCTCACTTGTAATACATTTAATTACATATCAAATACATCTACAAATATATCAGTTTTTATGGGCAAGATCATAAGGGGGAGTGGGGGGGGGGGGGGGGGAGATTCCTCAAAGTAGCAAATCCAAAGATTCATTACAAGCTAGATATAAACTATTCATAGGGAAATCCCAACGTGATAGCACACTAGGAAAGCAAAAAAATCAGAGGAGTAGACTGGTGAAAATTAAATAAAAACAGAAATCAGTGATATTTTCATACACGGTATACAAGAGTGTTATTCGCGACTACGTCACAATCCACTGACCAAACTCGTAGTTTGAGATTCGCATAAAAGTGATCTCATATTTCAAACGTTCAGACTTCAGAACTGTCTTATCATTGGTCTGATGTATTTCAATCTGTTGCTATCCTGTTAAACTTATTTTCTGCTTTCATACAAATGAACTTAATACAAGCGTTGAATTGCCTTATAAGTTATAGCCAGAGAGATAAGCATGTTCCCACAGAACTCTAATCCTATACAATGGAGAATAATGAAAATAGAACGTAGCATTTAAATGTTCACTGTATACATAATAAGCACTAACATCACCAGGAAGACTGGTGTACAAATCTACTCATGTATAGGATTAGTCATGTACAGGTAAAAACCCTTATGAGTTGATACAATATTTACAGGACAAATTTGACAATAATGAGGAAATCAATCTCTGTTTACATGTATGTTTCTACAGGTGAATTTAAGCATGCAATTCTGGGCTTAGTCTCATTTAAAAATCAAGGGTAATCACAATATGAACACGCTTCCCACTAATTATGGACTCAATGAGTACACTACAGGGTGTATTAACAATGAATGTTGACTGTCATTGTAATGGGTGATCTATATAAGCACTGAACTGTGAATATTATCGTAATGGGTAATCTATATCAGCACTGAACTGTGAATATTTTGTAATGGGTAATCTTTATCAGTACTGAACTGCGAATTTTATCGTAATGGGTAATCTATATCAGCACTGAACTGTGAATGTTATCGTAATGGGTTATCTATATCAGTACTGAACTGTGAATGTTATCGTAATGGGTAATCTATATCAGCACTGAACTGTGAATGTCACTGTAATGGGTAATCTATATCAGCACTGAACTGTGAATGTCACTGTAATGGGTAATCTATATAAGCACTGAACTGTGAATGTCACTGTAATGGGTAATCTATATCAGCACTGAACTGTAAATATTATCGTAATGGGTTATCTATATCAGCACTAAACTGTGAATGTTATCATAATGGATATCTATATCAGCAATGAACTGTGAATATTATCTTAACGGGTAATCTATATCAACATTGAACTGTGAATATTATCATAATGTGAAATCTATATCAGCAGTGAACTGTAAATATTCTTGTAATGGGTAATCTATATCAGCACTGAACTGTGAGTGTCCTTGTAATGGGTAGTCTATATCAGCACTGAACTGTGAATGTCTTTGTAATGGGTAATCTACATGTATTCAGTGAGTAAGTGTGAATATCATCGTCATGGGTATTCAATATCAGAACCTAACATTGCTGTGTAACTTTTAGCTTATCCTTACTTTTTGCAAAGTCTTGATTTTTCCTCCAGTCTATCACTTGTTTAAGACAAATGAGTTAAGTTTACCGTTACCATTGCAAGTCCTGAATCCAATACACGTGCCAACGACATTGCTATTAAAGCCCCACTGCACTACTTATAGCTACTTGCTCCTTCTATATAGCAAACAATGCATTATCGGTGACCATTGGTCCCCCATGATCCTCTTTTTCTTATGTTAATTGAGGGCTGATTTGATGAGATAACCACCTGTCAGTGACCTTGCAGGGTGGTCCAATCCCTCCTGTAAACTAGTACAGATGGGCTTTAAGACACACTACTACCACCGCTGCTGGTTCGTAGCCCGTGACCTGCCATCATCTGCCTCACTGCCATGATCTCATTGTCAATGTACTTCTCCATGTTCTCCTCCCCCTTCAAGAACCTCTCCAACTTGTCAATACATGCATCTTGATAATCATGGATCCATCTAGATAAGAAGAAGGACGAATAAACATTCAATGTTAATAATTAGGATATTACCAAGATAATGAGATAACAACAACAGCAATGCTACTACTAACGATAATAATAGTGGGTTCTTGTATAGCGCTCATGTCTATCAGAATTTACACTCCTGGGGGGCGTTTCATGAAACAATTAATCAGTGGTTTTCACCGACTAATATCATTTTCACTGACAAGTGTCACCGACCATTTTCCAGGCCTCTGATTGGTCAAATTTAGTTAGCGCTGACAGTTGTCAGTGGACAAATGTTGATGAAACGCCCCCCCTGGTGCTCCACTTATATACTCCCTACTTCAGCATGGCTGCCAATATGGTACTCTAGCATTTCAAGGAATGAATTCCTGCAAGGTACCAATTTACCTCACCGGGGGGGGGGGGTGTTTCACAAAGATCCTAAGTAGAACTTAACACTAAGTTGGACTTAAAAATTATGGACAGCCATTGGAGTCTTAAAATTAAATATATTCAAAAGCAGAAATTCAAGTATTTTAGACTTTTTATAAATCTACTTGATGATAGATAATATGAATGATTTGAATCAACATTTTATGCCTTTCAAATAACTTTTACAAAATATTTTCAAAGATGCTAACGGCTTTCCATAATTTTTAAGTCCAACTTAGAGATAAGTTCCACTTATGATCTTTGTGAAACACCCCCCTGGATCGAGTGTGCTAGAGGGTTGATTTGAAGTACATGTACATGTAATGTTAAAATCTATATTGGGAGATCACTTTGAAATACCAAAAAGTGACTAATGTTGCTATGCCTTCCTAAATATCTCAATGAAAGCTACTTCAAAATCTAATTAAACCATTCTATCTCTATTTGAGCTCAGAGGGTTCACTACATCATAGCTATCTTTACTGATATGATATATTCTGGGGATGCCCTCAATCAAAACATTATGACCGTATTCTACCAAAAGCCTATGTTGTGTGTTAACGTGCCCCTCCCGTTTCATAGATGCAGACTATCTTAGGTGGAAAACACTCCACCCCTAGAATAGGACGTTAAATGGAGGCCCCGTGTAGAGGAGAGTCACCACCTTTGCACGTTCACAACCCACAGCACTATTCATCGAAGAGTAGGGGGACCATGATCATGAAGTGCCTCAAAAAAGTAAAAATATTTGAGTGTACGGTTTTACCATACTCATTTTCCCCAATAGACTGTAATGCTATAAAAAATAACATTTCGATTTCCAATCATAAATATCTTGATAATCAGACAGGCGATTGGCTTGTAAAAGTCATGGGATTCCTGACTGACCTATTAAAGGTTTATAATTATTATTGCAGCATGAGCTAAATCCAGGATTTTTTTTCAGAATCTGAGGCAATGTCACTGAGTCACTGTAACCGAATTAGTAAAATATGGATCGGTGTGTGCATAGTAAAGACTTACTTGATTCCGTTGAAGAAGCAGATACCACGCATGTCTTCAGGTAGGTCATCAGGCTTGGGCCACTTGAAGTTATCGATGACCGGTACAATGTTACATTTACACTCTAGAGCTGTCACAATCTCCTGTGGGTGGTCAAATATTGATAAGAGGGTGTGTTATTGTAAATTTGCCGCTCTACACCCAGGTGTATATGGATAATTGATATGGTCGAATACTAGCTTCTTTGGCGGCTCGGCTAATAATAATAATAATAATAACTGGTGTAATAATATCAAAGCGCTATGAGCATCACCCCATGATGGATATAGTAGTAGTGGTGATTATTTTACCTAACTGCTAAGAAAGAATAAATGCATGTAAGTAAGCAACCAGATGGTCGACGGCTTTAGGTCCTCTCCGAGGGACCTGGTAACGAGGATTAATGCCTTACCAAAGGGCACTAGCGCGTTGACTTGGTTTATGAGAGCTATAAAGAAGCCTTTATCATTATTAATACGGACATTAATTTCTTTGACTGAACATAGCATTTATGTAGTATTCTATGACAAAGACAGTGTTTTGATATAGGTTTGAATAATGCAATGGCCTATTCAGATGACTGCTTGATACACACTATCACCATGTTTAAATTTCAAACCTTAAGTAGTTCTTGAGATATGGCGGGAAAGCAGGATGGACAGACGGACAACCCAAATTCATAATGCCTCCAGCACCACCTTCGGTTAGCGGAGGCATAACAAAACAAAATATGGTACCGTCGCACTTGGATTGTTCTTGAAAATAAGTGAAAAGATATGTTTTAGCTGCTAAAGTGAAACCAATATCTAGCATTAGCAGGGCCACTGGGAATGAAGGATGCTGTACCTATTTCGGCTGCAGGGAGTGTGATCAACAAAATCTTCTATGTGTTGTAGCAATGTTAACTACATTTATATATCTGGGAGGTGTTTCACAAAGATCCTATAAAGTCAAACTTAACTTAAAGTGTGACTTAAAAGTTATGGACAGCCATTTGTAGCCTTAAAAAAATATTTTCCAAAGTGAAAATTGAAGTATCTTAGACCTTTTATAAATTCCACATCAAGAACATTAAAACTCCTTGATAATAGAAAATATGTATGATTTGAAACACTATTTCATGCCTTTTAAAATAACTTTTACAAAATATTTTATAGATGCTAACGGCTTTCCATAACTTTTGGGTCCAACTTAGAGATAAGCTCAACTTCGGATCTTTGTGAAACAACCCCCTGATGAATCGATAGTCATTTCTTTCATGCAAACTGTCTTACCCGATGGACCCAGTCTTTGTGATCTCTGTCTCCCATGCATCTATCTAGGGAGCCTGAGGAGAGCACCATCACAAAGCTCTTAGCACTTCTCACACTGTTCAGGAGATTGTTGTCAAATTTGCCCGCCTCTAGCTTCTCCACATCGATGAAGACCGTGAAGCCACGTAACTGCAAGTGTACCTTTAGCAAGCTAGAAAGGAAGTAAGATATGAATAAGGTACATTAGACAGAATATTAGTTACTTTTTAAAACTAAACATAATTCAACATTACACAGGACAAAACTTTTAAATAGAAATCTATCAGATTTGGGTATAACTTCTCTTTTTTTTTACACACACTGCATATAGCCTGCAAGTATTAAAGGCATCATTTAACAATGTTAAATCTGAGATGCATGGCCCTACGTGTTTTCAGTGACTGTAATATGGTGTAATATTGAAGCCCTATAAATTGTGCTTCAAAATTATCATAAAGTGCTTCAAAAGGGTAAAAATCTTTGAGTGACCGGTTTCACCATACTCATTTTCCCTAATAAACTTGTATTGTTATAAAAACCAGTAGGAAAACAAATTCTAAAATTTCGATTTCCAATTATAAATATCTTGATAACCAGACAGGCGATGATTGGCTTTTCAAAGTCATGGGGTTCATGTATGACCTAAAGGTTTATAATTATGATTGCAGCATGAGCTAAATCCACGATTTCTTTAGAACCTGAGGCAAAGTTACCGGATCCCTTTAAGGAGAGAAAAGTCAAATACTTTGGTCATGTTAAAAGGCATCAAAGCCTCTTAAAGGATGTGTTGGAGGGAAGAGTGGAAGGAACTACACCGAGAGGGGGACACAGAATCAACTGGGAAGAGAATGAACTGGAGTGCACCAGAATGGCAGAAGATAGAGTGAAATGGAGAGATGTTGCAATCAACCTCCGGACCGGGAGAAGATACTTTGATAGATAGATAGACATACCTTGCTAGTAGAGACCCGGTTGCTCTCCTGTAGCTTATGAACACATCTAAACTCTTCCTGGGCTGGTTTTTAGCATCACCTGCATCAGTCAACTGTTTGTCTTCGTTCTGAGGGCTGTCAAATACTTTAGGGTAGTAATCAAGTCCTAAAACAAAGAAAGTTATTAAAGATACATTACTTTATCTTGAACCTACTATAACTTGAGACTAGGTAAGAAACAGAAAATCAACAGAAAACATCCAGACTGATATATTCTTAAACCGGATTAAACAGCAAGTTCAGCCCTTTAAAAAAACCATTTTACCAATACCAGTACTTCAATTCAATTTTATTCGCCCAAATCAGATTAAATTTAAATTTTACATGTGATTTGGTTTACAAGCAATAAAATACATAATATATATAAACCACAAAATCAGTATTAGTCAAATAATCAGTGATGAATATATATAGACTTGCAGAACTTAGAGTAAAATAAAACAAAGCATGATTAATAACATTAATAAGAGATTAAAGGGTGAGAGGCATGCACATGATTTGAAAGCACTAGAAAACAGAGACAGAGTGTGATAGAGGAAGGATGGCAGGGGGTAGGGGTCAGAAGAAGGGGAAGGGTATATAGAGAGAAAGGGAAAGAGAGCTGATGTGAATTAAAGAATGGAGAAGTAGGGAAAGTTGTCGAACGAAGAGAGAATATCATATACCGTATATAACGGTGTATAAACCGCACTTTTTTGCCGCCGAAAAAATTTCAAAGTCGGGGGTGCGGTTTATACACGGTTTTTTTTTTTTTTTTAAAGTTTCAATTTATGCCCCTCCACCTGGCGCTATGCCTGGCAATGTCTCCCAGCTCGGTAATCGGTGTGTTGACTCACCACTCGGAAACTAGAACAACACTCAAATTTGTCTGTCATCTTGGTTTGAAAGTAATCTTTCTGATAGATCTCAATATGTAGTTTATAATAATAATTCCTCCAATTTTTCTTCTATTACATGGTGTACCACAAGGTTCTATCCTAGGTCCCTACCGTTTTTTAATTTACAGTACCGTAATTTGATTTTTTTTTTTTTTTTTTTTAAGGGCGAAAAAGAGGGGTGCGGTTAATACACGAGGGCGGTTTATACAACGTTATTTACGGTACACGGTCGGCGATAGCCTACATAATCAAATTTACTATTACATTACTGAAACCTGACTGTACAAATTTAGCGTTTTAAGACGAAATGGGATGGGAGGAAGGAATGGGAAAGATTTTGGATAGGAGATGCAGAAAAAGTAGACATCAGGCATTCAAAGGATCAATAATCATTCAGTCATTATTGCTGTTTTAGTTAACATTAATTTAAGAGGTTACAGTCATGTTTGGCACTCAAACAGATTAAGAAATCCCACTATCAAACTGATTAACGTTTTCATAAATTGATATATTAGTGTAACAGAAAAACAATGGAAAAAAGGTAATTCAATAAGAAAAGAGCTGGGTTAGTAAAAAGGAAAAGAAAGGGAACGCCGTAAGTACTGAACACCATTATTGAATAGCTCCTTTTTTTAATATGATATAAAGAGAGCTGATATCTGTGTTGATTTTCGAAATTGTTGCTTTTAGAATATATTCCTTTACTTCATATTAAGTTCTCACTGCAAACTGCAACAAACACCAAATTGTGGAAAATGGATCCGTATATACCGAAGCTGTGACATCATAAAAATCAATTTTTTAGAATTTCTCAATTTTTTCTCCATTTTCCGAAAGAACATCAAAAATAATGTCAAAATGTCAAAACCAATTGAGTAGTATTGGCTGACATATGACCATCTGAATAAATAGATTTCCTATAGGAACTCAGGGTTATTTTACTCTGGTTCATAACATTATGAGCCAGAGCAACATAACACTGATGTGGAATTCATGAAAAGTCTAAAATACTTGAAACTTTGCTTTTGGATATATTTTATTTTATGGCTATAAATGGCTCTCCATAATTAAGTCCAACTAAGAGTTAAGTTCGACTTAAGAGATAAATATTTATTTTGTCTTTAGAAAATTTAAAACTAAAGATGACAGGATTTTTTATATTTTTTTTCAGAATTTTTTTTCCCCAATTTTTTTTTCTTCTTCAAAGTAGGGGTGCGCCTTATACACAGCTGCGCCTTATACACAGAGATTTACGGTATATTGTCTTAATATTAGTTAATACGTTATTCTTAACAAAATCGATACTCAGATTGGCCACTTCACACAAACCCAGCTTACCTCTCTTACCAGTAATATTTTTCATCTTAGCAGGTGACCCCGGGAAGGAATATGGATTGAAAGCTGGATATAAAATAAATAAAGATGGGAGTGGCACATAACAAATACAAAATAATAATAATTAAACATTGCACAAGAAATGCCACATGAGGGAAAGGGTTAACAAATAAAATTCATGTTCATGCAAATCATATTACAATGGGTAGAAGCTGCATAACAGAAACACATGCAGTAATAAAAAGTACAATGAAAGATATTAATTCTATAAGTAATGAAATAAAGAGATTACACTGGGATGAAGTTATTTTAGCCTTTAGGGCTGGGACTGAAAAACGGGTGCCTAGGTCAACCCCGTCTTTAACCCATTGTCTATTGGAACTGGATGGCCCCTGTATTAAGCCTATGGCAATGAATAATTTCAGTAGTTAACAGGTTAAAAATGATTTGATTGGCTTGATGTAAAGAAGAATTTTTAGAAAGCCATTTAATTTTCTTTACATGATCTGTGTTTCAAAACATAATTCTTTCATCCTGCATGAATCAAACTGGCAGCTTGCATGTTCTCTTTCTTTTTCTAATTTTGCCCCAGTTTGTGGCATGATGATAGCACTAAATATCACCAAACATGGATGAAAATAACTTCAAATGAGATATTCCGGTATTAACCAAGGTATGCATGTATATTTAAAGGTATTGGCTGCTACACTTGGTCAAATTTAAGCATGTTTATCGGAACATTTAGATCTATTAATAGTAGTAGATCTAGCAGATGTTTTCTGTTGTATCATTTTCGGGGACCAGGATACAGGCTTTAAATTTGAACGGGTACCTGAATTAAAAAGATACTCGAAATTCCCAGCCCTAATAGCCTTCAGTATCTACTTATAATTCTGTTTGTGGTTTGATGTGGTGACTTACGCAAGGGTCTACCTGTGCATACATGGGCGACATAAAGAGGTGCAAATCCTTCTTCACAAGGATACAAGTGCAACAATTTAACAATAACGATAAACCTCCTAAATTGTTTTAGTCCTCTAAAACCACCTCCCTGGAATGCAGCCAGGCTGTAATTCACTCGTTTCGGACCGATAAACATGCCAATGCATACTATAACTTTCAAAATTGCTAAATTATATGGTTCTCTATCATCAACCCTTGGGATGCCATGTAGGATGAACATTTTTCTGCAGGAGTAGTCCTGGCTTACCCCATGGATGTATAGCCTTGAGTATCTTCATGCGATGGACACCGTTGGTGATACCCCCGTCATCTTTGAGGTGTATGTCAGTAACGAAGGGCAGGAGCTGAATGTCGATGCCACAGTGCATGAGATTGTGAGTGTACTGTGGATATTCAGGACCCAGTGACTTAAGCCAGTCATAGAGATCCTTATCTCCACTGTTAGAGTTGCATTTGAGCTGGCCCAACTCACGCAGGAATCTAACAAAGAGAGGTGATAAATAATACTGTCATATAGAAATTATACAAACGTGTTGAAACTTGAAAGTGGGACCATGTCATTTTTCCCAGCTAACCAATAAATGTGAAATCTGTGAATGTCTGGCCTTTTCTCTGTAACTCCCAGCACTAAATGACATTTTCATTTTTAAATAAACCAGGCCCCGTTGTAACAACTTATTATTAAACAACAACAACAACAACAAACCTGTGCAAAACACTCACTCAGATCTAGATGTATTTAAAAAATATGTTGCTAGAAAGTAGAATCTCACATTTTACTCTTATGAAGTCTCATTTCCCTCAGTGGCGAATGAACTCGGACCAAAGTTACAAGATTTTTCAAAAATGTAATCGTTGTGTATGTTATGAAAATATTTCCTGCATAATGATAGAATTTACAATCACTATGAACATCACGGAAAAAGAAAGCGGACAAAATATACAGTTCCTCAGGTAGACAAAGGAACATCCCTTCACTGCTATTATGTACAAAAGGTGAATATGCATGTGACACCTGTTCTACACATTTTTACATAATAGCAGTGAAGGGATGTTCCTTTGTCTACCTGAGGAACTGTATATTTTGTCCGCTCTCTTTGTCAGTCATGTTCATAGTGAATGTAGTTTATCTGAGAAGTACTTGACTGCTATGAGAGGCATCGCTGTTTCTATAGGCTCAAGGGGACGTTACATCCTGCTATGACCCGGGGCAAGGGGCATCTTTCTCATTAACTATTGACCGTTAGATGGGCATGGCTAAAATCACAACTCTAATTTCGACCAATCAGATGACTTGATTTATTCAACATACTAAAGAGAAGTATATAATTGATACTACCCCCCCCCCCCCCCACCCCTCCCCCCATTTAACCAAAGTTATCGTCTTAGAGGGAACAAACCTTCTCCTGAGAAGACTACTCTCCATCTCAATATCTCTCATCAATTCAGTCTCAGTAATAGTCAGGAGTAGGTCTCCATCTACTTTGTGATTCTCAAATCCAAAACCAAAACTGGCAAAACCTATTGAATATAAGGAAGAGATTGCATGGTTATGATTTTCCACTACATCTAAAGGTGTTCACTGAAATATCTACTGGACTAGCCCAACGTCTAGCAAAAACAACTGGGGGGTGTTTCACAAAGATCCTATTAAAGTTGAACTTATCTCTAAGTTTGACTTAACAATTATGGAAAGCCGTTAGCATCTATGAAAATATTTTGTAAAATTTATATTTAAAGCTACAAATGTCCATAATTTTTAAGTCCAACTTAGAGTTAAATTTGACTTAAGATCTTTGTGAAAGTACTCCCTGGACTGAGAAATGGATTTTCTGTTATAGAATAGATCTTTAGCGGGCATCTTACATGAGTACTCAGTCAAGTTGATTAGCGGGTAGCTTTAATACATGAGTACTCAATCAAACTCATAAGATGGCATCTTTAATACTAAACCCTGTTCACTGGATGGCATTTTATGAGGACTCCTTAAAGTGACTCGGTAACATTGTTCAAGGTTGATGAAAAAATTGCTTAATTTTTGTATAAAATGTTACTTATTATATTCCTTCTACTGTACTAATCCTCCGACATGCAAAAAAATTTCTTTCAACCATTTAAAAAACGTTTTTCCACGAAAAAAAGACATGAAACAGGCTATTAAAAATCTTTCAACACTTAAATGTCTGGAATGGTATGTAGAGCCAACGTATTGCTTTGTGACAATTTACATTCACCTAAAATGTAATTAGATTGTAATAATATAGTTGGGAGAATTAAGGAATCGATCAGATTAATTTTTTCCTAATTTGTATCATTAATAATGGTCCGTTTTCACTCAAATTGTCAGATTATCTTTAATTGTACATCTAGCATTGAAGTCACTACCTTAATTAGCACCACTTTCTCTCATCTGAACAATGTTACCAAGTCCCTTTAAAGATCATCATATGCATGTAAACCTAGATCCTATAATGAGGACTTACAGTAGTCAAACTATGGTTGCAATAAATGAATGAATAAAATGAAATGCGAGCAAATTATTCAAATGCTTATGAGGAATAATTAAAACCGGTGAAAGAGAAAGTATAGAGATCTCCTAATATCATCCATTTCTCATACCCTGTGACCTTTGACCTACCAATGGTTTTGACCCACATCTGAACTTCCTTCACACTCCAGCAGGAAATATTGAAGGACAGCTTGCACGGGATCTCTTCCCCGATCGTGCGAAGAGCCTGGATGGCCAGCTTGGATGCTATCTCATTGTTACTGCTGGCTACCTGCCGTAAGGAGCCTATCACGTTTATATCATGGAAAACCTGCAACAGATTACATGGATATGGAGAATCAAAATTAGGTTTTGTTTTTGTTCTTGGTTCTTGAATCAAAATTAGAAATATAAATTAAAGCAGAAGTCTAATATCTTCTACTCTGAATTAATTTAGAATGGATACTAAATTTGGTTTAAAGCCCCACTGTCCTACTTGTAGCTACTTGCTCCCTCTATATAGAAAACTTCCCCAATCGGTGCCTGTTGGTCCCCCATGATCCTCTTTTTCTTATGTTAGTTGGGAGCTGAGTTAATGAGATAGCCACCTGTCAGTGACCTCGTTGTGTGGTCTAATCCCTTCTGGCCCAGTAGTATTGACGGTCTTTAATAATAATAATGATCAACAACCTCATCATCATCAGAATAAATAATAACTAATAGTTTATAAAATCATAACAGTGATTAAAGGGTCCATGAAAAAAGTGAAAGACTTGAAAGCAAGACAGCTGAAGGCTGATCAGAAAAATAAAAGGCTTGAAAAACGGAAAGGAAAAGTGATGCATGGACAGCATCTAAGACAGACTAAAGAATTTGCAGGACCAGAGAGTTGGCAGTGGCTGAAAAGACAAAGCGGACAGCCCCAGTAGGTCCAAAAAAAAAACATTTGGGATGTTATGTATCTGTCTGATATAAATTGTATCTTACCTTAGTTCTTCCTTGATCCTTCTTAATGATTGCCTCCATGGCGAAGTGGAATGCAGCGAGACACTTGGCCTCCCGCCTAGTACATTCTAGTAGAGGTACGAGCCTGGTGAGCCATCCCTCCGATCTACCCTGAGAATGGGCTTTGTCACTCCTTGCAAATTCACCAGGATCATGGGTGGTCACAAATGGTTCCACCAGGTCCAGGGTGCCAGAGCTGACAACCTGTCGTTCAATAGCCTGATTGGATGCCAGGACAGCAATAGCCAGGCAGGCATAGTATCGGATGCTGTTGTCCGAGTTGAAAGCAAGCGGGAAGAGCCACTCTGAAGTGCGGAATTCAATCATGCGCTGCTGGTTGGCAGAGCCACCGTACATTGCGCAATTAGCTAGTGCAGCAGCACAGTGACGGAGAGTGATATTGTCACTCATTCGACAGCTGTAGAGAACAGCCTGCAGTCCACCACGGTCAATAACCTTTGTGCAGGTGTCCTCCGAATGCTTGAAGAGGTTCTCCAGGATTCCCATGCCTATTTGCAGGAGTGTAGGTTCTTTTCTAGAACAAGCTAATTTCACAACGGATTCTAGGCCTTTCCTAACTACAAAGTCACGGTTATTAGCTGTCATTATCTGCTCTAGTAGCCTAGCGGAATTAAGCTGGAGGGCTCGGTCATCGGATTTACAATTTTTAAGGAGAATATCTAAGCCACCTTCCATTCGTAATGCATCACTAATGCTGTAGGCCAAGTCACGACCATATTTTGGGGTGCTCCAGGCATCATCTACCATCCTATAGAGCTGTTGAGTGGCTTCTACTACTTTCTCTGTGCACAATGTATCCTGCTTCAGCTGCTGGATCACATCCTTAGCTAGAGTGACAGTGCTCTCCATCCTTGTACCATTCCCTGTAGGTGGAGGGGACGAACACTCGGGGGATCCTGGCTTGGTTGACATTCTCTTAAACTTTCCACTACGTTTTGACGATCTAAAACTACCTCTAAAGGAGGAATCTACTACCTCATCTCCTAGTCTATCGAGGGTCACCACTTCCTTATTGGGTTGGACATCTAATGAATCTGGTGTCACAACATCATGGGTCTTCTTTACCCTGAGGCTTCGGCTACGCTTTGGAGAGGAGGATCCAGCGTTACGTTTGAAGGAGCTCCACACTGTCCTGGACTGCCTTGGAGGGGACTTGTACTCGAAAGAAGAATCTGTAAATGGATTCTCCGTCATCGAGTCTGTGGAAGGTGATAGAGGTTCTTTAATAGTTTCTTCTGGTAGCAATTCGGGGGAAGGTGCTGTCAAAATTTCACTGTGTGGTGGAGTTGAGGCTACTCTGACTCCTTTCTTGCTGCAATGCACACCCATCAATTATCAACCTATGTAAAGGCAGTCTTGCTTCTGAAGAATAAAGTAGCCATTCTGCAAAGACAAACACAAAGTACATGTTAAAGATTAATTTCATATTTCATGAATACGGTGTTGATTCTTCTGAAAGGTACTTTTGTTCATTCATTGTCATCTTTGAGTGACATCCTTGCATAAAATATGGAATGCTATAAATTTACAAGTTTAAACATGAGCACAAAGAGCAAATAAAGTAAATTTTATTTTGCATTACATTGTACCATTCATGAAAAAGAAGGATCTAATTGAAAATACCGGTAAGCATTTAAATCTCTTAATTGGCAATATAAAGTGAACAGTATTATGTTTTAATATGCCTCTACCACTGAGGTGACGGAGGTGTTATGTTTTGGCTTGTTCGTCCATCTCATTTTTAATTATCACATGTACTTGAGAGCCGTTTAATTGATTTTAACCGAAATTTTTATAAGTATGTACATGGGAATGTAAAGATGAACTGGATGGGTTTTGGATGTAAGAAATCAAAGGTCAAAGGTCACAGAGTTAGAAAATGTTAAGAAAAATCTCCCAAATATCTTGATATACTGTACAAGATAACTTTAAAACAACAAAGCAACCTGGCTTAAATGTCCATACCTTTATAGGCACATACATGTACTGATGACCTGACTACATTTTGGATGCAAGACTGTAATAACTTTAAAGTTTTAAAATGAATGAAACTGTTTTTACTAAACTTGACTCAAAAATGAATAAAAGAACATAAGGATGAACTGATGAAGATTCTGAATATATATGCATAAGGTCAAAGATCAAAAGTCACAATGTCATTTATAACTATGTAAAACAAAAAATCCATGCTACAATGTAGGTAAAAATGCCAGAGGAAAACATGTCATAGGTAAAAAATATCAGAGGTGAAAATATCAGAGGTGTATACATACATGTACATGTATGTACAGTATGCCAGAGGTAAAAAAAAAAATTGAATTTTTATAAGTTTACTGTCTTCAGTACTTTCACTACACAATGATTTCTAAACCTTTTACAACATTCTGTCACGTGCCTCTCACTAGCTTCCCCTTATTAATAATTATGTCAATGCTCTTAAAAATTCATTCAGTTTTTTTTCTCTGTCAACTGAATTGTGAGGCATAACGACTTGAAAACGTGATAAATCTTTCTAAAATATTTAATATCCTGTATGACACAACAACATTTATCAAAACGATGTTATGCAGACTATCCATAACAAATGTAAAAACAAGAGTACAAGACTTTATATGTGGATAATAAACCTCATGAGGAAGAACAGCTTTTCGTAGTCACATTTGTTTAAACATAGCATGCAAACATGAACATAATCAATATTTGGGAAGTAATGATATTTACATAAGTACAACATAGGAGACATGCAAAACCACATTTGACTAAACATTCACCAACTGTAAAAGTCATCTCTTCCAACAACTCTGCAATACACTAGCAAGCGATGCTGAAAACAAAGAGAACTTGTTGGAAAATGGAAACTTGCAAGGATAAAATTACAGCTTACTTTTAATATAACCATCAAAAAGTGTTCAGAAAATGTGCCAAATTTAGAACATCATGTTTTTCTTTTTGTTGACAAAACTACAGGATCATATGCAGTGTGGTTATGGCTGAAACCACAGTCAGTAGAAAACATTACTAAAAGAGGTTGAATGTTAAACATATATTACTTGATTACTGCATCACTTGCTTATATCAGAGGATGAAGTTTTGATAAAAATGGTTTACACAACTATAAAAATAGAAGGAAAACAAAACAACATTATGGTAAAACCTGTATACCAAAAGGTCAACATATACAGTCCAGTGCAGTATCAGGGTACCCTAGGGATAGATGCTCAGCAGTCCTGTGCCTGAGCATCAAACGCAACCAGGCTTTTCAAAGTCTATCACAATATTGTGGATACTGATCCACCCCCACAAACTCACCATACCTGACTATGCCTTCTACCCATGTACCTTGAGAACCTGGAATAGACTACCCTACATGTATGTAGCTGAAAATACACCCTCGCTCACTAATTTCCAGGAGACTGCCATCCCAATCGTTGTCATGAAGGAAAGTGTAGACGGTGTATATATATAGTTTCACTTCCTCATTTTACACAAAGCCCCAAGACCAACATCATCCTGGCATGAAGCCAATTTACTAGAAACTGAAACTATACCCAAGAGATCACCTACCTTATTTCCCATGGCCGTCCTCTGGGTCTAGTTCTACAAGTCCCATGTATTGTAAGTTTGTTAAATTGCAGCTCAGCTGAAGCTTCTATGAAGACATAAAGATGTTCAGAGGACCAGGCAATTTCTGTGAGTTGCTGAGGAAAGCTCTCTAAAATACGTCAGGTATTGGCAAACGTATAGGACTTAGTGTGGAAAGGTGTGGAAACTTTGTGAGGAAACAAGTGAAGTGCATCACGAGTTCACTACGCACATAATTTACATTTTTTACGTTCTCCTCCAGACTATGGATCATCACATTAACTGCTCATTTTACAAATTTACATATTTACACTGTACATGTACCTCCCCATAATGCAACGCAACTACATTCTACGATAGAACTATTTTACAGCTACACACTGTAGAGGAGGGACATTAAAGGTAAAGACCAGTATTGGAAATGCCCCAATTTCAAAAAATGAAATGGAAGCTCTTATTACCAATTATGTGAAAGAATATGTTTTGACTAATACATGATGATAAAAATTTTGCCGGGAAACCGCCTACTAATCGATATATTTGGTAAATTAGTTTAGCTACATGGTCTGTGAGAGATAAACGCATGTGTCGTGCACGTGAGCGTAGTCCCATATACATCTTTCTGTGTACAGTGCTTGTAACTTTACGAAGACTGGGCCAAATTTCTTATCATTTTGATGATTCCAGAACCTTGCAGTTCACACCAATACTTATATGCTAGATGATCAACCTTTTCTGATCGATTCCACAATGTTTCTTTCACAATGCAATCGCATGACCATTACTGGTCTTTACCTTTAAGGCTTGTCTGGCAGTGATTTAGTCCAACCTGAAGTAACAAAAAAATTGAGGCCTCGTAAGAACTCGGGGGGAATGAACACCTAATTAAGAGAGACAGGTAAAATCAAACTTGACTCGCTACATCTTTTCTGCCAGGGACACATTACTAACCTGACTAAAGAAAATTGTAAAACTACCACCTGTCTTAAAGCCCCTCTAAAGTGTTACTTGAGAGCCACAAAAATTTGATGGCAAAATTTCACTTAAATTGTATCATAATGTGAAAGAGGGTGTCATTTAAGACACATTTCTGCAAGGATTTTCAAAAGACATGTGTTTGAAGTCGAATATTGATGAAAGATGAAAGAATTCTGCGTACAACAGAGAACCCAAATAATGCATTCTTATAGCAATATTCATCTTCGTCTTTGTATTCGTCTTCGTATTCGTCTTCAAACACTTCAATCTTTGCAGAATTGTGTCTTAATGACATCCTTTCGCACATTCTGATACAATTTAAGTGAAATTTTGCAATCAAGTTTTTGGCTAAAATGGGGCTCCAACACTTGAGAGAATAGAGGGGCTTAAAGATCATTAAAAAAAGGACACACACTACAAACCTCCACTCCAGGTCAAATTGTCCAACTTCCGACACTATCAAAAGTTCACAGCCTCCTGGATTGAATACATGCACCACTCTTTTTACTGTTTAAAATTATAGTTTAAAACTCTCTACTGTAAGTACCCAACTATCAGCCATTTACTGCATGATGCACATAAGTAGGCCTACACCCCATCCCAGTATACCTTCCTTAGTCAGCTGCAAAAGGGATGAATGTTCAAGGTTCAAGGATCAAGATCAAGAATGAAGTCCTGAGCATGGGAAAGAATGACATGACATGCAATGACTTGCATGCATGAGATATATGACTGTCTGGACAGGTGTGTATAGTTGCACAGCCAGGCCATGTAAATGCTACCAGGTCATCCTACAACTGCACCTGCTACGTCCTTCGACTTTCGAGTCAGCGCAATCGCGAATACCATGATCATGAATTATAATGTTGACTCAATGAACAAGATAAATTGGAACTTGAAAGATGAAAAAAAACCTTTGTAATAGCTACAGTACATGATCTAGTCTGACAGCCACACATGCACTGGTTTATAGACTTTTACTAATTACCAAGTGATCTGATGAACGGAAGACCTACAGCACAGCCCCAGGATATCCTACACTCCGGTATGATAAAAAAAGGATGCGGATCCGTAGAGATGAGTCGAACATGAATGATAATTGATATGCTAATTCGCTGATGGCTTGCCAGTGGCTAATAATTGGCAGACTAACTAAGGTCTAGAACATAACTCTAAAACATATACAAATCTACGTACCTCTTTCCTAGGCATTACCTTTCGCATAAGTATGATAATCTTCAAGATCAATCTAGTGATAGAGTAGGCGTGTGTGCATCTAGTGGCCTTCCGATTATACTACCGGTACGTACAGTGCACTGGTACTGTACAGTGGTACATGGTCATCGTATCAGCGCATCTACTGTATGCAGCTTGAATGCAATTATTACTCGGCAATCGTACGTGCACGTAGTACGTACGTGTGTGTATACATGTGTGTATGGGTGTTTTGCATTGTAATCTGTGTCATCTTCCATGGAGTTGGGAGAAATCGTTGAACGTCCTTCGGGCCGCACGTCACATATATTACCAATGAATTGGAAGAAAGGATGCGGATGGAGAATTAGATGAGTCGAACAAAATTTATACAAATCAATATCGCACGCTTTTAAAGGCGTTATATGTAACACAAAATATGAACAAATTCAGAATTTCCCGTTTGGTATTTCACTGAGGTTGATCGTAGCTATAGGTCTTTCAAATTGAGTGGGGGCCAGCAAAAAGGGCACTTTCTGTGAGTCGAAAAAGGAGGCATCTTAAAAGGTAGCTGTATAGGAGCTCAAGGCGAAAATTACATTAGTTTAGACATTATACTCTATTACACTGTAAAGAATTAATGCATTAATTATGCAGGGATGATCTTCAAAATTGTCTTTTTATGTGGTCCAAGCAGTACGTATTATAGGCCAATATCTACCATGCTAATTTGGTTTTGAGTGATGGTCGCATCTGCATATATTCATTGCGATTGATTAACTCTCCTTATCGAGATGACATAACCGAAGCTGATCATGTGATGGAGTTTTCTGAGCACAATCTCATAATGAAAGAATTAAAAATGACCTTCCACGTGGCTGAATAAGTTAAACGATTGTAGCGAGCCAGATTTGAGAGAAATTCGAGAAAAATTGCCAGCAATCATACGTAAGAAATAAGAAGAAATTTTTTTTCTGGGGAGATAAGGAATATTATCATCTTGTCATATATGGGAACGTCAAATCTCTTTGATATTTATATGAATGACGTATTTGGTAAATGCTTAGTTTATAAACTCCTAGTACATGTATCATACAAAGGGCAGTTGATAACACAATTCTATGCAAAAGGGCGCATGGGGTTTAAGTGGTATGATAAGTTGAAAGATGCCTATAGGGCAAACGTTTTAGCGTAGAAAGGGCACGTACACCTCGATCTTTTACAGAAGTTACATGTAATAGCTTTGTAAACGAACATGGTTATATTTCTAAAAGGGGTACAGTCCGTTCTAATGAAATTTGGGGCATTGAACGCCCCCCTGAACCCCCCCCCCCCCTCCCCTCCACCTCCGATTCTGTCAAACTATGGCACAATTTTTAAGCGACAACGCAGTGGAAAATATATGTGGCAACTATTCATCAAAAATAACATTGGGAACTAATCATTTTTAAAAGGGGGCAGTCATTGGATATGAAAAGGGGCACGAGTCAGAGTAGGAAAAACTTATTAGAGGATAAGAGGAATTATTGGATGCATGGGATAAGGGGCCCGTCGTATGGCCCCTTGTTGGTAGTAGGAGCAGAGCACCACAGAGGGCAGGGGCGGAATCCCTGACGCTCTCGAGTTTTAGAAATGCAGAACCTTCAAGATTTTTGTTCTTCAAAAGTTTTTTTTTTATTGATTCCAAACAATACAAATCGTCAATCTTAGAAATAAAATACAGTGTTTTTTTTATTACATGAATTCAAAACATTTTCATGTAGATTGTACGATTGATGAAAAAAAATGAAATAAGTTGTAACATAAAATAAAAAACCCCATCCAACCAAATACACTACTACCCCCCCCCCCCCCTTGGGCGGCCAAGTGAGAAAAAAAGGGGAAAAAGAGGGAAAAAAGAAGGAAAAAAAGTAAAACAGTAAAACGGCGCGATTTTGCGGGAAATCCTGGATCCGCCACTTGGTCAATCACTGGCGGATCCAGGGGGCACGGGGGCCCGGCCCCCTGGAAAAAAACCGTGTAAAAACATGCTAATTTTACCTTTTTTTGAAGATAACCCCCCCCCCCCCCACTAAGCGAATTTTCGGCCCCCCAAAGAAATCCTGGATCCGCGCCTGGGGTAACCCCCCCCCCCCCCTAGGCAAAAAGCTAGATCTGCCCCCCCCCCTCCTTCACCTAGCCTCCTCAGAATACCCCAAATAGGAGCGACAGACAAATAGAAACAATCTATTTACAAAAACAAAAACAAAACAAAAAAAATCTTCTAAGGGCAATTTTATACAACAAACGGTTGTCCGAGTCCGAGTGGGAACCACTTCTATCTTTACTAATGGGGTCCAGAGGTCATATGAGTTAGGGTCCCTAGCGTTAGAAACTCTTATCTATCCTTTGAAATTTGCACTGCCCATTTGCTTTATTTGATTGGAAATCAATTTCTCTCTCGTGCACACAAACTCATACACACCCTCTCTTTCCTAATTGTATGGAACAACAAGATTTCTTGGGAACTACTTCTAGCTTTAAGGATGGGGTTCACCCAAAAAGGTTCCAGCTAATGACGCTAAAGACTGCTATAATGCTAGTATACAGGAAATTGAGAGAGAGCCCCGGCGACTCCGCCGCCTGGACCCCTACCGGAAAATAATGTTTCTATCACTCAAGACGGCCATCTTTAAGGTTCTCAGTTGCTCAGAGAGCGTCCGATGGCTCCATCCCCTGAACCCCACCCAGAACGGCCCATTCCTAAGCGCTAACAGTGTGCTTTACTCCGATATTTTGGGGAGGGGGGGGGGGGCATTTTGAACATTTTGCAGGGAGAGGTGTCCCTAAAGGCCCAAACCCCTTGATCGAATCGACGACTCAGCATTTTGGTAGTGAATCCTAAAAGGCTACAGCTGTTGAATGATAGATCCCATTACGAAATATTGGCCATGATCAGAAATTGCGTAGAAAAGAGTCACGCCCTTGCCTCCCCCTGTCATTTATTCTTTCTGTTTGCTCCCTCCCCCCTTCTTCTTTCCTTTTCTACTCTTCTTTTTAAAAATTAGTGGCCGTGGACGGCCTTGCAGGCGTTCTACAAAAAGTCACTAGGCCCCCATCTCGGGATTTCTGCTGATGGTTCGGTTACAAAGGAGGCGAACCATCAACTCGAAAAGAAGAGACAAATGCAGATGCTATATCATGACAAGAAAATCATAATAAAATGTTTCCAAAAAAATCCGCTTGAATTAAAAATGAGGCACACATTTGTTTAAATCGACTTTAATAATTGTGAAGACTACCGGTAGATTAATTGACTATATAGCATACAACCATTGGTGGACACAACCTGAATCTAAATCTGAACCCCCCCCCCCCCCTCCCCGTCTTTAAAAAAATAAAAATAGAGGGAATAGCAGGATTTTCAAACAAGAAAGGATAAAATGTAGGAAACACAATCTACACACATCTATAGATTATAGGGGTGTACTGAGCAAGCACTCAAGTAGCCTATGTGCCCCCCCCCCCCCCCCCCCCCCTCATGATTCTGCCATTGAATCTCTATATATACTTCGGATACGCTTTCAGCGACAGCGCCATTTTATCGGATACCGAGATTATGTGCATATACCGTACGTACGTACGCAATATTAGGCGCTGAAGTTGAACATGTACATGTAGGTTTACTGTACAGTTAAAGTCAAGCCTAGAATGTCGTCGAAAAATGTTTCACAGGCGTCCGATACAAGAACAGAATTAGCAGAATTGGTGAAGAGAAGAACAGAAATCGCTGTAAGTTCTATGACATTCTTGTCTATATCAGTAATACTAGTAGTAAATTATACAAATAACGCACGTCCCAGAGTGCAATAGCGGTGAATGCAGTACGCGCGAGGTTTCTTTAGATTGGTGCCGCTCTGTGCAACGAGCCGCTTGCGGCGAGTTGACAGTGCGAACCATCTGAAGAAACCGAGCGTTTACTGCATTTACGTTTTGCACAACAGGGTCAAGTGCGTTATTTGTTTTATAAAATAGCGACACAAATAGCAAAAACGAAACTTTAGATCTAATAAGTTAGAGTCTACGAGAGTTCGATCTAGATCTAGATCTAGAGTTATGTTGGTTCTACTTCTAATTAGACTAAGACCTTGCAGGCTTACCAAAAAGTCAATGGGATTCATTGCCTTGATTAAAAATAAAATCCATACAGTGGGTCTAGAGACGAGTCTACATCAGACAGCTGAAATTCCTGGCTTCATTATAAAATCCAAAAGTCAAAACGGGCCTAAATCCAAGGCAAAAGTCAAATAAAAATTTGCTTTTTAAATATCCCGCTGGCCGCTCTAGCTAGCTAGCTAGAGCTAGCTACGCGTACGTTGCGCTGGGGATCATGGTGAAGCGTACAATATTAGCTACGCGTAGCCTACAATAATTGCAATGCAACTCGAGGGAGCGCGTACTACACGTACGCGCGCGCACTGGATCTCCATGGTCACGCGTACGCACCGTGCAATATAACTTTTTACTGCGCTTTTTCTGCACTCATTTCTGCAAAATCGTGCTTGCATCAAAATTTTTTCAATGTCATGTGACGCGTATTGACCAATTACGATGCTTAAAATACTAGAGCCATTTTATAAACACAAATAATTCATGTTTGCGAGTGCGAGTGCCAGTCACTATGAACATGACAGACAATGAAAGCGGACAAAATATACAGTTCCTCGGCTAGACAAAGGAACATCAATTCACTGCTATTATGTAAAAATGTGTAGAACAGGTGAATATGCATGTGACACCTGTTCTACACATTTTTACATAATAGCAGTGAAGGGATGTCCTTTTGTCTACCTGAGGAGCTGTATATTTTGTCCGCTTTCATTGTCTGTCATGTTCATAGTGAGTGGTAGTGCATGCCGATTGCCATTGGCATTGCACGCAGTTGCATGTATGTTGACAGTGCAGTGCAGTGTAGTGTAGTGCCTGGCCCTCTTTAGCTTTAACTAGGGAGGCCAATGCCCAAATCTAACTTTTTAATTACTGATTTGTTTATAATAAAACAAACATTAAAAGAAAGCATTTTCTTTCACTAAGAAAACTCACCCATCTACTGACTCCAGAAGTTCCATAAAATAGGAGATATCCAGCTAGTTCCTATGAGCTTCCTTCTACGCCTGGCCGTACGTAAGAGCCTTGAAACAATCAATTTCATGGTCCCAAAAATTACGTCGAGAATTAGACAGGCCCGAGGGAATGGGCGTGTCATCATGGTCATTGCCCGGACAACAAGTTCAAAACTTCGCGCGAAAGTACATTCATCATCACCGGCTAGCCTTGAATTAGTCGCACACACCGACACAGTACTGCAGGCCGTCCAGGTACGGTAATTGCATGCAAGCCGCAATCGAGCCATGCTAGCCATGCCACGGCATGGAGGGTCAAAAGAGAAAGCTCGGAAACCACTCATTGTAAATTCAGAAAATTATTGAAATAAATAAATAGGCCTACCTTAGTTTTGATATGTATTCCAATTATTTCCTCATGAGTAAAGATCAATCTGACACTGCAAAATCCTACAGTTGCAGCGAACACAGTACGATCGATAAATCCAACAGTTGCAGCGAACACAATACGGAATCAAACATAGTCATTAGGACTGGACGTGTACTGACGGAGATATTTCTCTCCCTCTCTCTCTCTCTCTCTCTCTCACTAACCATATGATGATATCATACACTAAAACACACACGTTCAAACACTTCTCAATTGGAGTATAGACTGCTCACGTAGACTTTTTTTTTTTTACTGAAATGTCTTTTTTTACACTTCTCATACATTACTGCACGACACTGACCTAGTGCTGAGAATAAGGTACTATGTGTGAGACTACGTCAAATTTGTTTTGCGCGCGATGAGACCGGAGCTCATACATATTCATATAATGATGTCGCAAGACTTCAATTTGGGGCTCGAACAATCATGTCTCTGTTCACAGTTTTCCACCCCAATTTGAGATGGCTCTAGCTATGGGGCTCAAACCAACGCAAGATTGACAAAAACATCGTACTCTATCTACCTTCGTATGTGCAGTTTGTAAAAATCTGCAATTAAAAAGATATGATCGTTTTTCGTTATATTTTCTAGTTGTTAAAAGTGACATTTGTGCACAACTGATATGTTAATCTCTATCAAAAGTTCTTTGATATTAAATTGGTTCCATATTTTTAGGCTCTACCTTCAGTCATTGAGAAGGATTTTAGTGAGCTAACCTCATCGCCCTCTAGGACCCTTCTAGTTTCTCTTGTGCGTCCGTTATTTTCGTCTGCTAGCGCAATTATTGGATCAAAATACGTCAAAATCTGCAAGATCGTCAACAAAGGGTGAAAGACTGTTACAGATCCGTGATTATAGGTATGTTGTGGAGTGTGTAATTGTGTATTTGTTATACATTTTATTCCATAGATATTTGTTTTCTTTTTTTTCCCTTTTTTTGTCTTCTGGTAATTTTCTGACTTGGACGACGAGCGCACAAATCGTAGGCGTAGAAGCCTTACGCCCGGGCATTGGCCTCCCTACTTTAACAAGTGCAGTGTTGAGTGTGTGTAGAATGTACTACAATACCGCCCAGAAGTTATTGGGCATGTTTTTGCGGGGCGGGTTTTCCCCGATGGGTATTTCACGATAAAATGACGATAAAATATCGATGAAATACTGATAGAATCACGATAAAAATCACGATAATTTGCACACTAATGAATGATTTCCTCTATCGGGGGATGCGTGTAACCCGCCTAATCCCCCGATAGTCTATCGTGTTTCATGGTGCGCGTATTTGCAACTAGTCAAGTCATGTCCTCTGCAAGCGCATGTCTTGCTCATCGCGCGCTAAGTCTTGATATGTATGATTTGTACGCGCAGTTCCGTATGTGTCTTTGTTTACGTCACAATAAAAAGTATTCACGAGTAAACATTACACACAGTTAAATACTAGTAAAAGCCGTCGCTAAATCACTGACACTGGGCGCGGATAAGCATCGGGTACTGATGCGGTGAAGCAACGAGTAGATCTAACTATATTCAAGTTGCAAAAACTTGCATGATTTGCATTCATTAAAATTATAATTGTGAGCACAATACCTTTCATTTTCACTGCCATATTTTCTGTTTGCCTACTCCAGATATGCGTATCTCATTCCACAACCATGAAAGTGGTGAATAAATTCAATTCAATTCAATTCAACCTCCACCAAATAAAATAAAAATATTCCCAAGATCGTCGCTTCAGAAAACACGCACGCGATCAGATTCTTACATTTGCCCTATCAGTATCACTGACAAGACTGCCGTAAGAAGGGTCTCCACCCCTAAAAAAGAAAACGTCCAATCATGGACATTCTTGCCTACTGGTCACGCGTAAAAGTTGCCAGGTGGACTAGTAACCAAGGTTACCAAAACACGCGTAAATAAACATTTTTAGTCGACGGCATTGGATGATTGATAAATAATAAAATCGGTAAAAATGGCATGGATCAATTACTGTAACTGTCTTCGGAGTGTGGATTAAACCAGAGTTGAATTAACAGGAAAACATGTAGGAGAGAGAGAGATAATTGAGAGGGAGGTAGTGTTGAGCTGGAGATAGATGAAGATATTATTCGAGAAGGAAAGGAGTTATGATCGAGGTCAGGATGGGAAAAAAAAACAAATAAAATGGATAATTATCTACTTAACAGGGTTGACTAAATATAAGTAGGCAAGACACCAATACGTTAGTCTATTTTCCGTACACCTTTCTACTTCCACTCCTTATTCATCGACACTAGACGAAAACGTTCATGGGTGGAGAAATGTGACAAAGAAGAGGGTGAGAGCATGGACCTACGTATTTGGAGAGCAAGAGAGACGAGAGGAAATCCCACTAGTATCTTCACGAGGGGGGGGGGGGGGACTACACGTAATAGAGAGAGAGAGAGAGAGAGAGAGAGAGAGAAAGAAAAATGTTCGATGGGAGCGCAGGCTAGCGAAATCATACTAAGGGAGACATTTACGTACATTTACTTTTGAGAAATAAACAGTAGGATTATGTCTGCCACATGCGTTGAGAGCTGGCTCCCCTCGGCTGACACATCGTAAATAACAAAGATAACATTCAATGACATCTTTAACCGAAGATTGAAAACTAGGTCATTCACACCTCGTTTTCTTTTTATCATTTATAATTACTTTGTACGATGGCGATGTTAAAAAATAGGATGTCGGAAAGGAAGAAAAAAAGTTGGATCGTAGATTAAATGACATTGATTTGCAAAACTGGAACGATGAAGTTCATGAAGTTCATGTTTCAATTACAGAATTTTTAAACAGGTAATCGGTTTGGAAGAATATATGTTAAAGTTGGATTTCAGTGATAGAACATCTCTTCATAAATATCGATTTGGTAATAGTAAGCTGCCCTGCCGTCTGCACCTGACCGTCACTAAAGTCAGCCTCTAGAAATTGTAGAATTGTGTTCCATATGTGATCTCAAAGTACAAGATGATGCATTTCATTATGTTCTCGTATGTCCAGCCTTTGGCTTTGATTAACATTCGCAATTATTTGTTAAGAGATAGTTAGTCAATTTAAGATTAAGAATTAAAACAAACCTTTCAACCTTTTAGATTCATTCATGGTTTGCTGCTTCGCATTAGAATATGATATAGATTTTATTTTTAAAAGCAGACCCGTATCACTATCATTCGCGAAGTTGTGTTTTATTTTTGTGGACATTTTTACAATAATAGCTCCTGTTCTAGTCCCTCTAACGTTTATTCGCGCTAATAATATTTATAATTAATTTGCCTGATGTTGCATTCAATTCATTTATGGTTTGCTGCTTCGCAATCGGATATAAAATAAATGATAATTTTAAAAGCAAACTCGTATCATTGGCGACGCAGGGGGGAGGGGGGTGGAGGGGAGAAGAAAAGAGAAGGAAGGAGGGGAAAAGGAAGAAGAGTAAATCTAAAAATAAAATCAAATAGACAGACGAAACAAGCAGAGAACTTCATCAATCGGAAATTCTAAGTTTTTCGCCAATGAATTGAATGTTTAGATGACAAGAGAGCTTGCGTACATTTCATATTGTGTTTCAAGTGTTTCTAAACAATGGGTTTGGAGTCGAGGTGTCTGGCAGCATGTGGTTATCTCAGAAGTTAGTATAAACAGATCATGTTCGCGCCCTAAGATCACGTGATCATAGTAGTGATGATTGAACCTTCGAGAGAAAACTATAAGCGCGTGCATTTTTTTAAATCTTTACCTCATCATCATGATCTTTTCTGTTTTTTTATTTCTTTGTTTTACCTTTTCTCGAAATATAAATATGTGTATGTATTCCCTTCGCTTGTTCCTTACGGTTCAAGGAGAATTACCCCCTTGCACAATCACCCCCCTTTGTTTAATTCCTTGTTTTTCGTGCTGTCAATTCGATCAATCATTTTTTTGTTGTTTATCCTTATTTCTTACCATATGTAGATCTTTGTTAAGCCGTTATTATTTATTATTATTATTATCATTATTAATCATTCTTCTGGTTTATTCCTTCATAAATGTGTTTTAATACTTAATGTTTTTCTTAGATTTCTTTCTATCATTTTATATTTTGTCCTCAATCCTCGTGTATTTCTTTGTTATTTCCTTATGTATTACTCCAATTTTGATTACGGGAGCTTGCCAACCCAGGTATGTGTACATGTATTTAGCTTGCATGCAAACTGAATGTCATAAAATGGAGATCGAGATCGAGGGGTTTTCCAATTCCGGGAATCCCTGAGCGCGCGCACTACATATCAAATTTCAACTACTTTGTGGACCACGAGGTACATTGGCTGATCGAGATCGCGTTGCTTTTGTTTTTGATAATACTGGTTTATGAAAATGCCGTTTGCGGTCTGTGGCAAAATTTGTAATGTGTAGGGACAGGGTCAACCGATTGGTATTATGAATGAATAAAATAATAATATTTTTTTTATTATTTGGAGTTACGGATCCTTTATTTATTCTGTTAATTTTCAATTCTCTATCTCTCTTAATTATCTTTGTCTGATATATTTCACTCTTCACTCCCTTCCCTCTTTCTTTTCTGTCCCTGTCACGCTAACGGTTACGGGTAACGGTACCCCTCCGCCTCTTCTCTCCTCTTCCCTTAATTATTCACGCCTTCCTGAAAATCTCACAACATACACATAATTCTTCTAGAAATAACAGCCGCATTTATCCATAAATTCTAAGATTCTACCCACATATTAGTTCTGATATGTACATGTAATGATGAATACTCTCGATTAGACAGAAATAACCGTCTGTTATGGGTCATTACTCTTTGATAAATCTTACATTTGTCAACATTCCTCATACACAGACGGTGACCCTTACGGCTCGCACGACGGGGGGGGGGGGGGGGGGGGGGGGGGGGGGGGTGAGCCTTTCTTTTCTTCCCGTTTTTCCTTAGATCTAATTTTCCGATCAGAAAGTATATATTTCTTAAAATTCTTACAATTTTAATCAAGTAATTGCAATGGCGAAATTTAGGCGAATTAGATCACGCGTTTATGAATATCAAAATATCACCGGGTCAAGCCGTGCTGACTCGTACGCACATGTAGGTATCGGACGTCCGGGAAAAAAAAGAGCATTCATTCACTCAAATCAAGATGGCTGCACAACAAATAATGTTAACGACAAGTCTTTCTCGGATTAAACATAAGCGGAATAGCCGTCGATATTAGAGACTGAAGCTTTCGGTCTAACTCTTGATAAACTCTCGGATCTCCTCTGCCATGAGCTATCCCAAACATTCCTCCCCCCCCCCCCCCCCCTCAAATAAAAAAAAGATTTCGTATCGTGGGGAAGGCCAAGACACCTGGTTCTTGGTTTCTGCACTTCTCTCATCGGATAACTTTTCTCTCCGCATGCGCAATCCCAAACATTCCTCGTAGCACATTGTCTCGTGTATTTATGCATGGAATGAAAAGAGCATTCATTCACGCTTTTGTGATGTAATAATCAAGTGATTGTGACGTCAGTGGCAAGCGCGCATCGGTATGTTTGAGGATGCGCAGGCTCAGCAAGCGTATAAATACAGCATGCTGTGCGCAGTTCTATCGTGATAATAACAAACTAAAAGGAAATATCACGATATGCATCGGGGATTTAGCGAGTTAATCAAGTTGAGGAAAAAAAATCATGATAGAGATGAATACAAATCACGATGTTTCTCACGATAAAAACACGATAAAACCCGTCTACAATCACGCTAACCTCGTATCGTGAAACACAATCCCGCATGCCCAATAACTTCTGGGCGGTATTGTAGTGTAGTGATCAAAATGCATATATCATGACCACTAATTGGGAAATTAAAAAATATTGAAAATATATAGCAGGGGACATGACCTTAGACATTATTTAGATTATACCATAGAATTATTTGAAAGATACAATTGTATTTCATTTCATGACCAGCGAATCAGACAATCATTTAATGATTTATGCTTTTGAATTTGAGATTTGACACTCAGTTTGAATAAAAATATACATTTAACAGGCTTTATTTATAGAATATAGACTAAGACTAAGTTATATTTTTCTTGGTAAAAATACTTGAGTTACTTGACCTACATGTACTGACGGCAGTGAATTGATTATTTTTTTATCATGATAAAACTGTTCGTGACTAAATGGGATTTTAAATTGCTTTGATCTAGATCTAGAGTTCTAGACCTACATCGTCTTGACGTCTTCCCTTATTTTCAGTGTAATAATATAAGTAGAGACTGGGGAAGTGTGAAAGAAATGTTGAATCGATCAGAAAAGGTTGATCATGTAGCATATTATTATTGGTTACCGCAAGGTTCTGGAAACAAAATGATAGGAATTTGGGCCCAGTCTTGGTAAAGTTACAAGCAATGTACACATAAAGATGTAGGCCTATATGAGACTACACAAACATGTGGCATAAAAATCTGTCCCGATTTGTATGATGTTACATGCCTTATTAAGAATATTAAGGCATTTGAAGAGCCATGCTTTTCAGGGAATATTTTTTATCTGATGTTCTTCCACACTTGAATAATAACATGAATACATGATAACACTCACAAATTATTTTTCACCTCTTCTAAGAACTTGACCTTCTCTTTAATGTCTTTATCCCATCACGCTTTTTAATAGTCTATTAGTGTCTTCCATATGATCATATCTGACTATTTTTTTAATTATTTAACAAATAGTAATTGTTTAGCTTTTGGTTTGTTATAGTTTTGTTGATTATCATGATTTTTATGTTCCAGTTCCCTTTTAATTGTATGTTGTGATCCAACTTCAAAATGCAATCCGCAAAAACACGTATACAAAAATAGTGCTCGACACGATTGGATTAGTAGGTCCTGTTTTAGCACCATTAAAATTGTTAACATTGTTTTCTTCATTTACAGGAGACACTTGCGAATCTTGAAAGACAAATCTATGCATTTGAAGGCAGCTACTTGGAAGACACAGCTTTGTATGGCAACATCATAAGAGGATGGGATAGATATCTAACAAATAAGTAAGTCAAAATAAAGTAGGGCTGCGACGTGTAGTCGAATGCTCTTGCCTTCACGGTTGACAACTACTCGGGTACGATTTCTTGTACCCGAATATTCGGCTGCAAAAAAAAAACAAAAAAACAAAAAAAATTGTCCAGGCCGACGCTTACCCGTGCCTGGGTAAGCGGCAGCCGCTGGCATGGTGCCGTTGGTAAAAATGTTTCCAAACTCAAGCACTGACAAACTCACCACTCAGAAACTGGGACAAAATGTCTGGATTTCTGTTTGGACTTGGAGGAAAATGAATTATTCTGCCATCTTTGGTTTTTAAAACAGCATTGTTTACTGTTATTATTATTATTAAATCGGCACCTTCAACTGCAACTCAAAGTAAAATTGCATGCGTTTTCGGCGACAGAACTGGGATACTGCTCCAGTGGTATGTATGGTGGTGGCAAAATTTAAAAAAAAAAAAAAAAAAAAATTAAATAAAAAAAACATGGCGTCCGAATATTCGAGTATTCGCTTGTAAGCCTGGAAGTGTACTCGGGTACCTCATTACACTGTTGTGCACAGCCTTAAAATAAAGTATTGATTACATCATTACAGTGGGTTTATTCAAATGAATTTATTTCTAACTATAGACAGTACATTGCTTTGAGACATTCCCAATGTGCTTAATTTCTCATGACTCAAGGACATGACAAGTGATGAATGTGTAGCTGCCAACCATTCCTATTTTGGAGGAATTGTTCTTTTTTTTGGAGGGGGGGGGGTGGCCTTCATGCTATTGTTTCGAACCCTAAATATTCCCTTTCTTTTCTTTTTATGAAATATTCTATGTGAAAAATATACAAAATAGGCTGTATTCCTAATTTTGCCTTGAAACTTACTTGAAAGATTCATAATTTTTGCTGTAAAAGGTTGGCAGGTATGTGAATGGTATGATGGATAATTCTGTGTCAGATCAGCAACAGGTAGGCCTACCTTTAAACCCCCACCCCCCTCAAATTGTTATGGGGTAATTGAGAATTTTCTAAGGGCAATTCAACCCATTAATAAATACAGACCACATTTAGGTAGTAAAATGTAGTGGAACAAAAAGGCGTTTCTGGAACGCAAAAGGCGTAATAGTTGGTGATGTTTGTGAATTAAAAGTTCTTTTTTTACATGTATTCATTTTAATAAAAGTTTTAGGTATCATCAATCGCAATAGTACATGTACATCAAGCCTCATGCCATGCCCTAATGATATGGTTCTATGTCATCTCAAAGCCATAAAGAATTTTATTATCAGCAATTATGCATTTTGCGTTCCGGCCACCTTTTCGTGCCACTTTATTTCGCTAAGCTACAATGCACATGTACATTATGAGTCCTGATACATCTTGCCTGTAAGTGCTGGTTTTCAAGAGATTTAGATTAATTGCTGGTTATTTTTTTAGAGATGATAATTTTGCCGATGGTATGTTTTACTTGCAGGAGCACCAACAGTAAGACAGACAAGCGAAACAGAAAATTTAAGGAAGCTGACAGATTATTTTCTAAATCAAGCATCACATCTCAGGTACGTATTATTTATGTGGATGGACCTTTTTGATTGGACTGTCAAATTTAATTGAAATCAATCTTTGTGTTTTAAAGAAGCAGAAAAACATATATGTTTTTAAACTTCTTCTATAAAACCTATTTCTGCATTGAAACCAAATTACGTAGGAATCGTTTTTTTAGGAAAAACACCAGCACCCCAAAAGTATCCCAATTGCAAACTTTTGGGGTGCTGCGCATCTATTAATTATGTCTCCTTTTCTGAAAAATTATTCCTACCTAGTTTTGTTTCAGCGAAGAAATAAGTTTTAAAAGAAGAAGTTGGAGAAAAAAATAAGGTCAAATGGGGTACCTCTCCCAGACGAGTTAAGAAACAGCACCTAATTTTACCTAATCAGAATGCTACCTGGATGATCGCAAAAGAGAGGTGACACTACTCTCAGCATTTCTTAAAAACAAATAATGCATCACGGATACAGTCTAATTTTTTTCCAAATTCACATTAATGTAATCAGTGGAATAGATTGAATTACAAACCTGCAACAAAGCAGATTCAAAACTTACACATTAGATAGCATGGCCGGGAGATGTCCCCAGCTTTGTTTCGGATGTAACATAAACCTATACCTATTGTTTAGGATGTGACATGGGTTTGTGACTGGTGTTAATACAAAATGTGATTTGGCAACAAGAATAACTTATGTGAATTGAAAAAAGTAGCGTACATGTACATGTACTGTGAGATGTCAGGCAAATCATCAGAAATGTACTTGGGGGACCTTCAAACAATGTTTCTTTGACAAAGAAGTAATTGATACATTTACGTAATTATGCAGAGGCGTATTGGATTTGCAGTGACAATCATATGTAATGTTTTCTGGTACTACATCACTGGTGTTGATTTGGCAGAGGATGCATTATGATTCACCCCAGGACATTTTGTGTACTGTAAATGAGTCTTCATTTAATTTTTTTTTTGGTTTACTTTTTAACAGGCATCTCTAGGTCTCAACGACTCACAGAATGAAAGGAGTAAGTATACTTTTTCTATTCAAAATAAGTAAGGCCAGTAAGAGCATGATGTGAAAACAATTGGAACAGATAATCTTCTGCAAAATATCACTACTGGTACTCTATATTATTCTTTGTCCAAAATTACTTATAACTAGAAATTTAATTCGTCACGAAGACGAATAAGGTGGTCTGTCTATGTCTTATGATAGATTTGAGAATGGGAGAAGTTATATAGACATGTAAACAATGATGATCATGATGAACATGATGATGATCATGATAGTAAAGGTGATGATGATCATGATAATGATAATGTTATATGATGATAAAAACGATAATGTTACTGATGATGATGATAATGATCATGATCATGGTGATGTTGATGATCATCATCTTCAGACCATGATGATGATGATAGTGACATTGATGATGATGATGATGATGATAATATTGATGATGATGAGTATGAGCATGATCCTGACATCTGATTGAAAAAATGAGGAAATATTTAGATAGCAAATAGTCTCAGCTACAACATACTAAAAATTGGGAGAAAACTGTTGAATAACAACCGAGATACTGGTCAAAACACATTGTCATGCAGATTCATGTTTTGAAAAAAGTGACCTCCCATAGACATAACACGCAAATATGACAAATTATGCATTGTCGCATTTAATCGAATATTTAACTATGATGACGTCATCTAAATGAAAAATAAATGGTATATTTCTGATAGAGAATTATCTCAGCTACAACATATCGAAATATGGGAGAAAATAAATTACTGATAAGCGAGATAATCTCAATTAAACAAAGACAAAAATGACGTCATCAACAAAATACATTTTCTTTAGTTTAGATGCAAATATAAAGATTTTGTTTCACTTTGTAGGAGTCAGGGTGGTATGAAATCATATCTCCAACTCATGCTCTTTCCAACCACGATATAAAAATTGGGGGTCGACGGACTATCTGAAGAGCTATTTCGATTTATAAAGTAGCATGTTTTTGATCAAATTTACATTATATTGCCCATAGCAGCACGCGTGGAATTTGAACTTTGACGCGCGCTCACGGCCTTATGAAAGGTCAAGAGTGACTGAAATTAATGTAAATTGTCATTTACGGTAAGAGGAATCTAAATCATGTAAACAAATTGAATTTGACCTTTTCCGCGCGTTGTGAGCGCGCGCACTGCGCGCGGGGACAAGTACGGACGGAAAATTTTGAAATGCTTCAAATGACCTGATTCGTACTCTCCTTTAGTAGTTAAGTGATTTTGAGCAATTTTAAATTTTGACGCGCACATACGCGCGCGTCATGACCTTTATGTGACCTTTGATGACATGACCTGTTGACCCTTGACCTGAAGTACATGTGATATGAATATGAATGAACTTTGAGTACGCGTCATGAAGATATGATGGATAATGTGATTACACAAAATGGCGCCTGGATGACGTCACGATGACATGATGACCTTGAAAATGTTCCTGTCACGTGTCAAGACAAATGACCTATGACTGTGCTAAAATTGAATCAAATTGACTAAACCAAACTTGAGTTATCCAGGGCACAAAAAACGGGAAGAAATAAAAATAAATAATAATAATAATAATAATAATAATAATAATAAAGAAAATTCTGACGAAATCAATAGGTGGTCTGTTGATAACAGACCACCTAAATATATTGTTATTTTATTTTTGCAAGTTGGATGCTAAATTTTACATATATATTGATATTTCATTTTTGAGATATAGGGTGATATGAAGATAGAAAGAAATACAAATAGATTACATGTATATCAGTAATTTCTTGGATACAAACAAAATTAACAAAACAAAGTATCAAAGCAAAGTAAAGTAAAGAAAATAAGTTAGTAATCTTGGGAAGGGTGGGGGTCTTTTTCTTAAAAACTATAATTTCAAGATATAGGTCATACCTAGAATGGTACACTTTAATATATCAAAGTGTTTTGCCTTAATCAGCATTTTGTGTTTCTTTACATTTTCAGAAACAGAAGCCAAGGATTCTATTAGCAACCAAGAAGGACCTGCCAAGTCAGACAAGGATTCTGTAGATGGAGGTGTAAGCAGTGAGACTGTAACAGATATGAAAGAACGACCGATGAACAGCAATCGCTCGGGCAAGATCCACAAGAGCTCGCATGGACACAAGAAGAGGAAAAACAAGAGCCGACACAGGTATATGGAAGGCAATTATATTTAAAGCCCAACTGCACTACTTATAGCTATTTGCGCCCTCTATATAGCAAACAATGCCCCCCATGTTCCCCTTTTTATTATGTTAATTGAGAGCTGAGTTGATGAGATGAACACCTGTCAGTGACCATGCAGGGAGGTCTAATCCCTACTGGCCAAACTAGTGCAGAGGGGCTTTAACCAAACTAGAAATATCTATTCGCTACATGTATTCATGTGTAAAGCGAGGATCCAACTGATGCATATGGCTTGTCATAGAGTACTAAAGTTGTCACATCATAAAAATCTATCTTTAGAATTTCTCGATTTTTTTCTTCATTTTCCAAAAGAGCATCACAAATAATGTCCGGATGTCGAAAACCAATTGAATATGTGAAGTATTGGCTGAGATATGACCATCTGAATTAATATATGTCCTATAGGAACTCAGTGATATATTGCTCTGGCTCGTAATGTTATAAACCAGAGTTCCTAAAGGAAATATTCAGATGGTCATATCTCAGCCAATACTTAATATATTCAATTGGTTTTAGACTTTCGGACATTATTTTTGATGCTCTTTCGGAAAATGAAGACAAATTGAGAAATTCCCAAAATAGATCTTTGATGACGTCACACTTTACCACTCTATCGTTTAAAAAAAAAAGGCTGAAAATGAAACATGTTGAATAGCATAATCAATTACCAGATATTTTGGGTGAAAGTTGGATTTAGCCCTCTAATCTCCAATATGGGTACTTGCTCCCTTCGTGCCTCCAAAGCGTGGTGTATGTATTTGATAAAAAAAGCATGCATTGGGATGCTCCGGATTTATGGAGCATGCAGGGAGAGACGCTACCTGCATCTTGGAGCTACATTTTTTCTAACAAAAATCCCTTTTAAATGGCAACCCAAGGAGCATACTTCACACCGTCTCCTATAGAAGTTCCACTGGATGTTTCATCACCGAAAGAAACAAAATTACTTAGTTGGCAAATCGGAATGAAATGCGTTTCTTCAAAGTGTGATCTCTTTACATACCAATACATGCATATATGAAGATTTTAATTAAAAAAGGACCTAAATCCATTTTTGTAACTTCGGAGAAAAAAAGAAATTGTTCACCAGATTTTGTACAGACGTCTATGGAAAAGTGATATTAGAAGGTGCATTTTTTCATAATTGCTCCCAAAATTTAAGTAAATAATTTGTTGAAAGACGGGTACTTAGGTGAACAATGTTCTGATATCAATAACTCAATTTTCATCAAAAGTGGATTTAGCTCCTTTTGGAATTAAGCTTCTCATATATACATATTGTAATTGGGCAATGAATTCAAATATTACCCCCAAATGAAATCTCACTTGTACTATAGCTTCTATGAACCCCCAAAACAACCTGATTTACAATGTCATGAGGACTTGATGTATAATAATGTATCTGTCCTTTGTACCACAGACTGGAGGGCCGTATAAAGAAGAGCAGACTGTCTGCCGATGACTACTGATTCCAAAGCCTGCTTCAGATGGCTAGTCTTCTACACACTCAATATCTTTGATGTAAAGCACAAAATGGTATCTTCAGCTGTTGGAGGTTTTTAAAATATACGAAAAGGACCAGAGTGTAAAGTGTAAATGATGTCATTAATCCTGTACATTGTTTTACTCCTCGTGTAAAATTGTACATAAAATTGAAAAATAATGTAAAAGTGATGGGTGTGTTTTTGTAAAGTGTTACCCGGTAATGTATATTGTATACCTTGAAAAATACCATCAATTCCTTTGTGGATTATTTACTTCACACTGGTATTTATTGGAAATTGCAGTTTTATTGAAATCATGATCCTAGTCTCATTTGGAATAAAGAGCGGGTGTCTTTGTAATAGGTTCATTTGTATGAAAGCAGAAAAATAAGAGAAACAAAATAGAGAAAGTTTAAAGTAAATTGGACCTATAGCAAGGGAGTAATGGATATCTGAAATATGAGATCACTAAATCTATGTGAATCCCAAATTTGCAATTTTGTTTAGTGGATTGTGACGTACATGTAGACATGGACAACCCTCCCGTTTGTTGTGTACAGTGACATTACCATTTTAGCCAATTTTGAAATAAATTCTCAAAATTAATAACTTTCTTATATTTTGTCCAGTGTCATTCAAACTTTATCACATTAGCTACCCAATCTCTATAACTACCTTGTTGAATTTTTAAAAGCTTTTTTGAAGGATTTTTATTTATTACGTTACTTGCCCTTCATGGACCATTAAAGGTAAAGACCAGTTATGGTCATGTGATTGCTATTGTGAAAGAAACGTTGTGGAATTGATCAGAAAAGGTTGATCATTTAGCATCTGCAAGGTTCTGGAATCATCTAAATGATAACAAAAATTGGCCCATTCTTCGTAAAGTTACAAGCAATATACAAAGAAAGATGTATATGGGACTACCCTATATCTGTCACAGACCATGAGAGAAACAAATTTACCAAATATATGAATTAGTAGGTGGTTTCCCGGCAAATTTTTTATCATGTATTGGTCAAAACATATTCTTTCACATGATTGGTAATGAGAGCTTCCATATCATTTTTTGAAATTGGAGCATTTCCAATACTGGTCTTTACCTTTAAGTCAAGTCCTGGGCTTTTCCTATTACTATTAAAGTTATGTGTACCATAATAAACTGCACCCCTACCAATGTTGACATTTGTTTATCAGCAAAAGACCAAGTCTGGTTGCTGGGGTGTGAAATGCTGAAGGCAGATATTGCTCGTCATAATGAACCCTAATTTTAAATCGAGGGGAATCACTTTGAGATAACAATAATTATAATAATATTCCACTTTTATATAGCGCTTATTACAAAATACAAATGTCTCTAAGCGCTTTACAGATATAGTATGACCCCGGTCATTGGATTCAATACTTACCCGCACACACTGTGTGCACAATCATCCTGGGGAGCATTCCAGCCAGGCGTTACTTGACGCTCAAAAACTGTTTGACCAACAATGACGGTCGCATCCTACCGGGTACCCATTTAACACCTGGGTGAAGAGTAGCAAGTGGAGGTTAATAGAGATCTTGGCTGCAGAGCAACTACATGTAATAGCAGCAACATTTTCTACTGGTAAACAAAATTCCCAGAGAAAGAGACATTGGTATCATCATTTCCCCAATCAATTATGATTTATGAATACATGTAGTATGATTTATAAAAGTGTACATACATTTTGTAACTAATAGAACCCCAAAAAATGTTTGTGAAAAGTAAAATTTTGCATAAAATGTTATTAAATTCAACTTTGTATATTTTGTGTTTTTCAACAATTCCACATTATATTACTGGAGTCATTTACAGTTTATTTGTGAGTTTAGTGGGTTTTTGATTTCATTATGGATCTATATAAAAACATGACAGTTATGGTACAGTCACGTTTTTAAGTAAAACCTAGCTGTAAGGGGTCACGTTTTGTTTAAAAAAAGAAAGAAATTATAGCCCCATAATCACCCCATAGGAGCAATGCACGTAACCGCCATTGAGTCACAAAATAGCTGCACTCTAGCCGTTTCAGGACCTTGTAAAAGTTGGTAGTATCTGACACATAATTTTAAGCAGAGAAAAAAATATTTAAAAAATTGGAGGGGGGGGGGGGGGGGGCTACTTTTCAAGCTTGCTTGCATGAAAATAACACTCTTTAATTTGTTTTGCATTGAACTCTACTGCAAATTGGGGGGGGGGGAGGGCTCTTTTTGGCATTTTGGGGGCTAATTCGCTCCAAATTATTTATTTTTGTATTTTTCCTTTAATTTCAAAATAAAAGCGAGGTCAGGCCACATAGAAACCATGCAATGCCACATAACACCACATACTGTATACCCTAGGTCAAGGGCCGACTTAACGTGGTATAATTTTTAACAATTTAAAAATCTACCTTTCAGTAAGACCCATAGAATAGCCATGGCCCACCCTGCATTGTGTTAATGGCTTTATATAGTCTTTATATGGCAAGCTTTCTCCCTCCCTATGTGACTGTTCCATGCATAGAAATCAAATTCAGATATACAGTACATGTATTTCCCAAGAAGAGTGAGCAAGCATAGGAGTAGTATTTGCAGGCTGAATGAGCATGTATGTGATACACAGCTGTGAAGAAGTGAATCGTCATTATTACTTACAGCTAGTGAGTGGGGTACAAGGGTACCAGTATTTATCCCCTGAGCTGCCTAGTAAAATATCTTCAAAGTAAGTGCAATATACCCTGCATCTCACCAAATGAAAGCCATTCAATATTTTTATTAATTGTATGGTATCTACTACCTGAATTTTCCTCACTAACGTTCCTACATATTTTACAAATTTTACAAAGTTCAATATTACAAATAAAAAGGGAAGAAAACATTTTTCAAGGGCTGCAAAAATACATCCATTGTTTCAGCCTTTGCATATTTAAATGCCTATTCACTGCTACTCTTTGCACAGTTGTAAATGGATATCTAGTAATTGCTAATAATAATTGTAGGACCCTCGGGAAGAACAGCATAAATGCTGATGAGGCTTCCCTTAGTAAACTAAATTATTTTTATTACCGGTACCAATTAATATTATTATTATTCCATAGCAGTGTGATCAATGTCCCAAATGTATCCATTTGTAGTCGGCGAGTAGCCAAGATTTTCAGTAGGTTGTTGGGGTTATCTTTCTGTGGGTGTGACTGTGTTTATAGTATGGAGGATATCGCAATTTTGCTGGTGTCTAGGGTGCGGATATTCAAATTTTATTGGTTGAGTGTTGTAATCATCTTAAAGGTAATACAAAATTTTGGTATGGGGTCATGAATTTGATTCAAATGAACATATTGGAACTTTGGAAGCCTATGCGATTTTACAATATTCAATGATCGTTGTCGCGTCTAAAGTGATGAAATTGTAAATAATAAACTTTTTATGTTGAATAGCTCCCTCTCAAGACTGATATTACTTTAGCTTTAAAACAATGTTTCTTGACTACCATCGACCGATTTGCTATTTCCGTTTGGAAATTAATGATCAGATCTGCATATTCTGAGATTTTCATAGTCACAGCTAACATGGAATGGCCTTGGGCGCTTTTTGAAATACCGGGAGCACCCGTAAATTTTGATTTATTCAATTTCTCGAAACCAGTGCTTATAATACATCCACATGGGCATCCAAATATATCAAAACTTTAATGAATTACTATCCATCCAATTTTCAAAATTTCCCAAAACTTTGCATTAAGAACTATTTAGGAAAATTGAGGAGACTATTAAAGTGAAATTAAGGAGCTGCCCAAAGGTACGGTAGTTTTCACTTTCAGGCTTGTCCTTGTGAACCTTCACCGTTTCGGGCTGCAACGACTGCTAATTTTGATGACATTTGAACAATCCATTCTTGAAGTATTGTGCCAACAAACGGTCAGAACAGAAAAAGGTCAAATACAACCGTGTCTCTATTTGCCTCAGCCTAAATTTATTTGAGTTCACAGCCTAAATTCATATAAGGAAGCAATAAACAGCATGAACCTTGCTACTTTATTTCCATCTTAATGATAGTATATTTCAATAAACAGTCCACAAATATGCATCAATTTAGTGAACAATGAACAAACTGTATATCGTTTAAATAAACTACACACCACCATATATAATAGATATACCTCTCTTTATATAAAACTTAGGGTTGGACCTCTCTTTATCACATGTACAATTTACTACAAGAGCAAAGGTGCTTGTATAGAGAACTACCTAGAGTACCAAGTATATTCGCATGAAACGGACTTTAATAGGAAAATGCATTTCAAGTGTCCCGGCAGTGGAAATTGGGTTCCAAATATGGAGGAAACCTCAGGGTGCTTTCATACAAGTTAATCAACATCTATCAAAAATGACAAGTATTCTTCTTGACACAAACGTTGTTCCATGGACCCCCTTCTTTTAAAGAAGAGACGAGCTGTTCTTTGTCTGAAAATACATGTATTAGAAATTATAAAAATAACAAGATGAATGAGACTGCGTATTTAATATTCCTCTGTCTATATGTGTATTTATTGATCAATTATATCAATCATAACAACTTCCAGACCATCTTTGGTGGCAGAGGCTCATAAATTCAAGCATAAAAGGGTTAGTTGCCCATCACACTATAATACAATTTTTTGTTTGGACAAAAATGATAAAATAGATTTCGTGACCAGTACTGAAGTAAATCATCAACTTATGAATTTGAGCATATTAATGATAGTATTATAAAACACTTATAAACATAAATAAACATTTTAATATTGAAATAAATCAGTACATGTTAGTCGTACCACCTCAGACTGTCTCTGACCCTTCAATCATACATCAACTTTCATATTAAGGTTTCAGTTATTCAGTGAATACAATTCAAAATTTGAAGTTAGATTTTTCTGAGGCAAACCCTGTCAATTCTTTGTTATATAAAATATATGATTTATCTGTGTTTCAATAGCTCTTGGATGATGTTACCAAAGACATATCTTGATTAACAATATATTTATGAAATGATGATACAAGTATTTCAGAAGCAATTTGATATCATAACAATGGTGTGTTTTTATTTTTAACCCATATTAAGGGACATAACCATTCAGTGTTACTAAAGGCATATCAAATTATAACCATATAATGATGCTTCTGTGTTTGAGAATACATGTATATATTGGTAGCATTTACAGGCAGCTTCCATCATATTCAAGTTCAGTGAATTTTCTTTACCCACATTAATTGCGACGTCTCTTTCATGTATTCAAACTTTTCACCATGATATTTCTTTGAGCTGTAAAGCGTTGCCAAGGTAATGTGCCTGGTTACTCAAAATATTTGTGCATCGCCTTCTGAAAATTTGTGAACAGATTGATCAACAGTTGGAAATAGCACGAAACTCATGAAACTCGCAAAAATTCTTAAATTGGACAAAAAATATACATATACTTTTCCATAATTTTCATGCTGAGACAGAGTGACTTTTCCAAAATGCTGTACATTATAAGCTAACAAATTCAAGGACTTAAAACTTATGCCATTGCCATCTGCAAGCTACCTGGTTTCTAGTGATTAAATATTGGCCATTCATTTTCAATGAAGGTCTACTTTAATGAACGCAACCTTAAACTGATAAGCACAAAATGTGAGCTGTGTTTGTACAGGTATGATAACAAACTTGGATTCACAACCATATATATATTGCTGATATACTATATTGATACAAAGTTAGTTTTCCAACCCCAAAATACAATATTGCATGTACTATGAAACAACGATTATGCCTACACTTGTGCAATTCTTAAAGTAACACTGATTGAAATCTATCACACTATTAAAGTAAAGGGAAAATTTCGAAATTTGAACAACAAACTTAGACTTTCTCTGAGATTTTGAATTTGTAAATCTATGGGATGACGATCATGAATTACATACATGTAGTCTATCAATATCCAATAAAATGACAATTTTTTCCTTATATTGAACATAATTTTTAAAACTCTTTATTGGGATGTGCATGCCATTAAACTGCCACATAGACAACACGATAATCCACATTCAAATACAAATTTCAGCTTAAGGGTTCCTATTTCACCACAACCTCATCAAATTTAATGAAAAATATAATCCTAAGTACTAAAAGTGCGTTGTTTCATGATATTAGCCAAAGGTATAGATGGAAGATTAGATGAAGATCATTTTGATTATGATTTAGTAGACGTGATCTTTGACGAAGAGAGATTGTTGAGCTGCCCCTTCTCCTTTGTCTCCAACGTACTTGCCAACAGCAGCCTCGCCGTTAGCCTACAGGAAACAAACACAAAGGAGGATAAAAACAAGAGATACACATTAAAGGCATCGTTTAAAGTAGATATTCATTGATTTTAAAAACTAACTTTATTTTCATTATTGCAAAGTTGAAACTTTGATTCGACAAGGTTGTCAAAATTCAATGCTTGGAAACATTTGAATGATTATTATAAATTTCAAAACGCTTAAATACAGCTCCGGCATAGCACCTGGAGAGCTCTCCGAACGCTGCTGAGATGTGTGAGATCACAGTATGGACATGATTTGCACAAGCAGACGATGGCCCATGACATCTCACACATTTTCAGTGCCTGTGTTTTCATCTTCTCTTGAGTTCTTTCTCTTACTTCACTACCGTCAGGCTAAATGTATAATCTATTGCTTCACTCTAAACCCAGCGCATGATTTTATTTTGATGAAAAATGCAGCGATACAAAATGAAAGAATCTGTCGCTTGTAAACAAAATAAGACGCCATTGTATATTCAGCTGCACACACCGCGGTATGTTCGGCGTGTCAAGAGGGAACAAATGCCGTCTTTTATATCATTCCGGGGGGGGGGGGGGGGTTTCAATTTGAAAGTCTGGTTTCTTTGATTGTTAATTAACCCCTATCCTGTGTATTTACAAGCAAAAGATTTTAGTTATCGGAATCGGGTCATATCCCCTTTTGAATGGTTTGACATGCCATTACATTTATATACACTAAACTCATTATAATTTGACAAATAATAGCTTTGCAATTATGCTCATTCTTTATGGGATGTCGTCTGCTTGGGCAGTATTGGTCCATATAGTGACGTTATTAAAACATTGTTATATTTCTGGCGAATCTCTCGTATATCCCAGCTGCTATGGAGGTGGTTGTATTTGTATTTTTACAAATCACCCGATATGTAGTTGATCTAAAACTTGTACGATGGCCATCTGTTAGCTTACCAGTTTCTAGTGATACATTAGTTGACATATTTGTGATTTTCTTTGAATTTCACCTTTAACAATGTTAAATCTGAGATGCATGGCCCTACGTTATCAGTGTCTGTGATATGGTGTAATATTGAAGCCAAAAAAAAATTGTGCCTCAAAAAAGTAAAAAATATTTGAGTGACCCCATTCGCATTTTCCCCAATACTATAGTGTTATTTCTGTAGTGTTATAAAAACTGTTATGAAAACAAAAAATGAAATTTCGAGTTCCAATCATAAATATCTTGATAATTAGACAGGCGATCAGCTTTTAAAAGTCATGGGGGTTCCTGACTGACCTAAAATTTATAATTATGATTGCAGCATGAGCTAAATCCAGGATTTTGTTTCAGAATCTGAGACAAAGATACCTGATCCCTTTAACTGAGAGGAAACCTTTTTTTTCATAGCAACTATGAAATGTGTTAATACATCTTTGAAAAAGTGAGCATATGTGATACCAGGTCAATGGAGTTATTATTCTGAAAATGAACTTAAACTTTAAAAGAGACTGGCTAAGGTCATGCTAAATGATCCATCATTTATTGGTTGTTTGGACCTGATAAGTACAGGACAGCATTTTTATGATAAGAAAAAGGGGATCATGGGGGACCAACAGGCACAGATTAGGCATTGTTTGCTATATAGAGGGCACAAGTAGCTATGAGTAGTGCAGTGGGGCACAATTACCTTTGATCTCTGCAGAAGTGCTGCCTGTCCCTTGGCAATGTTCTCTGGTTTACCACCCCATGCCTGGAGCACACTGGCTTGCAGAGCACGGCCAAAGGAGAAGGTCAGAGCCCATGGTTTCTTGCCCTCGTACTGGTTGATGGCGTTGAGATTCAGCGAAGCATCCGTCTCAGACTGTCCTCCCGACAGGAATGTGATACCTACGCGTATTGATAGCAACAGATGAAAGGTTCAGCAAGGCAGACATTGGAAACAAAATGTTGCTCTTTACATTTAAGATTAGCTTGGGTTTTGGTAATGGTAGAAAATAAATTCTCACAGATTCCACCAAAACTTACACTGAATTTTCAAGATTACAAATAAACGACATGTGGCAAACGATTTTGGTAGAAAATGTATAGGGGCTGAGTAATGAGCGTAGAGGAAATCAAGGTATTAAAGTAGGCCTGTCAACATGTGCCTAACACAAAAGAGAGTTGTGGTTTTTATTGAAGATGATTTTGAGCTTTTGTTTGTGAGTTTCTATTTTATTTTACTGGTTCAAATAATTGATTTAGTGCAGGATAAACAATCCAGAATGAATTATAGCCATGTTCTCTCAACATACGACTCCCATACCAGAGCTCAAGATTAGCTTAGCTCAACATTTTAAAATGAATCAATCATCCAAAAAATAAATTTGAGTACAGCTAGATTTTATGAAATATAACCAACACTCAATTGACTAGAGGATGGGGCATATTAAGAAAAGAAAAGAAAATTAAATGGAACAAAATTCAGGCTTCTGTGCGAAACAGTGTGAAATCTTACCAGGGACAGCAGCTGGAACGGTACGGTTGAGAGCAGTCACCGTTGCCTTAGCCACCTGTTCGGGGGTGTACTTGGTAGGGCATGACTGACCAGCCGTCACCATGTTGGGCTTCAGGAGAGTTCCCTCTAGGAAAACATGGTGGTCATTCAGGGCCTTGTAGGTAGCAGCAAGCACCTGGTGAGCAACGTCATTCAATCAAGCAAAAGGTTTATCGTTAATAATGTAATGTGATCAAAGTATTTTTTATTCTCAAAGGAAGAATCTACAATGTCAAGTTCTGTCATTGTCATTCAAAACAAGCCAACACCATTGGTCACAAGTTGCTATTGAGGAATAATTATATAATATTGGATGGCTTGGAGTGCGATACAAGAATATATTGCTCGAGCTTGATGAATTTGGACAAAAGAGAATTTATTTGCAACTGAACATCAACCAACCAAATATTTTTCTACAACTGTCAAACTGCAATCCATCAGAAGATTGGATTTACTCTTGATGATCTGAGGCAACATCTAAATTCACATCACCATCTTCATCTTTTAAAATCCAGTTTTGCTCATTCTAGGTACATATTTAAAACAGAATGTAACCCCCCCCCCCCCCTCATCCAACACCTTTTTAGGTGACTTACATCAATACATGAAATATTACCTTTTCTGTGACATACTGAGCTCTCTCAAGTGAATGGTCACCATCAGGAAGAACTTCCGGCTCAACAATAGGGACAAGTCCATTCTGCATGATCAAGGAAATTTGGAGAAAACAAATTATTTTTCCAAAAGTAAACAAATTTATCCTAAACTAAATATAGCTCATGCTGTAAAATATTCTATCATCGCAAACCCCATCACATAAAAGGAGGCGTGATGGCACAGTGGTAGAGCAGTGGTCACGTAACCGGGAGGTCCCGGGTCCTCATTGCCAAGTCTCTCAGAGAGGACTTAAAGCTGTCGATTCCCTGGTTGCTAACTTACAAGCATATATGCTTTCTTAGCAGTCAGGTAAAACACTCAACCAACCAACCATAACATAAAAATAACAATGGGAGATTGAGTACTTGCATGCGCAGGCCCAAGACTGGAATAACTCCCCCTTAAAAATTAGATAAATTCAATCAACTTTGTGTTAGGAGCTCTTGCAGTGAAGTAAAATATATATCCACAGTGTCTGCGCTGTATAAATGTATATCATCATTATCATTATGATAATGCAAGAATATAAATTTAGTTGAATCTGGTAAACCAAATGTGACCTAATCACTTCAGGGGGGTATTTCACAAAGATCCTAAGTTGAACTTATCTCTAAGTTGGACTTAAAAATTATAGAAAGTCGTTAGCAGCTATGAAAATATTTTTTAAAAGTTATTTTAAAAGGCATAAAATGATGATTCAAATCATTCATGTTTTCTATTATCAAGGAGATTTCATGTTTTTAATGTGGAATTTATGAAAAGTCTAAAATACTTGCATTTTCACTTTTGAATATATTATATTTTATGGCTACAAATGGTTCTCCATAATTTTTAAGTCCAACTTAGAGTTAAAGATGAAGTTGAGTTCTGGTCATGCGATTGCATTGTGAAAGAAACGGTGTGGAACCGACCAGAAAAGTTTGATCATCTAGCATATAAGAATTTGTGTGTATTGCAAGGTTCTGGAATCATCAAAATGATAAGAAATGTAGCCACGTCTTGGTAAAGTTACAAACACTTGCACAGAAAGATGTATATGGGACTACACGAACACGTGGCGTAAAAAGCCGCCCCCCCCCCCCCCCCCCGATTTTTACGATGTTACATGCATATTTAGAATATGAAGGCATTTGAAGAGCCATGCTTTTCAGGGAACATGTCTTATCTGATGTTCTTCCACACTTGCATAATAAGAATGAGTAAAGCTCACAAATTATTTTTCACCTCTTCCCAGAACTCAACCTTCTCTTTAAGTTTGACTTAAAATCTTTGTGAAACACCCCCTGGTAACTGTCAATAGGAGGTGAAATGCAAAGGAAAGTGCAGCGGCTGACTGTGGCCGCTATAAAGAGGTGAAGCTACATCTGTAATGTCTGAACTTGAAGGCTGAGAAATGGACTTACCTGTTGGCAGCAGACAGCATACCTGGCCAGAACATTAGCATTCTCCAGGATGGCCAATGGGGATGGAGTCAGATCAGAGATCTTCAACACGCATCTCCACTTGGCAAACTGTGCACCGTTGGCCTTGTACTTGGCGCAGCGTGCATTGAGGTCGTCCAGGCCCTGTGTGGTGCTCTCGTTGTTGAAGGTACCGGGCAGGGCAACAACACCCTTGTCCACCTATATGATAATCAAAATGAGGATTTAAAGTGTATCAATAAACTTGAAAACAAAAAATTGTGTATAGCTAGTATGTATACAATCAACCTCAAACAAAAGAAATGAGACTGCACCTTCAATTTACCGCCGGCTAAAGTGCCTTAAAGTTAAGATCATGGGTTGTATAATCTTTGGAATAACATGATGAGAACAAAAAGCCTATACTTAACTGTCAATTGATGCTTTGACCTTTGACCTTACGACTCCAAAATCTGATCCCTTTGCTTTCGGGTTATCAGACTAGAACATGTATTTTCAGAAAGTGACCTCTGGCCTTTGACCTACTTATTCCAAAAACCTCTCAGATTGCCTTCCTTTGGTAATACATACTATCACAAAATGATGTAAATTAACTCCAATTCCGTTGAATTTGGTATCAAAATGTAGATAATTTAATTCTATTTCATATGACCCCTGATTCATAGTGGTGTAAGGTTTCCTTAAAATATTATTCACAAAAACAAAAATTCATCAAAAGGGCCTCTTTTTTGGACGCCCTCTGATTTAGGGGTGTTTACTACAATTTCTTTTTTTAATCACCTCTGAAATATTGTGTATTAGGATAAAAACTTTTGATTAAACGAGTCGTGCTTAGTTTGTGTGGTAGTTGCAGGGAACTCAAAGACTAAGCATGATATTTGACTTTGGCCCTCCGCTTATATTGTATTGGACCTCCACTGATCCGTTGCTCTAACTTTTCTTTCAAAACAACTAATGAAGCATATAACAAATTGTAGGACCATTTCTTTCTTCTTCTCAACCTGTACGAACAGGGGGTGTTTCACAAAGACTAAGATCAACTTTAAGTTGGACTTAACTATGACAGGCCATTCATGCCACTGGTTGCTTTCTCCATTGGTCTCTCAATTATGATCTTTAGAGAACAAAGTATTCTTCAATAATGAACTATCAAAACATGAACATTTTGTAGATTTGTGACCATGATTGGTACATCCCTTGAGAAACCAATGTCAGTAAAAGATGAGAGAAAATAGTGGCATGAACGGCATGCCATATTTAAGTCCAACTTAAAGTCGATCTTAGTCTTTGTGAAACACTCCCCTGGTCAGTGCTGCCATACCCTGTAGCATGCTGGTGGTCCTTTATTACCTTGATTCCTGGGATGATGCCTTGGTTCTTGAGGAGATCTACAAACCTAGTCCCATTTTCAGCTTCCTGCCAGAAGGTCTCATCATAGAGGATCACACCACTGATATACGATGTCACATCCTTGGGGGCGGTGAAGAGAAGCTGACGATAGGCGCGACGATTGGCGTCTGTATTCTCACAGTTAATGCTGGCCAGCCTCTTGCCAATGGTGCCTTTAAAATAAGAAAAATTAAGATGGTGTCGGTAGAGTGTCCTGAAGATCTAAATACATGTGGGTGCTTCAAGGGGACTTGGTAACATTGTTCAGATGAAAGAAAATGGTGCTGAGGTAGTGACTTCAATGCTAGGTGTACAATTAAAGATAATCTGAAAGTTTCACCGAAAATAGATCATTATTAATGATAGAAACTGATGTAATCGATTCCTTAATTCTCCCAACTATATTATTACAATCTAATTACACTTTAGGTGAATGTAAAATGTCACAAAGCAATGAATTGGCTCAATATAGCATTCCTGACATTTAAGTGTCGAAAGATTTTTAAAAGCCTGTCTTATGTCTTATTTTCATGGAAACGGTTGGGAAACTTCAATAATGGTTGGGAGAATTTATTGTTAGAGGGTATCGCACAGTGACGCCTTCCAAGAAAACCATAAATATCTTTGTGGTTTGAGAATTATTTCAGGATTTTTTGCATGTTAGAGGGTTAGTGCAGTAGAAGGAATATAGTAAGTAAGTAACATTTCATTAAAAAATTATGCAATTTTTCATCAACCTTCAACAATGTTACTAAGTCATTTTAAGTATTAAGTTACATCAAAAGGTAAACATTTATTCCTGCTTCTTCCATGGTACCTATGGAGACTTATTTCTGGCTACCGTAAACACCCGCGGCAAAGGAGACTAGGCTTGAGTCAAAACGATTCCCTGCTCGGCCTCCTGCCATCACACTAAAACCAGTGTCTGAATTTTTTATTTTAGGTATTCTTAATTTTTGATTTCAGGTATTCCAAAAATTGAATTTCACACTGATATTTGCAACACAGAACTTAAAATAAATAATTCACAAATTTTCCTTTCCCCTTCTTTAAAAGGAAAACAAGTTGTAAATTTTGCACTGAAGTGGCAAATATTAATATTGAATTTAAATCAACCTACCAAGATAATATGGACCAAAATCACCAGACCTGTGATCTAATTAAATTCAAGCTAATTGTGCAGTCATTCAAACTGAGAGAGGGGCATCTTTTCAAAGAATACATGTTAATGCAACGTAGACTCTGAGGGTTCAGTGACACAAAGACGTAACTCAAAATGAGTATTTGATATCAAAGAGTTCAGGAAAAATGTGGGCTTTCCAGGAAACACAAAAGACTGAACTCCACCCAACATCCCATTGAAGTCAATGGCTAGTGAAACATAGACTTAACTCCTTAAGGCCCAAGTGCTCAGTGACACATAAACCACTTTTTCTCAAAATGGCCAAAATGGAATTACGTCTTTGTGTCACTGACCCCTCGTTATGTTAATGCAATGTCCACTCATGCATTTTAGAAAGTGTTCTTTACCTGTGCTTTCATCAGCAGCGAGTATCCCATGTCCAGGGCGAACAATGGCATTGGCTATTCCACGAAGCTCTTCCTGCATCTCAGGAGTCAAGTATTGAGCTACTCCAGTTGGCATGGTTACAGACTTAGGTATTCAACAAGATGAGATAAAAATCTGTCCAAGGAATAAAACAAGAATTGAAAGAAAAGAGAGAATTTGCTGTAAGTTCTGTTACATTCTTCCAAGAATATCAAATCAACACAAAAATAATAATAATCAGAATTCAGGTTACCTTTGAATCAGAAACAAATTCAGTTTGTTCACATCGTCCTTGTTTTCACGAAGTGACGGTAGTGAGGAAAATCGTAACGCAAAGTGAATGCAATTTTTTTTCACTACCGTCACTTCGTGAAAACAGTGACGTGTAGATGGCATATGCAACTGAACTGATTGGCGGACTAACATTTTGTATTAGTCTAGTCAAAATGGCACTTTCCCCAAAACAAATTGCAAAAAGAAGAGTGAAGACAGTGACAACATTTTCAGAATAATTTAATTAAATGACTAAAATTTGCATAATATCCAAATTAAAATCGGCAATGAAAAGAAATTCATTTTTTTCATAATTCGTGCATGTACAATATACCCGAGTGAAATAATTCAAATGCCCCACATTATATTTTTAATGTTACTAAACATGTTGGACACAATTCAATATTCAAAGCGTTCATCAAAAAGATATTAAAATTCATAATTTCTCCGTAAATTTGCATCTAAGTATGCAGTTGAAAGTTGAAACAAAGGTTTCCAGTCACATCAACGCATTACATTACGCATATTTGCAGGGAGCATAGATTAAGGACCATGCAATGTAGCGTTAGGATTACCCGCTATAAAATCTTCTCACTACATGGAGCGGGAACTCACACTGCCATCCTGTCTCTCTACCTGTGTGCTGGATTCTGAAGTACCTTCTGCCTACCAAGAATGCTCTATGGATGGAGAACCCATCATCACAATCAATACTTAGAATTAACTTGGCCCAAACCAGCCTATTTAAGAAGATCCTAGGACTCCCACAAAGTGCCTCTAATGAAGCAGTTTATCTCCTCACTGGGCCCTCTTTCTACGCTTGTACTTTTGCCAACGCCTGACGTGTTTCAGAGAGCTTCCCTCAGTCAACTCACAGTAGCCTGGTCCTTTAAACATCTTTATGCCTGCATGCGAATAATCTTCAGCTGAACTTGCAGTTACATGATTGTAGAACTAGATCCAGAGGGCGGCGAAGGGAAATGATCCTGATCTGTTTCGGTTTCGGTTGCGTCAGTATAGGCCTCAGGGTTAACTGTACTTCACCAACGTTGGGTGGTTTGAGTTCCTAGTAAATCAGCTTCATGCCAGGATGTTAATCTTGATGAACTAAAAATGCACCACGTCTACACTTTCTTTCATTGGAAAAATGCATTCGAGTTTCCAGGGCCAGGCCAGGGACTATATTTTTAATTAGTTAATTACTAATCTAGATCTATTACCGGTAGACTCTAGGCCTAGTTAAAAAAAATTCTCCCTAAACCTAGAATTGAATATTGTCGCAGAACTACCCAATATACATGTAGAAGCTCATTTCAATATAATACTCTTCCTCCTACCACTAAATTACTTCAAACTGTTTTAACATTCAAAAATAATTTAAACAATATTATTATTCCAGACTTCTTGTAGCTTGTTTTGTTTCCCTTAATTTACTTGTCTAGCTTTCTCTCTTAGATCTAGATCTATCGTAACTATTTCTCTCCTGTAGATCTAATCTTGTTTTACTCAAATTTGCTCTTATCATTATTGTAAGTTCTTTTTTTGCTGCAAGTTTTCCTTACTTCTGTACTATTAGTACTATCTATTTTCATGTTTTATATGTCTACAGCATTGTTATGTTAACAATGCTATAAATAACAACAATAAATAAAATACAATACAATTAGATCTAGACTCTAGGCCTACACTAAACTTAAAGGTCCAACTCTAAGCCTAAGTAAGAGTAGAGTCTAGACCGAATTTTCCATCTCTTTCGTTCGTTAGCCTCTTATTGGGGTAGGGTCGGCTCTCTCTTTAGAGACAGAAACCGTCTATACACATTCCCTTGATAACGCCACGGCCATTTCAGGTCGTATTGTTATGCCCCCAAAATCCCCCCAAATGTCATTTTACCTCAATTCAATTCAATTCAATTCAGAATTTTATTTCAGACTCAACTACACAAGGCAGAGGTCCATAAAACATATGTTACATAGATATATAGTATAAACATGATCGTGTATATCCAATTGTAAATTAGGCCTAGGCTATAATACATCAGTTCCACTTACTAACTTGACTGAAATAATCCGTTTAATGGTCCCTTTTAAGGAAATTATGGGTCAAAATCGACATCCATGTTGAAAATCTTGCAAGCCGTGTTAAAAATGATTATGAAGGGAAAACTGTGCGCCATCTACACGTTCGTAATGGCGTTATCACAGTTTTTCCTTCATTATCATTTTGCCTTCGGCGTAGACTAGAAGGGATGAGATTGATTTAGATGACTCCATGCGCAGCGAGAGTTTAACACGGCTTGCAAGATTTTCAACATGGATGTCGATTTTGACCCATAATTTCCTTAAAAGGGACCATTAAACGGATTATTTCAGTCAAGTTAGTACGTGGAATCGATGTATTATAGCCTAGACCTCTAGCCCAATTTACAATTGGATATACACGAGGTAAAATGACATTTTGGGGGATTTTGGGGGCATAACAATACGACCTGAAATGGCCGTGGCGTTATCAAGCCAGGGAATGTGTATAGACGGTTTCCGTCTCTAAAGAGAGAGCCGACCCTACCCTTCTTCTTCTTCCTTTTGAGTACAGACCTCTTTACAGAGTATTATCGTACTATACTGGGGGTGTGCAGGTGGACCACTACACCGGGGTTTCCCCCTACTCTTATACGAATAGGTCTAGTGCAATACCCCAATAAGACTTAAGAAGAGGCCAACGAACGAAAGAGACAGAAAATTCGGTCTAAAGTAAGAGTAATCTAGACGCATATTAATTTTCCATAATTAATGTATTTTCAAAAATCGATTATAATTTTATACTAGACTTCTAACTTCAGCCAACTCACTATATATATACTCGTGATCGAGGCCCCGCGCAACGGCATCGCGCGCACTTCAACACAGCAGCGGGGCCTGTATCACGACTATACTTATATACTCGTTATCGAGGCCCCGCGCTACGGCATTGCGCGCACTTCAACACAGCCGCGGGGCCTGTATCACGAGTATATATAGTGAGTTGGCTATTCAACTCGCTATAATATACTCGTGATATAGGCCCCGCGCAACGGCATTGCATGTTCTACAACACGGACATGGGGCCTGTATCACGACTATACTATAAACTCGTGAACAAGGCCCCATCCTATGCATTTTCAAGACGGACAGCACGGAAGTGGGGCTTCTTTCACCGAAGTATAATTTAGGGGGTGTTTTGAGGCTTAATGAATAAAGCTAGTAATTATTAAAAAGGGTTAGATCTAAGTTACATTTAAATGATTAAATTTATCTTTTAGGAGTCTAGACCTTTTTTTAATATTTTTCCTTTTTTTAATAGATCTAGGACTAGATCTAGACCTAGTCTATTTTTTTCCTTTTTTTTTTTTTTCCTCTTTTAATATTTTGGCCCCCTCTTTTTAAATTTATCCTTTAGACCTAGGTCTAGTTTGATATTTTTTTTTTTTTTTTTTTTTTTTTGGGGGGGGGGGGGGGGTCCCCCCAACCCCCCTCCCCCTCTCTTTAAATTTATTTTAGTTAAATATTTTTCCTTTTTTAATTTTTTTTGGGGGGCCCACCCCCCCCCCCCCCCCTCCTAATTTTTATTTAAAAAATAGGTCTAAGTCCCTTTCAACCCCCTTTTTAACTCTCTTCTAGATCTAGAGGTCTAGATCTATATCCCTTTTTGCTGTCCGTCGCGTCATGAAAATGTTGCCTGAAGACTGAAGTTAGAAGTCTAAGATGATTTGTAATCGATTACACGACGGGTAAGTTGCGGGGCCTATTTCACGATATTGCCAAATGAACTAAACTACAACCACAACAACTTGGAGATAATTTGCTGAATCATCGTCAAGCCATGGCATGATGTACGTACAGTACTCAGCTCAGTAGGCCTAGCTAGGCCTATTCAGTTCCACCCGGACGTCCGTCATGCATAATTAGAATCTAGCCAGTCCACGGCAATTACTGATTTCAAAGATAAATTTGCCTATACAACGAGGATATGGCATGGTCAGGTCTTCTCTGAAACACCACAAAATAAGAGATATATATATATTAGTTGAAAGCAGCCCATACCTGTGTTTTTGTGCGAGATTTAGCAGCCAACAGCGTGTGCACGAATTCCAGAGATCAAGAGGTCGAGGCGGAGGGAGAGCGAGAGAGCGAGAGAGCATGTAAAGCAGCGGGGCAGCTCAGGCGGCATCCAGAGACCTAGCAAGCTAATTAGTCGTCGACCTGCAAATATACACGTACGCACGCACGCATGCGCAAACGCATACCACTGAGCTTCTGGATTGGAGGCGTGTTCCTCATGCCCAGTGCTCATTGGTCATTCTCGCGTGATGTCACAGTGAACTATGGAACGCCAAAAGTCAATTAAAGTTGACGGCATGGGCTAATGGGATAGTAAGGTAAATATTACCTTTTTTAAAACATAAAACAAAAGCGGTCCCCCTGACCCCCCCCCCAAAAAAAACTTAGTGGTCCTCCTCTCCATCATCCCCCCAACAACAACAACAACAAAAAAAATCCTCAAAAACTTGACCCCCCAAAAGTATGTTTTCTCAAGATTTGCCCCCCCCCCCCCTCCCCGCTCTTGCCGCCGGCTGGATCCGCGCCTGCATAATAACAATTAGGAAAAGCAGTATTTGTACACAAAGTAAAGCAAAATGTCAATTTCCGTTCAATTTTGGCGCGATATGTACGAAAACGATTGACCGATTTTTGCAATCTAGTCTTAATGTGGCAGGACACATGAAGGAAAAAAAGTCACTCAAAATTAAGGCAAATTGCGATCTGCAGCAGTTGGGAAGTCGTGGATTTTGTTTTAAGGAGGGTAAAAAAAATGACAGCTTTTTATTTATTGACAGCTTTTTATTTAGTATGACAGCTTTTTATTTACTGGCAGCTTTTTATTTACTGGTAGCTTTTTATTTACTAGCAGCATTTATATTTACTGGCAGCGTTTTATTTACTGGCAGCTTATTGTCTACTGACAGCTTTTTAATTACTGGCAGCGTTTTATTTACTGCCAGCGTTTTATTTACTGGCAGCTTTTTTTTTACTGGCAGCTTTTCTATTACTTGCAGCTTTCTTTTTTCAAGACAGCTTTTTTTTCATGACTTTTATATTTATATCACCTATATTACTGTATTATATCCCATCTACAGTTTTCACGCCGTCACACGATTTTACGTCATCAACTTCGTCGTCAACTAAAAGGGAGTTACACGAAATTAGGACATAAGCAACTTAGAATGTATGTAAAATTTTGCCAATCCATATGCATGCAATATCCACAGCAGAGGCGGCGCCCCACTTTTTCAACTACCCCAAAAGGACCCCTTTTGACATAGGAAAAGTGCCCAATTTTACTTTATAAAAGTGCCCCTTCCCCTTTTCATCTTTGATAATTGCCCCTTTTATTTTTGAAACGTGCCCCTTTTCCTTCGACAAGTCCCCATTTTCCTTATGCAACAAGTGTCCATTTTCATAAGTGCTCTTTTTATTCTCTAGTAATTGCCCCTGTTCAGGTTCGAGAAGTGCTACTTTTTACTTTTGATAAGTACTCCCGTCACCTCTGATAATTGCCCTGTTTAAATCTGAGAGGTGCCTCTTTTACTTTGACAAGTGCCCCTTTTTTGTTATAAGTGCCCCTCCCCCTTTTATAATAATCCTTTTTAACTCGGATAAGCGCATCTTTTATTTTCACATGTACACCTTTTCCTTATGATGCGTGTCCCTTTAAACAAAAAAGAGGCCCATCCCCTTTTAATAAATGCCTTTTCTCACCTATGAAAAGTGTCCCATTTGACTCTCAGAAGTACCCATTTATATCTTTGGTAAATGACCCTTTTTAGGTACGAGAATTTACTCCTTTTCTCTTCAAATAGATGCCCCCTTCACCTCCGATAATTGCCCCTATTCAAATCAAATTTACTTTGACAAGTTCCCCTTCTCCTGATAAGTGTTTTTTCCATCTCTGATGCCTGCTATTTTTCACCTCTCAGTACTGCCCCTTTTATTTTGACACGTTCCCCTTTTTCTTTCTAATAAACGCTCTTTTTCCTTCTTATAAGAACCCCTTCACCTTTTCATCTTTCAGTGATCCGTTTACAGTTCTAACTTGTGCCTGTTCTTTTAAATAAAAGCCACTTCCCCTTCTCATTAAAGCCCCCTTTCACCTCTGAAAGATGCCCCTATCAAAAACTGATCAGTGTCCCTTCTCTTTGAACATAATGCATATTTTCCTTTATTATAAGTACTTTTTTAAATCTCATAAGTGCCCCTTTTTATACTTGGTAAGTGCCCCTCTTTAGGTGCGATAAGTGCCCCTTTTCACCTTTGATAATTACCCTTACTTTGACACATGCTCCTTTTCTAATAAGTGTCTTTATCCTTTCCGATAAGTGTCCCTTTTTCCTCCTTTCATTTAACGTGCCCCTAATTTAAAGCGACAAAGAGCAATTTCCCCTAAAGCTATTTCGCATTTAAAGATGATATATAAAGAAGTTACTTATCAAAGGTCTTTCAGTCTTCCGTTATGACTTATGAGAATGTGCCTTTAACCCCATCAGGATTTGGGGTTTTCCCCATTTTTCGCACTGCGACCTCACAAATTTAAATTTTTCCTCGCTCGCTTTGCTGTTTCGTAAATGAATATTTAGACTATCACACCCAACTACAAAGTATGATATCTTGTATGATGTTTATAGAGAAACAAATTTTGAAATCATCCCTGAATATTTAATTACAATGTATGGGTATATACTAATGTCTAAATAATTGCATTTGTCGCTTTGAGATTTTCCCTTTGTAGGTTGCCCTTTTTTCTCTCCAGAAATTGCCCTTTTGGGGGGTGCCCCCCCCCACATTGTAAGTTTCTCCACCACCCCTGATCCATAGAGAATGTCCAATCAGCGTGCATATTCCGTGTGGTCTGCCCCTTAAATGTAAGAAACTAGACGATCTTAATCACGGTGAAGTCGTCTGCTAGCTGATGTCTGAATAACCATTCTGAAGAAAAATTTAATCAGTTTTCCTCTAAAAAAAAGAGTGGATGCTGATTTCCGGAAGCCGTGATGACATGTAAAGCTGCCATCATCAACTTCAATTGCCCTTTTGGCGTTCCATAGGAAATGGGCATTCTGTCTGTGTGTGAATATCAAAGTCACATCTCCCTGGATGCATGATCATAGATTCATAGAAGATATATTTTTAAAAGCTATCTTCTCTATTGTATAGATAGAGTCAAATGTGTCAATCACCGAAGATAGTGTGATATTAACAAAACTCATAAAGAATCCTCTCCCCACCCTAAAAACATAAACAAGCCATTGACCTTTGACCGTTTCTCAAGATCGAGACCGGGGCTTGCTAGATCATTCGGATGTGTGTCGATGTGTCGATATCGACGAGATGGAGAATGCCGTGCACGTCCAGAGCGCGTGTTCACGTCAGTCATGTATATAGTACTTTGACACCCCTGTTCACTTCCCTCTAAAAAGTTTGATTGTTAACGTTGATGCTGTTTTTACGAAATTGGGCGGGAAGACCGAGCTATTATATTAACCGCTTTACTTTTTTTTCTTGGTAAAGGTAGGCCTACTTGGATGTAACTGTCACTAAATATGAGTGTGTCTAGCTATAGCTGTGTCATCTCAGCCTTCGATATAGTCGAGTCTAATTGATTCATCAATGCGTCGACCTCATCCGCATACTTTGAATACTGTAATTTCGAACGCTAACGCTGCCCTGCATGATCCAGGGTATATGCTGGATATAATATATACACTCAGTGGCGGATTCGGGGGGGGGGGGGGGGGGGCACAAGGGGCACGTGCCCCCCCCCCCCCCCCCCCCCCCCCCCCCCCCCCCAAAAAAATGTTGAAATCAGCCCCAAATTCGCCAAAAATGTACTGGCAAACAGGGACGTGCCCCCCCCCCCCCCCCCCCCCGGCCAAAAAAAAAAAAAAAAAAAAAAAAAAAACAAGTGCGCACTCCCCCCCCCCCCCCCCCCCGCTTATTCAGCGGCTGGCTGAGTCGTTGCGATTTTTTTGGGACCAAAATATATATATATATATCCTCTTACCCCTCGTGTGACCCCCCCCCCCCCCCGGGAAGAAATTCCTGGATCCGCCCCTGACACTACAGGGCTGGCTGCACAAGATGTACGTACACGTCTAGAAAGAAGGGAGTGTTCTGTTCACATGTCTGGGTAACAGTGTGAGTGATGTCACTACCAAATTTACCATTCACGTGTAAATCGCATAAATAACTGGCATAATCTTCTTTTGGGGCCTGTAAACAAAATGGTGAAGATTGTCAATGGGAGTGTTAACATAATCATGGCAATATTATTGCCCCTTTTATGAGAGCAATACACATTTTATAGTTTAATAACTTATTAATGAAATGAATTTTGACAACAAATTGCCCCTCATTTTTTTTAGGGGGATCGTTCCCTCAAGAAAATTTGAAATAGCGCATACAAAAAAATGTATAGCAAATATTAAAGACACACTTTTAGGGTCTATAGAGGGCCCAAGAGTGCAGCGTTTAGACTCTTCTTTAAATTAATTAAAATCTGTTCAGGTGCGATAAGTGCCCCCTTTCACATTTGATAATTACCCTTTACCCCTATCGATAAGTGTCTCCTTTTCCTCTCGTCATTAAACGTGCCCCTAATTGAAAGCGACTAAGAACAATTTCCCCCAAAGCTTGCGCGCATTTATAGATGATATATAATTATGTTACCCAACAAAGGACTTTTCAGTCTCCCGTTTTCTTTGTGCATGGCTGATCCGGGGGGCGTCTTATTTTTTCGTACCACGGCGAGCCCAGATTCCAGTATGAACTCATTTTCATACAGAACAAGCTAGGAAAGCTTGCAAAGAGGTCACAAACAATTGGACTTTGATTATTTATTGCTTTGCCTCACTATTTTATAAAGGCAAACAAACTAAATAAGCTGTGATTTGAACCCTCACGTCAACTCCAAAGTTATGTTGGTATCACGCTGTCTTTACCGATTGAGCTAACGATGAGTTGATGAAAGATTGATTTGTATAATTACTATCACCCTATTAACCACCCTACCGGATTCCACGTGCGCATGCGCTGGTTTCCTTCGCAAGTGCGCATGCGCACGTTCCCCTCGCGAACTCAATCTCGCCGTGGTACAAAAAAATAAGACGTATCCGGGGGCTGATCCTCAACGAAATGGAGTTTAGTCTTTTGTCAACTCTGTTTGTTGCTACGGCAGGCAGCCAGTGAAAACGAATTCGTTTAATCAAATTATGGAAATGCAAGTATTACTTTAAATAAACAGAACTTTGTTATTACTGGTTCAATTTTCCTGATTGAGGTGTCATAATGAAAGGGCAGAAAATGAACTTTCTAGAAATGTGATTTTCTCTTTGAAATTCAGATGGCCTACCGCCCGCCCAATGACTTTTTGGTACCCTCTCTTCACTCATGCGTAAAATATGCATCATATGAGTTGCACCAAATGAAAGAGGAGGATCTAAGCTTTATAATATGTGTCATTTATTAATCATAATTATAAGTTATGATGAAACATCGATAATTCTCGTTTTTCGTTTTTCCTGGGACGCACTGAAGATATAAATATATTATCAATTATCATCTAGAAATTATCTTTAATATTCATGATTGATGCAACAGTGGGGCCTCATCAAAGCCACAGTGTGGCCTTTTGTCGCCTCATATTAAAGGTAATGGTATGGGGTTATGAATTTGGTTCAAATGAACACATTGAAAGCATGAGCGATCCTACAATATTCGGTGATTGTTGTCGCGGTTGAAATCGAGTCTAAAAAGTTATGAAATTGTAAATTATAAACTCTTTATATTGTATAGCTCCCTCTCAAGGTCAAGATATTAATTAAGCTATGAAACAATGTTTCTTGACTAAAATCGACCGATTAGCTATTTCCGTTTGGAAATTATATATCACATTCTGAAATTGTCATGGTCGCAGCTACTATTGTACGGCCGTAGGCGCTATTTGACATTTTTACAAAATTACCGGGAGCACCGATAAATTTTTACATTCATTTTTCTCGAAAGCAGAAGTGTTTTAGGGGCTCAATTTTCTAATGTTTATAATACATCCACGGGGGCATCCAAATATATAAAAATTGTAAGAATCACTATTAACCCAATTTTCAAATTTTCCCAAAACTCTGTATTACTTTTAACAACTCTAATTTATCATTGAGTGTCAAGGGCCTCAAGGCATCGATAAATGTGGAAAGCATACAAATATGAAAATCAAATCATTTAAAATCGGTATATATATGATTTGTAAAGAAACTAATTCAGCGGAATCATAAATAGTCATTATTACAATAATATTAGTTGATTAGTTTTGATGGATTGTTAAATCAGCACAATAATGCGTACGATGCAAAGATCAATGAAGTTTTAAAAAGATAATTTTAGCAAAATCATTGTCATAAATCTAATTAAACAATGTGAAAGTTGAAATGAGCAAATTCTTATCAGAATTGACACAATGGCCCCATTCATGCCAACCGCAAAAAACCGCCACCATAATTATGACATGGCACCCTATCAAATATATGTCTATAGAAGGTTGATAGTCATAATTATTTTATAGTTAGATATTTGGCACGCGTGGTGGCTATTCCCATAAGACAATGTAGGTTATAATTAGGTAGTTTTGAAGTAGGTCAAACCCTGAACATCATTGTTATCTAAAATTATTTTTAATTGCACCAAGAAAGTTTTATCTCAAACTATTTATAAAAATGAGCTTAAAATCTTAACTTGAAATCGGGACGAGGATCCAATTGTCCCGTGATAATTGCAGCAGCTGATGATTTTCACATCGAGTCGTGAAATCCTGGGAGGTTTGGGGGAAATTTAACCAAGGTACAGGTTGGTGCCTTTGTTCATTTTGAGTCTTTGAGTCGAGAAGATGAGGAGCTTTTTCGTTGTCTTAGCTTTTATCGTCTCGGCCCTCGCGGACAAGGACTACAGCGGGTAAGTTTGATTAATTCTGTCTTCTAAAAACATTTCTAAAACACGAACCTATTTGAAGGTGGCAGGGGTAGGGGGTCACCCCTCCCTTTATGTAACCATAAAATTATTGAACACCGCTTTTACATACGGATGCTTTCTTTAATAGCAGTCAGGTAAAACGAAACATCAATCTATTGCCGGGGCAATCTATAATGATGGTGATGAAGATAATGGTGCATCATCACATTTTTTTTTTTTTTTAATTATCACGGTATATCTTATAATAATTGTGATTTTACACCATCATCATCGTCCACTCCTCCTTATTATCATAACAATCAATATGTTTGGAATTTCTGTTGCGTAAGTTCAAGGCCTTGCTCGTCAAGAGAGTACTTCTTTCCTTGTGTTACGCATCGGCAAGGTCAGTCTCTCCGTCGCGTGCGGCTCTCCGACTGACCCGGATCGGAGGTCAGACTTTGTCCTCAGTTTGGGAACAAACTCTGTCTTCCCTTAGCTCGAGGACGGGGTGTATCCACTGCCTGGTTCAATCGAGAGCCGCATACAAAGCTTATTGCATCGATACTATAATATAATAATAATAAAACGGTGCTTATAAAGCGCTTTCCACCGAAGTTACAAACAAAATACAATGACAAACAGTTATATATTAATTTTAACAAACAATAACAAATAAACCAACAAATTACAAATACATATGAAATATACATCAACGTGAACAGAGTAAGTTAATCATCAAAATCAATTATTTTTAATAAGTTTTGATTTGATTGACACTCTGACATCTTCTGACATGCAATGGTAAATTGTTCCAAAGTTCAGCAGAAGCTTTGCAAAAAGAGCGATTACCATTTATAAGAAAGAGTTGACACCGAAGTAGACACGAGGTTCAAGTTGTGAAGATGACCGTAGATTACGTGAGGGTTTGTTTTCCTGTATGGTTTAAGAGAGTAAGGAGAGACGAGAGCAGTGAGATCGACAGTTTCCGTGACAGTTTAATCAAATTTGTTACGATACCATATACTCTTCAATTATTTTGTTTGACGCATGATCTTCTAAACAATATTTCTACTATGACACAATAAGCTTTTATATAACTTAGTAACTATATTAGTATCACTGGATGGAGATCATTATGCAGTCGTAACGTTCCATAATTTCTTATCATTATTATTGATTGCCGCGTGGGGGGGGGGGGTAAATATACGGTACCTAGCAGAGGGTCTACTTAATTGTGAGTCTGGGAGCTAGGCACTCGTCTTTCCGAAGGTTCACGATTCTGAAAGTTCCTTATTCCGATTATTTCTCATGCGAGAGGGTTCATAATAGCTCTTTTGAGAGATCTGCCCTGGCTACCAGTACGCCAAAGAATATAATTTAAGATTCCGTTGATTGTCTATGAAGCGCTAATAGGTCAATCCTTTACTTACAACATGCGCAGCTCTCAAAAAACTCTATTATTACAAACCCCATCTCAAAAATAACATTGGGAGATCGAGCATTTGCATTAGCAGGCCCCAAAATTGTGGATTAACTTACCGTTATAAATTAGGAACTTATGAACCTTCGGAATCATGAACCTTCCGAGTAACGAACCTACTTCGGAAAAACCCATGTAACCTATATAGGTCCGAATTCACAAAGGAGGTTTGTCGACAAACCTTGGTTTTCGTACGTCATAATTATGACGCATTTTTACGCGGTTTTTACAAACCTGGTTTGTAAAGAACAAAAGGAGGTTTGGCAAAACAAAAGGAGGTTTGTCGACAAACCTCCTTTGTGAATTCGGGCCAGAGAGTCTGACGAGAAAAAGACTTTACACTAACCTTTAAACCAAAGTCTATAGCCCCAGTGAGGCTGTAGACCAATGGTTGGTGTTCATCTGGATTAAATCTATAACTATCTACGTCATGAAAAAGATAAAGGGCACCATATGCTTCATTTACAGGGCAAATCCGATTATATAAGTGTATCAAGTACACCAATACATGACACTACAGAGGCTTTTGTTTTAAATGCAGTTTAAAAAGACAAAAATAGTATTAACGAAAAAAGGACATCGCAAATTGATGCAAGGAAAATATCTTCACATTTCTCCATAATTTAAAATGGAAATGCTTGATCCTCTATGAAGCATACCACCTATATCATTATATATTAATTGCTGCTATTTATATTTAGAATTTGCGCAATTCAAAAGGGTGTATAATATTAAAGGGGGTCTATAAAAAAAATGCGATTTAATGTTCGCAATGAAACTCATATTAGTTTTCCTCGATGTACCTATCAGGAGTCAACTTATATCTCAACAGGGTGCAGCATTCTCGGACACGATTCTCAAATTTTGGGGGAAATGTCGGTCCCGTCCAATGGAGGCTGCACACCTCAATCTATAGTCAGACATAAGATAAATACAAGATACAAGATAATTAAAGATGCTAGCTTTAATACATCACGAGGCCATCTGTAACAGCCTATAAGAGGATAATAGATTATAACGATAACATTATCATGTATTACGTAAAGCTTCGTATATAAAAGGTGTTACATTGAGAAGTTATTATTATCGTCAAACGCCACTGGCAACCATGTTTAAGTTTTTGGTTCTAGCTTCGCTCCTAGCGTCGGCCTTTGCCGCTAAGTCTTACAGCGGGTAAGTTCGAAAAAGATATTGCTCATGACTGTGTAGACTTCATACGAAATAGTTTCGTTAACATTACACAGACATCTCAGAACTTACTTATGGGTCGATATTTAATCGTACAAGAGTTTCCTTGTATTTTGATTGGTTATGAACAATAATTGATTATGATTTCACATAATTTATATCGAAAGTACTATGTCTTTCTTTTAAATTGCAGTCAGCACCAGGAAAATTGCCTTTTGTGCTTTATAATACCATACAGGATGTACTGAACCTGTGAATGTTCATGTTTTCAAGTCATATGATGCGCTTAGCTTTTAGTTCACTCACTGTATGCAAAAATGACAGCAGAACTGAGTTGTTGATTATCAGCACTTCTAAAAAAGTATCCAAACTTAACAGACCTTTTTCGTAATGTAATCAAATTTAATGCTCAAGATATGAATGTGCCTCGTTACAATTTTTGTCATCCACCTGTTACGAATAATTGTATTTCAATAGTCAAAATGAAATTGCATATAAATTATCACGAGTTGTTAGGTATGGCAAGCTATTATGTTTTTCCTACCCAGGGCTCAAATAAATTTTTTAATTAATTAGCATTTTTCTATGCACATCACATTTTCACTTGGCAGTCCAAGAGAGGGGGGAGTTTAAACCCCCTAAACCGCCTAGATCCGCCCCTGCAACATCTTTGGTGATCTTCTTCTCAATATCAATATCAATACTGGTCGAGTTACACTATTTGCTGGTCTTTTAGAATAACCAGATTTTAGAGGATTCACACTTTTCACAACGAAAAACTTCTCCATGTTTCAGTCATTGCGCGATCGTCTCCAGCTCCAGCAGATATTGGGCGTCAGCGTGCACCATGGTACTACCGGCGCAGTATAGCCTCTACTCACGGCCTCACTAGCTGCTCTGCGATCTTCCGTTGTTTGTATCGGTAATACTCATAGAGATGGAAGAGAAAGCGCCATTTAAGTTCCATTTCATTGGTTTAAGGTTTGCAAAGTGATACACAATATTGTGTTAAAGTTATATCAGAAAAAAAATCTTTATTTTATAATTCCACGGGGCGATTTTTAATTTTACAATCGCCCCCGTGAGCATCCTGACGGGGGCGATATTATGGAGCTCAAGGGGGCGAATCGCCCACCGCCCCCGTGTATTTTGAGCGCTGGTCCTACCTATACAGTGCGTCCCAGAAAAAACGAAATCGAGAATTTTCGGTGTTTTATCATAACTTAATCGCAATTGTAATTAATAAATGACACATACTTGTAAAGCTGAGATCCTCCTCTTTCATTTGATGCAACTCATAATGATGCATATTTCACGCATGAGTTATTACAAACAATTTGAAAAAAGGGTACCAAAAAGTCATTTGGCGAACGGTATCTGAATTTCAAAGAGAAAATCACATTTCCAGAAAGTTTTTTTCTGCCCTTTCATAATTATGACACTTCAATCAGGAAAAATGAGTGCGAAATAACAAAGTTCTGTTTATTAAACGAATTCGTTTTCACTGGCTGCCTGCCGTAGCAACAAACAGAGCCGACAAAAGACTTTATGCATGGCTGATCGTGAAGTCTGCACTGAAGTCTTTCGTCTTCTTTGTTGTTAGGGCAGGTAGCCCGTGGAACGAAGTCGTTTAATCTCGTGGAAATAAATGCACAATTGTGATAAATTAAGGAGAGAATAATGGTGCGTAGCTCTAATAAAGTTCCCGATTGTTGACCTCAATTTTTTAATATGTGCAAAGGTTGAAAAATAATTATATCTCCGTCGAGAATCGAACCCGTGTTCCTGGCTGAGAATACAAAAAAAATAATGCCTTAACCACTAGACCAAGACGGGCCAATAGTGTTGGCGACACCAGAGTCATGCAATTGACCCACATCTTGACAAATCTTCAAGCTTGGGGCAGTATGGTTTATACCATAGAGAATGTATCCTCTGTAAAATGTTAAGATTGAATAACCCACTTCGTAATAGCTTCGGAACGCATGACCCCAAAATATCCACAGATTTTTTTACACGATGGATATGTCCCACTTGTGCATTTTAGAATAATCACTGCCGAAGTGATAGAGGTGCTTCATGAATACCTTTTGTTTGCCTCTTGAGAAGAATACTTCCACCTGTGTATCAGATAAATGTTCTGACGTTGCATAAATGAATATTGATTACATAACACTTTAATAATCATAAGCACGATATCAGTATTCGTCTCAATAGTTTTACAATTGGGGAACGAATGACCTTTATCTGCATGCCCATGTGTAAGTCTTAATTACCAACTCGCTTATTAACTGAATTACCTGTTTTCATCTTTTCCTCTATAGATACCAGGTCCTCCGTGTCACTCCACAAAGTGAAGATGATCTGACTATCCTCTCTGTGGTTGAGAAGGCCATCAGTGAGATGGTGAGAAATCATACATCATTGATGAATCATAATAATAATAACAATAATGATTTGTCTTGTTTTACCCATGGTAGCCTCATCAGTATTTATACTGTTCTCCCTGAGGGCCCTGCAATTATATATTGGATGGAGACGATCATAATGATTATGACGTTGAAACAGATGAGGAGGAGTAGTTCTGCAATTCTGACTTCAGCATTTTAAACGAAAGAATACTGCAGTCAGAAAATCTTTATGAACTGTTTTACCCAGGGTAGCCTTATCAGTATTTATACTGTTCTCCCTGAGGGCCCTGCAATCATATTATTGCCCCAGTCATCGGATTCAGGCTTACCCGCACACAATGTATGCACATAATCCACTTCCTGGGGAGCCTTCCATCAGCCAGGCGTCATTTTTACAAGCGCACACTTGCTAATCTAGGCACATTAGCTTTCGCATCCTACCGGGTACCAATTTAACACCTGGGTGGAGAGTGGCAAATGTAGATCAATGACTTGTCAAAGGATATTAGTGCCGCGGTTGGACTTGAACCGCGAACCTTGTGATCCACAGTCCGATGACATATCCACTCGTCCATGACACCTGAGTCATAATAATAAAAATGATTAATTTGATTGATGGGATCGTGATAATAATGATGAAGGAGAATGGATGATGATGTTGATGATGATGCTGATGACTGTGATGTTGTCAATGACTTAGTGATGATCATGATGATTATGACGTTGGCGACGACGATGAGGAGTAGTTCTGAAAAGATTTCTGACTGCAGTATTTTTTCAGATTTTATTATTGCAGAATGGGTTGGGTCTTTTCAACAATTCAGAACTACTCCACTGAGTATTAACAACAATTATTTTCAGAACTATATTGTTCATTTTCCGGGGGTGCGGAGGGGGGGGGGGGGGGGGGTATTGTCCACTGGTTAGTCATCTTAGTTGACCTAGAATTATAATCACAAATTTAGGTACGTATTTCATGAAATTATCATTCTAATTTCTTTGTAGGTGGACTTCTGGAAGCAACCCCGTTCAGTTGGAACCCCCGTCGATATCATGGTTTCCCCGGAATATCGTGAGCTCGTCCTCCGCTTCATCGAGGCACGCGGTCTGCACGTCGACATCATGATCGACGATGTCGAGAAACTATCCAACCAACAGAAATCAAGAAAGTCGCCCTCTACCAGCGCCGATTTTGACTTCAACAACTACCATTCATTGTCTGAAGTATGAGGTTTCTTTTCTATTTGTATTTTTCTCTTCAACCTGTACGTCTATATTAGGATTACGTGAAATAAAGTTATGCTTCGATTGATTACATCGTCTTTATTTATTCTTCCCTTACTGATAATACTTTACGAAAATACCAATATCTACGTATCACAGTGTCATACTAAATTGTTGTTTCTTTCAGGAACGGCAATAGTCTTTGGAAAGTCTTTATATTTTGACTCTTAAAACTTTGAGTAGGACAAGGATTGGTATATTTGTTAAAGCTTATATATTGTGTGAAAAACACATATATATAATATATAAACATAGTTGTAATTGAATAGATTTTATGATTTTCGGATGTATTTCTATTGTATATATTACACCACGGTGGTCAATATATCATTGAAAAATGACCGTAAGTGAAATATGCTAATTACGATCCTCGCAAACGATATCACGTGACGAGATTTGGACCAACTACAAGTGTGTATGTCTAAGAGCTATCTAATAGGCCTATATCCATTTACTTACAGATCAATGATTGGATGACGAGTTTCGCTGCGTCTCATTCTAGTCTTGTTTCTCTTGTGGACCTTGCCACGTCATATGAGGGACGTACAATCAGGGCCCTCAAGGTTCGTTCACCAAATTGATATTTTTGCTTCGTACCGGGGGTGGTATTCTGAAAGCCCACCTTTCCTTTTAACTTTCCTTTAAAGTCCTCAAGTTGAATTGAGCGCTAATAGACTTCCAAATCGGTATTCCGAAAGGTGACTTAGCGGTCAAAAATTTCTATTAATAATAATAATAAATTATATTTCTATAGCGCATTATACAAGGTATGTCTCTATGCGCTTTACATTGTATTACAAGCTTAATTAATTACATACATCTACTATTGAACTATCCTCAGACAAAATTTCTGACAAGATCTTAACTAAAATAGTACAACAGTAACTAGATAGATAAACATTATAATTCATTCTTAAATAATGATACAACAATTATGGTTCAAGATTTTATTTATATATTACAAGTTGTAGGCATATACAATTTCAATTCAAATTATAGATTAATAATTAATTCTTAAAAAGGTAGGTCTTAAGTGCAGTCTTGAAGGTCTGGATGGAAGGTGCAGTTCGAATGGCGAGCGGGAGAGAGTTCCAGAGGGTGGGAGCATTGAAGGTGAAGGAGCTACGGCCGTAGTATACTGGGTCTTAAAACGAGGAATCTGGAGAAGATGTTTGTTCTGGGATCTGAGAGCACGGGAGGGTGTGTAGGTGTGAATGAGTTCAGACAGATAAGAAGGGGTAGAGTTAGAGAGAGACTTGTAGGTGAGAAGTAGGATCTTAAAGTGAATCCGCTTGTTGATTGGGAGCCAGTGGTAGAAGTGAGACCAGTTGCTTTCTCTGTGATTCTGGCTGCGATGTTTTGAATTCTTTGAAGCTTCATCAGTTCGTTGGCAGGAAGATTAGGAAGAAGTGCATTGCATGTGTCAAGTTTGGAGGTGACGAAGGCATGGATGAGAGTGAGAGTTGTCTTCCGGTCTACCCTACGAATTTGACCTATCTTTCTGATGGATGACATGGCAGAGCGACACCCCTGCGACATGAGATTTCCTAGTGGCGTGCTCATCGAATATGATTCCCAAGTTCCTAGCCTCGGCCTTGGCTTCAATAACTGACTCACCGACTGTTACCGTAACAGAGGGAGTTCTTGGGAGGAATCTGGAGGAAAAGTGAAGAACTTCCGTTTTGCCGTCATTAATTTTTAACTTGTTTAAGCCTGCCCAGGAGCGGATGTCAGTTCACTCGAAGAACGGCAGATGCTCTCTCTGATGGGTCGAAAGACAGGTAGATCTGAGTTTCGTCAGCATATAACATTGACTGAATTCCATGCTCAGATATGATGTCATGGATTGGGGCAGTGTACAGGGTAAACAGCAGCGGCCCAAGTACCGAACCTTTGGGTACGCCGCATGTGTCCTCTACTGGTCCTGAAGAAGCAAGGCTCACTCTTACCACATGATTCCTTCCTGCAAGGTAAGAGTGGAGCCATTTCATTGCATTTCCTGAAACTCCAAAATTCTCAGAAAGTCTCTCCAGGAGTATTGGATGGTCTATAGTGTCGAACGCGGCCGTAAAATCTAGGAGTACGAGGATCACTTCTTTATGGGTGTCTAAGGCCTCTAAGCAGTCATTTTCTACGCGTAGAAGAGCTGTTTCTACACTATGGTGCTTTTGGTAAGCTGACTGTGTTTTAGGAAGTAAGGCATTTTCTTCAAGATACTCTAGAAATTGCCCCATGACAGCCCTTTCTATTACCTTCGACATGTAGGGGATGTTTGAGATTGGTCTGAAATTCTTGAGTTCGTTGACTGGTAGATTCGATTTCTTAAGTTTTGGAAACACTATAGCATGTTTCAAGGCTGTGAGAAATATGCCCGTCTGGAAACTCAGGTTGACGAACTTTGTGATGAGAGGAGCAAGAATAGATGTGCAACGCTTCAGGAGGATGGTGGGCAAGGGGTCCAAGGCATGCTGAAGATGAGGTCTTAATGATTGACAAAACCTCGTCCTGTGAGAATTCGTCAAAATTCATGAAGTGATGATGGGTTGATGAAGAAATATCAGCCGAGATGTCTTCATAGATTTGCTGATCAAGGTTGTCGCGAAGACGTCTAATCTTGGTTGTGAAGAAGTCACTAAAATCTTGAGCGAGCTCAGATGGACTTGTGTGCTGTGGTAAACAGGAACCTGCAGTAGGAGAAGTCAGATCATTCATTATGCGGAAAAGCTGCTTCTGATCTGCATCATGTATCTTGTTCTGAAAATACAATTCCTTGGTTTCATAAAGTAGATCATTGTAGAGCTTGCAATGTTTCTGGTAGATCTCTTTGTCGATTTGCAAGCTTGTGTCATAAAAAATGTACCCTCCTCTTTTTATTGCCCATTTCCACCAATCGGATATGCTGTAACAAAGAAAAATGATGTATAATTATGCAATCCACTTTCAAACTATTTATGAAAATGTGTAGTAAATCATAACTACAGGCTAGCTTTCTTTAAGTAATATTGTTCAAAAGTTTGCAGTTCGGAAATTATTTTTGTTGCGTTAAATCTTTCTATAATATATACTTACATATTTCGTGTACGTTACAGGTTGGCTCATCCTCGTTCTCTTCTAAGCCTGTCGTCTGGCTTGAGGGCGGTATTCATTCTCGTGAATGGGTATCTCCTGCTGCTATGATGTACATGACAAACATGGTAAGTTGGCCAGATCGAGCCACTTTTTTTTTCCAGAAGGTTTTGAAAGACCGGTTTACTGAGATATTCAAATTCTATGCATACTTTTTAAACAAATGTTGTTCTTGACAACATGAAAGCTTTCCCGAGGCTTGCCCAACATAGCAGCAAGTAATGCATGCCGACTGGATTTTAATCAAGTATTAGTAGTTCATCCCTCAGGATAACCGGTTAATGAATAATACGTCACTAGGTCGCCAGGAGAAACATCCATTTAGATTGAGTATGATAGTAAACCGGTCTATTCCGTTAATACAGGGTTCTATGTCATTCTCGGAATCACGACATTCTAAATTACTGAACCTTCGGAAAGACTTTTAAACTGCAAGTATTATTTAATTGTGTTTTTACCAGATAATGAGATTGCTAATTCCAAATATGGCATATAACAGGGGTTATTTATTATATCGCCATGCGGGCCAGAAATAATTCTCAAATTCAATTGACAGACATTAAGGATTTACGCACACATATAATTGTATATAAATAGCCCAGCTATATCAGCAATAGAGCATAATAACACACTCATCTTCTCTCCTTAATACATATCATGATATTTAATTAATTCTAGTTTGCTCCTTGTTCGATGCCATTATCAACACACATGGTAATAGCTCATTACGGATCATTAGTCAGCTAGTATAAAGTGAGCAAACAAGATTTTAACTTTTCCCATCAGTCAATGATGGCTTATTTTGTATCCATTTTAGAATTCAACATTGTTTTTTTAAATATTTCCCCCCTTTTTTTCTTTTGTCATTTTAACTTGATACTTCTTTTGGCGAACCGCTTTTTAAGAATTAGGGGCTCATATTAACAAATAGACGGTCAATGATGGAAGAGGAGGGACGACGCCCCTCCTTGCAGGCGCGTAACCAGGGGGCGGTCGCCCCCCCCCCAGAGAAAGAAGAAAGGAAGAGGACGTAGGAAGAAAAAGGATTAAGAGTCGAGAACGATACAACGAATCGTCTTCTTTTTCTAATATTTAATGAAACGTCAAAGCTTCCGCGCTTCGCGCTGGAGCGGGGTAACTGAATTCAGACAAGGATCGAGAACGGTACAACGAATCGTCTTCTTTCTCTAATAATTTAATGAAACGTCAAAGCGTTTGCGCTTCGCGCAGGAGGGGGGGGGGGGGGGGAATAATTCAGATAAGGATTAAGAGTCGAGAATGGTACAACGAATCGTTTTCTTCTTTAATAATCTAATGAAACGTCAGAGCTTCCGCGCTACGCGCAGAGGAAAGGGAACTTGATTCAAACAAGGATTAAGAGTCGAGGACGGTACAACGAATCGTCTTCTTTCTCTAATAATTCAATGAAACGTCAAAAGAAATTGAATTTAGACAAGGATTAAGAGTCGAGAACGACTACGAGAGCGTGCTCACTACCCCCCCCCCCCCCTCCCCTGAAATGAAATCCTGGCTACGCGCTTGCCTCCTTAATTGGAAATTGTTATAAGCGTCGCCCCTGCTTGGCAGCCTTTGTTTATTACAATGTGTTTTATTCTTTGTCTCTCCAGCTTGTTGAGGGTTATGGTAATGATGCTGACGTCACCGCCATGTTGGATACCGTTGACTTCTACATGGTCATCAACTACAACCCTGATGGTTATGAATACACATGGAGTAACGTAAGAAATTGCTAGCACAGTCATAGCTCTCATTTTGTATAAAGTCTTATATTTGAATTTGACCCCTCTCTTAAAATAAATGTAAGAAGGTCATATACATCTGACGTAGAAAAGCACACTTCTAGAATACTGAAAATTATTAATTGCAGGTATCGTAGTTTAGTTGAGCTACGGTCATTGTCCGGCAATAAAAGTTAAGTTAAGTGACAACATTATTTTGTGTATTGGAATTTGGGTGATATCGACGCGTTTATTTTAATTCCCAGGGGCTAAACTAGATTTCTACGGTAAGGTACAACCTTTTTTTGTCAACGACCATGATGACTTAGATGGTTTAAGTATACTTGTACAGTTTAAAGCGGATAGACCTTGTGGCCTGAATTCACAAAGGAGGTTTGTCGACAAACCTCCTTTGTGAATAGGGCCTTTGGGGTTGATGGGATGACTATGGCGGGTCAGGCTCCAAGACGAGTAAAGACTCTCTCATAGATGGTGTTTTCTTTTAACTTTAAAGGATCGTATGTGGCGAAAGACCCGCAGCAACAACATTGGACGTGTCTGTGACGGAGTTGATCCTAACAGAAACTGGGACTTCCAGTGGGGAAGTAAGTTTCTTTTTAATTTTTCATATTCATCTATTTTTTTATTTAACCGATATCAGTTCACCCGATTGCATAATATTCGTTATTCCACGATACGCCAGCAACATTATTGATTGTTCAATTCGATAGACTCATGTCACGGTTCATGGTGACTTAACTTTAAAGCCCCCTGTAGATAAAAGATAATATATCTGCACACGAGTTGTCACACCAATATTCCGGACAATCTCACATTATTGGATTGCGTAAACTATTCTACCAGTCTTCCGTCAAAGCCGATTTTCGGGGGCAAATATATCTGTCTTTTTAAAGAGAATAGCCTTTTGAAATCTAGTTGATTTGAAAACTCATTCTTTTTTTTTCTGCTCCTCCATCTTATTTTCTTCCTTCTTCTTCTCGATCTTTTCCCACTCCTTCATCCTCATCCAATAACGCACCCATTTCTTCTCTCAACTTCCATAATCCTTGTCACGTACGTTCCTTCTGCTCTTTTCCACCTTGTTTGATTGAAAGACGCCGGTACCAACCCATGTGCCGATGATTACCAGGGTACCTACCCTAACTCCGAGCGTGAGGTCCAAGAAGTAACGGACTACATCCTCGGTCTCAATGATGTCAGGGTATTCATCGACTTCCACGCTTACAGCCAGATGTGGTTGACTCCATGGGGGTATAGCTACCGTCTACCTAGCGATTACAATCAGCAGGTATACCATTATTCTTTATGTTAGGAAACAACTCCTGTCCTCGGGGACCTCTAGATAGCAATAAATTATATATTTGTTTATCCATGTATTTATTTATGGAGTGATTGATAATGATAATCATTAGGCCCGACGAAGCCCTCAGGTTGAACATTTGTAAAACAATTTCTTCTTTGGCGATGAATCATTACTTTTTGTGTTTTCGTGTATGTTCTCGAACTCCGAGCAGACCTCGTCGTCGTCGTCGTTGTCATAGAGGTTATGCCTGACCCGTAATTGTGACCCATGTGATATGAGACCTTTCTTATATATTTATATTATACATGTCGATTCGTCCTCATATTACCCCCGGGTGATACTCAGATTTGGTTTGGACGGGGGTGTGCCACTCAAGCCTCGAAACCCCTACCCGATATTAGGGGGCATTCAGTTTTGGGGCATTTTTCTCGGAAAGGACAAATTTTCCACAATTTTCGGGTGTCTTCGGGTGTTTGGAAATTTTGGAAACTTTTGAAAAAAACGGACACATTTAAAAAAAACAATTAATTTGAAAGTGGGACCCATCTTCAGGGATTTTTTGTGAAAAAGTGACCCATTAGAGCGGCACACCCCCTATGTCCTAATAATTATGTGAGTACCCACTGTGTGACAGTATAGAGATCAAATTTCAAAGAAAATGCATTTAATGCCAAAATATTTACACATTTTCGTGAGCCGCCCCTTCCTCGTGGATAATTTTGCTTGTGGGTGATCAGAATAATATATTACGTTTATACATGACTATATAAACATAACGCGACTAACACGTGACCTAACCTACTGTTTAAGGGGAGTTATTTAAAGTTCTGTATTTAGTTTAAGTGATCACTTTAGAAGAAACGAAGAGTCATTCGTAAATTGAAATAAGAAAAGACGAATTACGTAGCGGAAAAGTTTTCTGAACAATTCTTTCTAACAAATCATTTTGTCCACAGTACTCGCTTGCCCGTGATGCAATAAGTGCACTCAGTGCGGTCTATGGCACAGACTATGTCTACGGAAGCATCGCAAATACAATCTGTAAGTAGACCAACACTATTGAGGTATAGGCTGTAATAACATCCCACTTCTTATAGTCGTGACAATTCTTTACTATTCATTTATGACGGGGAAAAGGTCTGACAACCATTCACCACGAATTTCTTCTTCTCCTTTTTTTTTGGTTTTTTTTGTTGGGGGGGGGGGGGGGGGGTGTCATTCGTTTTGTCTTTTGAAATGTCGAGTCATGCGACAGGTATCAGTGTATGGGGTAAAATCGACCTGACTGTGGGTCTGTTTTAGGGGCTCTGGATAGTATAGGGGTTAAACCCGACAGCTATATACGGTCAGGCTGACAACTTTTGTTGTGATCTAGATGGTCGCAGAACTATTTAAGAGGTCAATCCTATAGGTGAAAGGGAATGCATGCCCCTTTGTGGGATAGTCCCCTAGATTATACTTTTTTTTTTTCTTTTTTTTTTTGTAATTATTTTATACGCTGGAAAGATTACTATGATCGTATGTTTCATTCTATACACTAAGCCTCCATTTCCCAATTCTTCCCAAACTTTGTCCATCAATTTGCATGTTTAGACCCAGCATCTGGATCGAGTGTAGACTGGGCGTATGGTGTAGCTGGAATCAAGTACTCGTACGCTGTCGAGCTTCGTGATACTGGTCGATACGGCTTCCTTCTGCCCGCAGATCAGATCGCCCCTACTGCCATCGAGACCTTCGAAGCCGTCAAGGTCATCGTCAAGGCAACCATGTAGACTTATAAATATCAATAATAGAATACCAGAAACTCGAACATAAGTTCAGAATTATGGAAGCGCCTATTAAATGCTTAATTACGTTTCAAAGAATATTTTACAACCGAAAAGTTTGAAACCAACAACTACCCATTTACCGTGCCATACAGCTTTAAGAAAAATGACCTCTAATTATTGGAAATTAGATTCGCCTTGCGATTCACCAAGTATTAACAGGTTCATAACTTGTTAATAAGGTATATCGATAGCTATATAGCAACGTTGATATTCTAATATCACCGATGAGTGTAGCGGATAGAATCACATATGGTGTTATTTTGCCAAATAAAATAAATTGAAAAAAAATCTTACGTCTGTAAAGTCATTTGTTATCGAAGTTTTATGAGAGGCTGTGTGTGACATAATTCTCTTGATTTGTGACCATCGGCTACAGGTAATTGGTTGGATGATTGATATTTTGACGATAGAGTGTGTGATGCAGTGGCGTACGCAGGATTTTTTCAAGGAGGGGGGGGGGGGGGTTTAAAATCGGGCCAAAAATTTCGCAACGACTCAGCCAGCCAGCCGCGGGGGGGGGGGGGGGGGGGGGGGGGGGAAGGAGGTAAGAGGACACTTTTTACATTTTTTTTTTGGTCTCCAAAAAATCGCAACGACTCAGCCAGCCTCTGCTCTGAATAAGCGGGGGGGGGGGGGGGGGGGGGGTAAGAGGACACTTTTTGGGGGGTCTCGAAATTTGAAAGTTGGACATTTTGTTCCGTTTTTAGGTCAGCCGTTGGCATAATTTTTTTTAAAACTTTTGTTTTAAAATTAAAAAACAAAAAACAAAACAAACAAACAAACTTTTTTTTTTTTTGAGGGGGGGGGGGGGGATTTTGTCGGCAGAAATGAAAACGATAATATGACATATACGTGCCAATAAAATGTGTGATTTTCCTACAAAAGTTGTGAACGAAATTCCGTTTTTAGAGAGTACTTGGAAATGCCAAAGTGAAGGGGAAACAAAACGTCAACTCGATTGCTCACTTCACTCGCTCGAATATAGAAGGGAAAATCAATTTTACCAATAAGTTGATCCATTTCGATGATCAGTCGTTACGTTTGTATCAAATTCTCTTGAACCAATGGACAGTGGTGTAAAAGCAAAAGTTGAGGGCGCTGAGGCAGCGAGAATCAATATATTTTTAAACGTATCAGGATAAAAAAAAAACAAACATGGACAATCATCCCCGGAAAATTACCCCCCCCCCCCCCAGGACAATAAACCCCCTGAAAATTACCCCCACCCCTGCAAATTACCCTCTAAGACAATAACCATCCCCGAAAATTGCCCTCTCATTCAAGGGGAAGTCCACCCGAAAATAGATTGGCTCTAATGGAGGGGGGGGGGGGGGGGTAATTGAATGTCCTAGGGGTAATTTTCTGGGAGGTAATTGTCCTGGGGGGGGGGGGGGGGGATTGTCCCGCTGGTAATTGATCGGGGTGATTTTCCAGGGGATAATTGTCCGATAACGATGCCAGCACCACGAACACAATAATTACGTAGCCCTTGGTTAATTGTATTATTTTGCAACTTTATATTAGCATGGTTACAGCACTTTTCATAAGACGGGCAAATCACAGTCTCACGTAGAATTCACCTGTTTTTATTTCATTCGATTAGGCAGCGTTGGACGTCTTTCCAAATTTCAGGGGCGGGGTGGGGGGTTTGGTGGTTGGGGGGAGGGGGTATCCCTTTGAAATTTTCGAAGGCGTGGCATTCCCCACTGAATATTTGACTTTGCATTTCGTATTAAAGGCCCTGAAGCCTCTCTTTAGCTGTAAGAAACAAGCCTTCGACAAATCTTCCTTTATAACAACTAAGGTTTTAAGTTATTCTACAACAATTTTAGAGATAAAGTAAAAAATGTGAGGAGACATTATGTTGTTTTTTGTGAAACCTTATTTAAAGAACATTTAGAAGTTGAATAGTATGTATGGGCCTGAATAAAATAATCAAAATTCAGAGAATGTGCCGACTCCCTATCAATCATTGCCCCTCCTTGTAGTAAGACATAATATGTATCTCCCTGTTCCTAATTTTGTTCAACCTGAGAAGAGAGTTGATATTCAGGGAAATTACAGATAGGAATGGTGTCGGTGTTGGCGGTGTACAAATTAATGATTGACGCTAATTTGGTAACACTGTATTGTGTGCAGAAACTTTGTCTCAGTAATTACATCTTTAATTTACGGATGGGGCCCATGGCCCCTGTCGGGGGATCAAGGGTGTGTAGCCCCGGAAGCTTTTTAGTTTAAAAAAAACAACACCATTCAGAACCTTCAAGAGCGAGCGATAGAAATTATAATTTTCTCTCTGAAATTCACACAGCCCCTATAATTTCGTCATCTCCCTGGGCAGCAATCATCTCTCTTTCTCTCTTTTACGTACTGTTTTACTTTCTTCCAAAGTCTTAGTATGTAGTATGCACATGTCGAGCCAACTCATCAGCAATGTATGTACGGGGTGTTGTATTCTTCTTATTGTTTTCTCTCTCTCTCTCTCTCTCTCCTTTCTCCCTCTCCCTCTATCTTCTTCTCTTTTGTATTTTTTCCTCCTTTTTCTTCCGTCGCTCTTTTTTCCCTTTCCCTTTTAAGGCCGCCCCCCCAAAAGGAGGGGATGGGGGTTAATTCGCACCCCCCCCCCCCGATTCGCTACTGATTTACACATTAATACATTATGCATAGCTTACGATGGGGTGGGGTTTCCATCCTATCCGATATATTGCCAATCCGTTACACAACGTAACGATTTATTTCTTCCTCTCTCCTTTTCCTCTCTTGTTCTCTTGTTCTCTTGTACCTTCTTTCCTCCTGTTTTTCTTCTGTCGCCCTCTCTGCCCCTTTTTGATGCCGTCAAAAGGGGGCCGCGGCCGATTCGCCCCCACCTGTATCCACCATCGCACACATACAGTACTCTCCCGAGAAAAATGGAAGAAAAAAAAGCTAGTTTTACAGACAATCGTTTCCTAAACAAAAAATAAAAGAGGTTTAACAAAAATCAAAATAACTGAGAGAACTGCATCGTTAAACATTTTTTCAAAAGATTTTGTCAGCTTTATTCATTTTGAAGTGAACATTATGTATATGAACAATACAACTGCAATACATTACAGTCTACATTGAGAAACTACATGTGAACAAAAGAACATTTAAACTTTGTATGTAAGAACTGATTTTAGTTTATAGGTCTGGGTTGTTCTAGAAATGAAAAAAAACTGTTGATATCTATACACATTTGAATCACAAACACAAAGTTCAATGTTTCTGCATATGATGAGATGACCTTTGAAAGTAATGTTACTTTCAAGGGAAATTGCCGGTTAAAAACAACAATAAGGAAGTTAAGCTTCTTTCTTCATGACACATCTTGACTTATGAAAAGTATAATGTGAAATACGTATTTTTGCTTCCTATCATTTTTCTACCAATTTTTTTTTATAGGGGATTCACACGCAAAGTATACCAAAATCTCCCCTCCCCCATTTTAATCATTAGTATTTAAATGTTATCTGGAGTGCTAGTGCTGATGGAAAATGAATGAAAATGAAATAAAATGAAACTTTGAGTGTTTAATATTACATCAATTATATGTGTCAAATTTTTGAAAGAAATGTATGAAAAGCATAGGCAGCCCCTTTTTTAAGTACCCCAAAGTGTTCTATTATACATGATAAGTGCCCTTATCCAAATCTGAGAGGCACGCCTTTTACATTGACAAGAGCCCCTTTTCCTTTGTAATAATTGCCTCTCTGCCCTTATAATAAGTGCCCTTTTCACCTCTAACTACCCCTTTCAAATATGATAAGTTCCCCTGGTTAATACTTTTGACAATTTTAGGAAGTTAAATGGTAAATTAAATATTATACAAATAAGAATAAAATGTAAAGTCCACTCTGGTATCGAGTGATACTTCAAAAATACCTAAAATGATAAAAACAGATCATTATTATCATCATTATCATTACAAAAAATACAGCATCTTGAGAAATGCCATATTTGATGTACGCTGTAAGCCCAGCACACGCTACACGATTCTCCTGAGATCCAATTTTCTTAGGAAGTGCGGATATATTAGATATGGAAATTCAAACAAGCGCTATCCTCTTTATTTAGGTTATAAATAATGATAAGAAAATCAACAAACAGAATTTCAGTGCATTTAACTGTTATAGTTAGAATAAAGGCAGAATCAGCTTCAAATCGTAGACAATCAGACTATTGGAGTGACGTCACTACGATTCTGAGCCAATTTAGCTTTTCCCCCTCCAAGGAGCCCGAATCCCTTGGAAATTAGCTTTTATTACTCATATGACTATTCAGATCCTTTTAGTCATTAAGATTCACATGTTTAAATGTTCATATAAAATTATATCACAAATTATTCCAAAATCGGATCATCATCATCAAATCATGTAGTGTGCACCGGCATTAGATGCTGTTATTTTAATCTTGATTTAATTCAATTGTATTTATCACTTGACTGGAAACATGTAATATAGTTCTCAGAAGCTCCAATATTGGGAGGGGGGGTTTAACTATGTGGACAAGTGTGCATATCATTAAACATTAACAGTACTATGAACTCATTTTTTAAATGATAATAACTAGCACATGGTTGAGAAATGTTGATAGTTAATGATGACATTGAATGTGGTACAAAAATAGATATTTCTACTCAAACAGAAAACAGAACAACATGCAGACACATAAATCATCAAAGATATGCCAACCAACCGACTTACCGTAGTGCATAGTGAAATCAGACTGATAGATACAAATATGATACAAATATAATACATATAATTATACCCTAATGGCAAAAATTACTGACCATACTATTCAGAGTTATCATATAAACGACCCAATTTTGGGGGGCGGCGGGGAGAAGTATAAACGGTGAAGTTGGACATAAGTAGTGCAAGTAACTTGTCTTTAATTCCATAAAAAGAAAACTAATTTTGTTACGAGGATACCTCCTTCTCCTATCCAAATTTTTAATACAGCATCTAACAATGATGAATGTTTTGAACATACCGGTATGCAAGAATGTGTTTATTTTATTTAATTTTGCAAGCATCATGTAATGGTTTTTTTTTAAATCTGTCAATGGGAAGCCAAATCTTGGCTGTATTGTGAGCAGCATTTCTTTCTTTAAGAACCATCGGCTTGATCAACCAATAACAATGACCTAGCAAAATAAAACCTACCTCGATCTGCAGAAAGGTTTCTTCATGTAGCACATAGAGCACATAACTCCTGGGGATAACGTTCATGCTTTAATAGTGGCTGCCACAAAGGTTTGGAATGGCCTTTCATGCTTTATCTCAATAGCTTTCAAAACAAGATCATTTGAAAAAGCACTTGAGACATCTCTTCAATTTGCAAAAGAAAAATAGCCATTCTGATCATTTATAACGACTACTGACTGAACACTGCAAATTAGTTCTTCAGCTATTTCATAATGTTTGAATTGGATGTACCATGCACAGTGCACCTACAGACTTTTCTTGATTATGTATTATATTTTGTGAGAAAGTGCCATGATTGCTTGAGCCCGCAGATCCTGGCACTACAGAAAACATTGTTATTATTATTAGATATTGATACAATTTTCAAACTTGATGTGTTCCAATTCTTCCTCATTATTTGTTCAATTGATCTTGTTTTACTCTCATTGAAGATGCTCTGTGGAAATGGAAAGCAATTCTTACAGACTAAAAGGTACATGAACATATCAAACACTACTAAAGACATCATGATGGCCTGCATTGTTGATGTTCAATCATCTGGACAAGGCAATATCCAGATTGTGTCCCTCGCACCTGTGATCAAAATACATGAATGTCGCCAAAGAGCATCCGCGACCCAAGGTAAGAAGCATTTGGAACGATGTATGCAAAGTAACTGGTCATAACAGGATTAACAGTTGCAAAGTCATTTGTCACACAGGAGATTCTTGCTAAAAAAAATCTTTAACATATGACCTCATATGACCTTAGCAGTGACCTGTGGCAGCACCAAGTGCGTATCTGAGAGTCTTTCAGGTAAAACTCTAACATTTTTTGTACAGGCGACAGAAAACGGACAAGGGATGGACACCTCTTGAACCCCGTCAATACTGTTTAATATCACAACCAAACAGCCCTTTTATTGTCTCGCCCACCAAAGATGAAGGCGAGACACTAAAAATGGCTCTAGGGTTAGGATTACCACAAAGTTATTCCATAAATTCAAATTTGGCATGTTCAACGCTGTCCTGCATCCACATCTTCAAGCACCAATAAGTCATCTTTGTTCCTGGTAATGCTCTTCCAAGAGCAACAAGGTCTGGTTCCATTTTGTTTGAGACAGGCCTTCTAGGACACCAGACCTATCATTTAGTTACATATCAGCAATTTTTAAGCCATCCGGTGTTACACAGATCCATATGAATGGGATTCAAAGTCAGCCTCCTTCACTGCACTGGAGAATGTCAGATTAGTATGGGTACTTCATCCTTAAACAGCAAAGTTTCTCCAAAGTGGTGTTCGATGAATGCTCTCTCTCACTCTCTCATGAGTCCTGTGCATCTTGGTCTTTCAAACAAACCGCCAGCAAGTTGTCAATTTCATCTCCTTTCATGCTCTCAATTGACAGACCATCCTATTACAAGACAAATAGATAAAGATATCTTTGTAATCAATGACATTCTACTTTTTCAATTGTCTCAGCATAGCTCTACTACTACTGCTGCTTCTACTACTAGTATAGTATTATTACTACTTCTACTACTTCAACTACTACTACTATTACTACTACTACTACTACTACTACTACTACTACTACTACTACTACTACTACTACTACTACTACTACTACCACTACTACCACTACCACTACTACTACTACTACTATACTACTACTACACTGTTGTACTTCTACTACTACTACTACAACTATCTAGTACTATCACTACTACTACTTCCACCACTACTGCTACTACTACTACTTCTACTACTACTAACGCCTACTTCTAGATATAACCACACTCAAATGCAGTGAACAAAGACAAATTGGCTACCATACTTTCCTCTGAGAAATGGTCATAATTTTTTTAATTTTCATCTTTTTTTTTACAATTTGATATTAATTTCACTTGCTCACTTGTCTCAGCACTGATTTGTGTCTAACTCCCCTAATGAAGTAATGAGGGACGGAATAGACCTTACCTGTGTGTCATGTAATGTTGAAAGGAGTTGTGCCACCATCTTGCGAAGATTGTTGAGTTTACCCTGAGCTGTTACTGCCTCCTTTTCCTTCTCCTCAGCATTTACCTGGTATCTGCCAACCAGCTGAAATTAAAATGAAACAAATATGAACTATTTAAAGTAATCATAATAAAAACAATAATCTGGATTTATTTTATATAGCGCTTCATACGAAAAACCGTCTCCAAGCGCTTTACAGTTACAAATAACCCTGTCATCAGATTCATTCGAGCACAATGTTCACCTTCTTCACTCCCTGGGGAGTATTCCTAATATATTTTCACCATGAGGGCATATGGCAAATACCGTCTATCACAAAAGCTTTTTTCCCTGTCTCTCTCCTGTGTATGGAGTAGCAAATGTAGATTAATGCCTTGCCAAGGATATTAGTACCGCGTTCAGTCACAATCATTAAATGACAACTCATAATTACATGCAGTACAAGGCTTATTCTACAGAATAATCTTTTAGGCACAATATACAAAATGTTTGTACATGTATATCGAAAACTGCTGCGAAACAAAAATATTATGAAGATCATATTTTAATCATATATCTACCATTAAATAAACAGAATAAAGTGAAGGGGACGAAACTTACATCTCGCAGTCCCTTTTCATAGTGGTCAAAGAAATGGTCAAGTGGAAACTCGGTCAGTTTCTTGGCGTCCATATCATTGATGTCATCTTTGGACATCGTCCATTCTGGAGGAAGGAAATACCTCAAACATGTCCTGTTTGGAGGAAGAAAAGAGGAGAAAGAACTTGTATTAATACTTTGCTTCCTATAAAAAAAATAATGATAAAAACGTGATTATAAAGCGCTTACCACCAAAGTCTCTTAGCGCTAAATATATTACAAATATGTTACAATATATATATTTATATATTATAACATTTATATATTTATATATTATTATATTATCCATATATTATAATTATATACAAATATATTACAATTTTTTGTCTTTTTTTTAATTCTCTGAGTAATGAGAAAAACCTTGTTCCACATACTGTACTTTCAGGTATGCTTTAAATTAAGTTGAAGTCTCTAATGAATATAATTATTGTGTACATCTAAGCAGAGCATGGCAACTTTCATCATTTCTAAATTTTGTTCAACTCACATGACCTGTTGCATAGCTATGTGTGATTGAGAAGTGTTTATTTCAATTATCAATTATTCTTAAAAACAACAACATAATTCTTCCAGTTATTTGTACAATTTATTAATTGTGCTCATGCATATTTGAATAACTACTTTCTATTTGCACATTTCCATTATTGTTATATAATTCTAAAAAGAGGCATCCTACCACAACTTTTTGAGCGATTTTTCTTTCCTTTGAAAACTTTTTTTCCTTCAGATCCAGTTAATTACTGAGGAAGTCCTGAAAGGAAACAGGTTTTAAAGTTCCTGTGACCTCCAGCAGCATCTGTTCTTTCCATCAACTCATCACATTACCTTACGCAAACATATTAATCAATATCAACTATACACATGATTACACAATATTACTGATACAAGTAATAAATGGTTATGAGTTAATCTTTTAACAAATTATGCTTTGCTCCTTATACTAATAATAAATTACATTTGGAGTCTGGCCTTCTCGATTACTTTCAGATTGCCTTCGCACCAGATTGGGATATGTGCAGGACAGAGAGGTACGCAGTCTAAATAGAACCAAAATGCATGCTCAATAGTACAAAATGCATGCTCGTTCAATAGATTTGTTTATAGAATATCATGTTACCAACAATCTACAAGTAACGCCTGGCTGGAATGCTTCCAATGACCGGGGTAATAGTATATCTGTAAAGCGCTTAGAGACATCGTAGAAGTATTAAGCGCAAATAAAAGCGGAATATTATTATTAGGTGTTGTATAAAAATAGTTATATCTGAAAACATGTATTTTGTTCTGTACACTGACCTGAAACCATCACAGAGTGAGCCATTCAGTTGGGTCAATTTCTCCACCTCCTCTGGATTTGAGCTCCCTCCTGCCTCCTCGGTACTCTTTCCTTTTGAGTCTCCTTTCCCTATCTCTTCCTTTGGTTCTACCGAGTCAGCTACATCATTTGGTTTACTTTCCTTTTTCTTCTCCTCATCATTCTCCTTCTTTTCCTTCTCCTTTCCTTTCACCTCTTTGTCTGGTTCCTCATGTGGTGTTTCCTTATCAGGCTTCTTCTCTTCTTCTTTCTTCTCTTCCGGCTTCTCTTCTGGTTTGTTTGTTTCCTGATTGCATGTGTCGTCTTGTGAAGACATAGAATCTTCACTACCCTGAAAACAAAATGTGTATAGAAAATATTAACAACAATACCAATGTGTTACCCTTTTTATAGCGTAATACATAATACATTCCGATGCGCTTTACATTAGATATCATAAAAAATAATACATAAATATGAAAGACAACCGAGAATTAAAACAGAAAGTAAAACATGTAAAACATAAATGAGCTGAAACTTCCTCTGCTTTCAGTTAAAAATATCTTCTGAGTACAGGGTCATATGATGCATATTTAAAACACCGTCACTATTCTTAATTTTCATAGGGTATCAGCGAAAAAAAGACACAGGAGCGGTGAGCAAGGTAACTTGAAAAAGAGCTTGTGTAAAAAAGAAACCTCACAATACTTACATATCACTGTGAAACAATCACAATTATACAATATCAAATCCCAAAAGAGCTCCCTTGAACATAAAAGTACATGTTTTACTCTGTGCGAGGGGGTATATGGTACTTATTGATTTACTCACCTGTAACCGAAGATCGGAGCTATCTTTATCATACCTGAAACAAAGAAGAGATTTATTACATTAAATAATATGTTGGTGTAAAAGAAATGTGTTTATTACTATAATCTGTTACCTTAAACACTGTATTCAGACAAAGTAGGTATATTGCTGATTAACATGCAACAGCCCTCAGGTTTTATGAATGTTAAATTTTGTAATGATCTCTATACGACCATTGCAGCATTGAAGGGAAATCAAACCATAAACCATTCCACATGGCCATGGTAAAGATAATATATGCAACTGGATTCCATACTGGCCACTCTTCTACTAAAATGTAATTCCATGGGCTATATCTGTTCCACATCATTATATACTTTGGAACACTTTCAGATTGTTATCTATCAAATGCATTTATATAGATAAGTAAAATACAAAGTAAGTAACAAATTTGCCCAGTATAGTTCATTACTTTAGTTCATCATTTATATATTTTTGATGACATCCATGATGTTTCATTATGGTCCAATAGTCATATAAAAATATCAGAGGTCAAAATGTCAGAGGTAAATATGTCAGAGGTAAAATGCCTGACGCTCAATTTCTAGTACAACTTGGGTCATGCCATTCAGAATTTGTTACATTATTATTAAACATTAGATAAATCACAAAATATTAGATTAATTACCATTTGTCAAACTTGTCCTTGGGATGGTCATCAAATTTGACCTTCCATTTGTCTCCACTGTCTGGCTTTCTGCTGACCTTTGCCACATGACCTTTGTGCCACTGACCCTTGATCAAGGTTTCAACTTTAATCCCCACTCCTTCCAGCTCTGTGTCTGTCTCACTGTTTGCATTCTGAACCACAGGAATTAAAAGGGATACTTCTTACCACAAATTATGCAACATGGTTTAATAAATGAAGAGTGCTTGGGTTGAAGGAGAGCATTGTATACAGAAAGCTGGTATCAGGTAATACACAGTGTTAGTCAAGGAAATGTGTTTTTCATGGTGCAAAGAGATGTTCTGAAGACCAGTCAGTTTCCTTTCCTTCAAACTCTAAAAAATTATGATTAAAGCCCCTTAGCTCCTAGCTAGTGTAAAACATTGGGCAGGCTTAACCCTTACTGTACTGAGCTATTTCGAGCACTCTCTGACTTCCATGATCTCGGCCGTCGAATGTCTGATGAACGCGAAAATTTGCATGTTTGTAGATATTTACGTAAGGAACAAGATGGTATAATTATTTTTTTCCTAATATGCACATTTTTGTCGTTTTAGCCTAATTAATTATGCATATTACAGAAAACTCTACATATTTGTCTGTAGACTTGTGAAGAATCTTGAAAATGTATTGAATAAATGTTTCCTTCACCTCAAATTCATGAGGTTCATTATTTTTCTGATTTTTGAAAATGCATAGGTTAATTTGCATAAATTATGAATACGCATTCATGAATATCAAATCTGGAAATATATATAGGGAACTAGAATCATTACAAAAATTGTCAGACTCCACTTTTTTAATGTTAATTGAAACCCATTATTCATATGAAACTTCTTTTCTAACACGAAATAGTTATTTGATGTAATTAATAATGATAATTTATGCAAATTTGATGCGATTTTCAACTATTTATTTTCTTATGTATTTTATTGTTTTTTATTTCTTATTATATCTATTGTTTTATTTCTGATGTATTCTTTTGTTCTGAAATACATCAAGTTACTTTAAGAAACATATAAAAGCAATTTGATATCAATTCATATCTTCACATTTCTGCTTGTACATGAATATATCAATTATAGCACTTTTTTGATGACATGCGCATACTAATTGTTATGTAACACCTTACAGGTATATCCGATTTCGACGAAAATGGTATCAAAATGTGCGTAAGACTTGAGGGAAACTAGATGGAACTTCGACTGCGCGCAGTCGAAAATGATGCCTCCGTCATAGAGCAATTTTACAAACCAAAACAGAAGAAATTTTTCAAATTCAAGTTCAATTGTAATCCATTAAGAGGTTCTCAGAATATCGTGATTACAAGCAATTTCTCATATACATATATGACCCTTTGATCTTTGACCTGATGACCCTAAAATCTACTCAGTTCATTGGCTCTGCAAGATGTCCTGAGTTAAATAGTAATCCATCTGTCAGTTCTAATGAGAATGCGTTCACAAGTTATTTTTGGATACATAATGAGCCCATGACCTTTGACCTCATGACCCATGAATCTACTCAGTTCATTGGCTCTGCAAGATACATACATGATCGAAATTTGGCAGGAATCCATCAATCTGTTCTAATGAGAATGCGATCACAAGCTATTTTTGCATACATAATGAGCCCTGTGACCTTTGACCTTTGACCTCGTGACCCCAAAATCTATTCAGTTCATCGGCTCTGCAAGATACATACATGACCAAAGTTTGGCAGGAATCCATCGATCGGTTCTTGAGATAATGCGATCACGAGCTCTTTTTGCATACCTAATGAGCCCTGTGACCTGTGACCTTTGACCTTGTGACCCCAAAATCTAATCAGTTCATCGGCTCTGCAAGATACATACAAGACTAAAGTTTGGCAGGAATCCATCAATCGGTTCTTCAGATAACGCGATCACGAGCTGTTTTTGCATACATAATGAGCCGTGACCTTTGACCTTTGACCTCGTGACCCCAAAATCTAATCAGTTCATCGGCTCTGCAAGTAACATACATGACCAAAGTTTGGCAGGAATCCATCAATCGGTTCTTCAGATAACGCGATCACGAGAACGGGACGTACGGACGGACGGACGGACAACCCGAAAACATAATGCCTCCGGCTACTTCGTAACGGAGGCATAAAAAGTCATGAAATGACAATTCAAAATTCTGAGCGGTTGCGGCGCGTTCTCCGAAAATGTCGAGGGGGGGGGGCCTCCCAGGCCCCCCTTCCCAGTACAGTAAGGGTTAAGCCTGGTTCAGGTATGACACAGAAAAACCACGGCACGTCACATTTCTGAATGAATCAGTCATCATAAGATATTTCCTTCCTTCAATATATTATTAAATCCTTAAAATTACACCTTCATTCTACATAAAATGCAAGCAGTTTTAAAGTGAACTCTTTTATAGGGATTGTTTTTTTAATGCTTATATGTGTATCAAAAGGATCAAGGATACACATTTCTCTCACACTTTGACCTTTTCCAATATTGTGCACTATTACTTCTAATAATAGTAATCATGAAGAGCACAAACTTTCTTTAACAAAAGGGGGATAAAATACTGGCAATGCTGCTCTGTTAGTCAAACATACTGATTTTTATACTATTTTGGAATGATACATGTGAAGCTTTTGAATACCTCTTGTATTTTAAAAATTGTATACATATATGTATTTTTATGCTGAGTGAATAACTTTAAAGGACAATTTAAAAAAAATCATGTAATTGAAAAAATAATCACATAGATTGCACTGAGTACTTTCAAGAGTTTTGATGCTACAAATATTTAATATGTGTTGCATTTAAAATAAATACAGGAGACTTATAGATATCTATTTTCTGTTACCTTCTCTGTTGTGTCTGCAGATTCCTGCGAGTCTTGAGACGACTCACTCACTTTCCTCTTCTTCTTAGGACTAGGCTCTACTGAGAGGACCGAGACCGAAGCTTGTGGTGAGCTTGAGATAGGGGCAGGGCTGGGGCGCTTGGCTGGGGCGATGGCAGCTGATCGCTTGGCGGGTTTGGGGCTTACTGGGCGCTGTTGAACAACGGGCGAAGCTTTACCAATGGGTTTCACCTTGGATGAAAACTGCTCGAAAAGAAATGAGAATGTTATCTTAGAATCAGCAGAATTTCATTCTTTAATTTCTATTGTTAATTTTTCTTAGAAAGTGTGATTTGAGGGTCAAAACTACAAAAACATGTAAATAATCATGAAATACTAATAGATTTGATGTGACTATTATTATTGTTATTATCACCATCATCATCATCATCATCATCATCATCATCATCATCATCATCATCATCATCATTAGTTTTCTCATTCATTTATTTATTTATAGATTGACAAAGACAAAATCAAGAAAAAAACTATGTCACAAGTTGTTTAGTCCTGTGAAGCATAAAGCCTCTAGCACCACCTTAAGCCATTATCGATGGTATAAGCTTTAAAAAGAAGATACTTGGACAATATCAGTTTTGTGGTGGCTGCCACCACGATTGAAAGGAGAATGCCTATAGCATGTTACTGCTATATAGGCATGACAATGAAACAATAAAACATGAGAGGAAATATCCAAGAACACCAATTCAAGGTAGAAAATGTCCTTATTCTTCTATACTCTTTTCATGATAATATGTGAATTTCATTTCTTGTCATCTACTTTTTGACACAACTATGATGGGGTCAAATTAAACCTCTTGAGTGCTGAATATTGACTTTACCTTCTTTGTGACTACCGGTAGCTCTTCTCTGGGCTTTGGAGCTGGTTTTGGTTGAGGCTTTGGTTGAGGCTTCGGTTGAGGCTTGGGCATCTGGAAGAAGTGTACAAGCAAATTTTACATCAGTGATGTTAGCAGTCAAATTAGTAATATTGCTAGCTGTTTATGCTTTAAAACCTACCCCCCCCAAAAAAAAAAAAACAACAACAACAACAACAAAACAAAACAAAACAAAACAAAACAAAACAAAAAAAACAAAAACAAAAACAAAAATTCTATGATTTTTTATCTCTTTGGATATGTTTACTAATGACTGAAGGGAGTATGCTGAGCATATCTCACTCTCACTCTTTTCTTCTTTTTTTTCCTTCTCTTCATTACAGCGCATAGGGACATATCTGTGACATGCCCTATATAAGTAGGGCATTTTATTATTATTATCAGTATGAGAAGTTGTTTCTTGCTCAGATTAACTTCAACATTATGCTTACTTTGACTATCAATATTATGTGTCCAGTATTCTATAGCAAATGAAAATGATTTCTTTTAATATCCTCTAACACCCCCAGTACGTTTGATGGGAAGTTTCTATCAAGTTGAGTCTTTTATATAACATTTTTTCATAAAGTCACTCTCCGTTACCATGCAAAATTAACAGCAAAAGCATTTAACATTTCCCCAACATGACAGTGCAACAAAAATGGCATGGTGTGATTTTTAGCAAAGAGCTCAGTAAAGGTGAATTTGGTCAGCATGCTCAAATGTCAATTTTATGTTTTTTACTGAAAACTTTCTTTTGTGTGATTAAAAGTTGTGTCCTTATATTACCATTTTTCCCTCGTTGCTGTTTTCAATTATTTACATCCGTATCTACTGGTGTCACCTTTGAATTAGAGTTAGCAGATGCTTTAATTCTTGGTCATAATAATGAGACAGACGTACTAAAATTAATGCAAAGTTTTAGGACAACCTGATAATCCCTTCATAACTTTTGTTTTCCTACTGAGTTTTAACCTTCTCTTTATTACACAATACCTTGTAAGTTAAGTGCTTCCACAGAGTCCTAACTTTTTTTTTTAAATCTCTCTAAATAAAAATTGATTCTGATGAGTAATAGATTATTTTATGGCAAAATTTCACTTAAATTGTATCATAATGTGAAAGAGATAAGATATGTGAAATATCTAAGATACATTTCTGCAAGGATTTTCAAAACAAAAGTGTTCTAAGTTGAATATTGATGAAAGAATCTGGGTACAACAGAAAACCCAAATTATGTATTCTTTCATCAATATTTGTCTTTAAACTCTTTTTTTTTTTGGGGGGGGGGGAATCTTTGCAGAAGTGTGTCTTAAATGACATCCTCTTTCACATTATGATACAATTTAAGTGTAATTTGCCATCAAATTTGAGGCGAATTTGGGGCTCCCAACCGTTAAAGAGGGGCTTTGAAGTTGAGAGTTTCCTATTTGAGTGTACATTTGAGTTTGGGTTAACGCCTCATTTTTGGGGTCCATTTTGATCAGAAAGGGGAAGATATAATTCCAAATAACTCACTGGTTTGGCCTTTCCTTTTGGAATGTGTTTGGGACTTTGTTTTGGAGTGTGCTTTGGGCTTGGCTTCGGAGTAGACCTTGCCATTTTCCTCTTCGGTTGAGGAGATGGTGGTGGAGAGGGCGATGATGGAGGAGAAGGAGAGCGCTGGCGTTGTCTTGAAGACAGCTTTTTGGTTCTCTGTATAAAAGGGAAAGGAAAGGACATAATATCAGACACATAATCAAAGTATATGGTAAGCATATTTCTTCATGAACCAACTGTGTTCACTTCATATTACCATATTTTAAATCTTCCCCAGGGAGTGGAGATGGTGCACATTGTGCGTGAATGAATCCAATGACCGAGGTAATAATCTACAATTCATATAATAATATTTAAGATTTTCAAAGTTACATGCAGGATGTCACTACAAACTTGCTGTATATTGCCTAAATCTGACACACAATGTTGGAATATCTGATAGACATAAAAAAGTTGCTTTTTCAGAGTTTAAAGGGAAAGTCCACCCCAAAATAAGTTTGTTTCGATAGAGGCAGAATAATAAGAAAATCAGGTGAGTGAAAGTTTGAGCAAATTCTGAATGAAAATAAGAAAGTTATGAATTATTGAAGTTGTGATCAATCAAATACAAATTGGCAACTCTGTGACTTATTATACGAGCTCTCCTTCATTTGCTTTGTGCATAATATTCCATAAAATCATGTTTTCTTCATTATTGATGACGGAATATATATTTGTTCCTTGCAGGGGGAGTATAGAAACATATTTGCAATTATTATATTTAGGGTGCATGTATGGTTGAAATTTTTCTTGAGGGAAAATGAAAATTTTAGATTTTTTTAGTACTGAGCAAATGGAAGTTGAGCTCGCATGATACGTCATAGAGTTGCCAATTTGTGTTTGATTGATCCCAACTTCAAAATTCCTAACTTCCTTATTTTTAATCGGAATTTGCTCAAACTTTCACTGACTTGTTTCTCTCATTTTTCTACTCCTATTAAAACTAACTTAATTTCAGGGTGGACTTCCCCTTTAATAGACTCTATCTAAATACAACACTTGAATATGAAGTTCTTTCCTAAATCCTCATTCATTATAGTTAGTATCCTTTGCAAATACACATTTTGCCCATGCACATCACAAAAATTTTCTACAATAAGAGAAATATGAAGGCAACATAGACCAAAATAGACACTTGAAGAAAAGGTAGTCATATTGCTGTATTATATTTGAACTGAGGATAATAAATGGATCAAAAATTTAAACTTGGTATAAAGGCATCTAACAGTTCATTAATACATGTAGTAACAAACAAAAACGACTTACTTCAATTTGTTGAAGCTTCTGCTGCTTCCTCTTGATATCCTGCAATAAAAATTTAGAAAACAGAAATTTTTTTTATCCACTAGGTTTGTTAATTTGGTGCTTGTTTAAAAACATATCAAATGTTACACAATGGTACTTTCTAAATTTTTTATTATTTTTATTATTTATTTTGCATTTCAAACATGCAATAGAAGGTACAATAGAATGGCAACATAGGATACAAAGTATGAAAGAATAAAGTAATATATTTTTCACATGTAGAAAAAAATCTGTCATCTGTCAACCCTACCCTTTAACAAAACAACAGTGAACAACCCCCTTAAAAGAACACCATCGCTTGTTAGCCCGGAGTTGAGGTAGTTTTGTATAGGGGTAGGTTTCTGGGGATAATTGTAACTGTCTTAGGAAGGGGATGGATGTACAATTTTGTTGAACACTAAAAGAGTGAATGTCCTCATCTAGTACATATCATACCCACCTCTTCAAGATCCTTCTGTTTTTCCTCTGCACTTTTGACCTCCTTCCTCATGGTTCCCGTAGGGATGGACAGCTTCCTCTCGGGGTTGCTGCATCTGTGGGTTGGAATGTAATGACATAGGTTTAGATGCAATCAAGATTAGTTGGAACGGAATTACATGGGTTTAGATGCAATCATGATGAATTGGAATGCGATCACATAGGTTTAGATGCAATCATGATGAATTGGAATGCAATCACATAGGTTTAGATGCAATAAATATGAATTGGAATGCAATCACATAGGTTTAGATGCAATCAAGATGAATTGGAATGTAAAGACATATGTTTAGATGCAATCAAGACAAATTGGAATGCAATGACGTAGGTTTAGATGCAATCAAGATGAATTGGAATGCAATGACATAGATTTAGATGCAATCACGATGAAGTGGAATGCAATGACATAAAATGTTTAGATGCAATCAAGATGAATTGGAATGTAATGACATAGGTTTAGATGCAATCAAGATGAATTGGATTGCAATCACATAGGTTTAGATGCAATCATGATGGATTGGAATGCAATCACATAGGTTTAGATGCAATAAATATGGATTGGAATGCAATCACATAGGTTTAGATGCAATCAAGATGAATTGGAATGTAAAGACATATGTTTAGATGCAATCAAGACAAATTGGAATGCAATGACGTAGGTTTAGATGCAATCAAGATGAATTGGAATGCAATGACATAGGTTTAGATGCAATCACGATGAAGTGGAATGCAATGACATAAAATGTTTAGATGCAATCAAGATGAATTGGAATGTAATGACATAGGTTTAGATGCAATCAAGATGAATTGGATTGCAATGACATAGGTTTAGATACAATCAAGATGAATTGGAATGCAATGAAATAGGTTTAGATGGATGCTATCAAGATAAATTGGAATGCAATGACGTAGATTTAGATGAAATCAAAATGAGTTGGAATGCAATCAAATTAGAATTGGATGCAAACAAACCTGACTGGGATGCAAACAAAAATGAATTAAAATGTGATAAACATGGAGAGGATTTCAAGAATTTGTACTGGGGTTTAGGGTCAAGAATACCGTGAGACCCAGGGTTGACGTTAGGAACTCAAATAGTATAGGACTCTTCAACACTTCTCTTTAGTTGCAGCTTTTCTACTTGATGTTCTATTTATTTCAAAAAAATAGGATAGCCTTATGTTTGATATTTCAATATGTATTTATCATTTGCTCTAGCTGGTGGTGGAATTCACTTTTATATTATTCAACAATTCTGATAGCATTGTGATAGCAAAGAGTGGGATGGATGGATGGATGACTGGATGGAAGGACAACCCAAGGAGAATAGACTGAATTACGAGCATATTCAAATTAGATGTATACTTTTAAAACAAAGGTTGTTCTTGCCCAAGACTTGCCCGGCACAGCAACAAGTAATGTATGCAGACTGGATTCCAGGTATTGTAGTTCATTAATTCATAAATAATGGAATAACTTGTTAGTAAACTGATCTACATGTATTTCTTCAGCAACACTGTGGGGAGACATCGACATGAAACATGCAAAAGGACAAGGGTAAGAAGTAGAAGTAATGCTACAAAAGCTGTATAAGGGTAAAGTGATGAGAGGGACAGAAGAATTATGACTATAATGGGAGAATGGATATGAAAAGAATGATGATTGTAAGCGTTTCTTACTTATTGAGGGTGGTATCCTTGTTCATAGAGCATTCCCAGTTGTCAGGATACTCTATCCCAATGGTACTGGTAGAGAATGGAAGCTGTCTCCATCTCAGGCAAGAATCTATCAAAATAAATTGGTACAAAATATTTCACTTGTCATGCATTATCATTATTCCATTTTTAGAACATCACAGATTTAGAACCTCCCACATGATTTAAGAAATGCCTGTAGCATAAGTCAAAGATGAAATATGTTTTCAGAATCTCCATGCTTTTATTTATTTCTTTGGTGTATTTTATTGCACATTTTGTCAGTGATCTTAACAACAACAGCAATAATGAACAAAATTCTTCCAATGTTCTGTTGAATCATGAGGGGTGTCCAAAATGTCCAAAATGTTTTTCTATGTTTTTCTAACAGAGAGAAATCTTACTACCTGCACTATCATTTTCATAGGGGAAAAACAAAAGAATGTACACTTATGTTTAATCGAGGAATTCACAACTATGAAACAGGTGCCTTAAGCTGTCAGATAATAAGCCATAATCATCATGTTCACACACTGTAAATACATGTTACAAAATGTAATGCCTCATATTTTTCTTGATAATGACCATAATATGAGCTTGAAACAGAAGTACGTGTAGAGAATAATTAAACTCACTGCATTGTATCATTGTTGGGAGTTGCATGGCTCGTTTCCTAATGAATTTAGCATCTTGTGAAGGAGGATCCTTCCAGTTTGCACTCACATAACCATAGCTCTCCCAGAACTTCAACACACCTTGGTTCACTGAAAATAACATAATAAATAACTTTAGGAAATAACCACATTGCATTTATTCTAGTTTCAGACTTATATCAACAAATCATCAGTCCTTAAAAATGTGTTGCTACTTGTGTAATCAAATACTTTTCACCCACCAGATCACTAATTTGTTTTACCTTCATGTTGTCAGTTTTAAATAGTATGGATAGGTTTAAAAAGTTATACGTTGTTTTTTATGTTGTTGTTCTTGAATTGTTTGTCTTTTAGTTTTGGTTTTGTTCTATTTTTATTCATTCATTTTCATTTTTTTGTCATTTTCAACAAAAGTCTTTAAATTTGTCTTCATTATTAATAATAGCTCACATTTATAATGTGCCTAATACTTTGTTTTTAGGCACAGCACATATTATTGATAGATTATTCTTACTTTGCCTTAAATCATTATTTGGTACATGTATAGAACTTGGCAAAAAATTGTCTATAATTTTACTCTTTTCATATTATTGTCTAGGCCAACAGAGCTGATGTGGAAATCAGTTCTGTAACAATGCTACCCTGTAAAATTAAACTACCAGCAACAAAAAAGTCTCAGGGATATGACAATGGCTATACTAAGGAAATAATGAACTGATTCTGATAAAAAAATACTCAGTTACAGTTGCTTGGTGTTCGACTTATTTTTGTTTAATAATTATTTGGCAGCTATTATATCTATCAAACCTACCTATATTGATATCTTTCCAGTACTGTATCATGTGTTCTCCTAGAGACTTGAGCAACAAACGATATTCTTTGTTGTCAGCAAAGTCCTGTTTGTTATGGGTTGGCTCTAATACTATGTAAGGAATGTTGACATAGCCTAGGACTCCGCTGCACATGCTGTATCACAAAATAAAAAAAGGGTATAACATATTTTTTAATTAAACAATACATAGTAGTACAAGATGAATGTGACTGCATCTCTAATATGCCTCTGTCCCTAAAGCATGTTCAATGATCCTGAAAACTTTAACATCTGGCATCACCAACCCCAATTTTTTTATTGAATCTGTTCATGCTCATATACTCAAGCCCAAATGGGACATAGTACCTTTAAAGCCAATCTTGAGCTCTGGTATGAGAACTGTTTGTCGAGAGAACATAGCTTTAATTCATTCCGGTTTGTTTATCCTGCAGTAGATTGATTGTTTGAACCAGTAAAATAAAAACAAACTCACAAAAACTTGCTGGAAATCATCTTTAATAAAAACCACAACTCTCATTTGCACATAGCGACTCGAGTTCAGCACATGGTGTTGAGATTACTTACCTTGATTTCCTTACATTTCCATGCTCATTATGTATTCCTTAATTGTTGTGGATTGATTTGTAATGTTTTGATGGAAACAGAAATAAAATTAAAAAGGAAAATTGAAATTGCTCAGCCCCTATACATTTTCTAACAAAATCGTTAAGCACATGTCATTCATTTTTAATCTTGAACACCCAGAGTGAGTTTTGTTGGATACTGTGAGAATTTATTTTCTATCATTACCAGAACTCAAGCTTATCTATAAGGGGTTAGTCACCCTAATACATATATACTTACACTCCCCCATCCTGCTGAGGCCCTACTTTCTCAAACATCTTTACAAGACGATCGCAGTTGTAGATGAACATCCCCTGCTGGCGTCGGTTCTCAATGTTGACACCAAAGATGAAGTCTAACGTCTTTGGTTCCTTCATCGTCTTCTGTTTGATATCAGCAACTTTATGTTTCAGCTCTGCCTCTTCTTTCATGTCTTGGGCATGAGCCTGTGCTTGCCGGAGCTTTGCCTGGATTAATGGAAAATAAGAGGAGGACAAATGATGAAAGAGAATCCTATAAGTCTAAGAAACAAGAAAGAAATTTGGACAGGCCAGATGAGTACTGGTACTCAAATATTGTGTCTCTCCCATACTTCTTTAAAGCCCCACTGTCCTACTTGTAGCTACTTGCTCCCTCTATATAGAAAACTTCCCCAATCGGTGCCTGTTGGTCCCCCATGATCCTCTATTTCTTATGTTATTTGAGAGCTGAGTTGATGAGATAGCCACCTGTCAGTGACCTCGCTGTGTGGTCTAATCCCTCCTAGCCAAACTAGTAATGACGGTCTCTAAAAGAAATTAATAAGCAAACTTTATAGCTTATAACTATTCATTTCAAACATCACTGCCTATCGTGCTTCAATGTGGATCTGGGCCAGTATTCGATTCAATACTTAAGTCAGAAATATGAGTATTTCACTCATCTTTCTGCTTAGATAAACTATTTAGCCAACTTCGGTATTCAATCGAAGTTGAAGTTTTAGCTAAGTATTTTACCCTAAGTTTAAGACAGCTCCCTATAAGGCCAATAATTTTGGAGGCCTTGATTGGTAGGCTTATGACTTATGCAGTTATCATTAGCTGTGCATAATCATACTAGTGCACATCTAATGGGAGGCCCTAATTGTGCATTAGTTTGGATTAAACATGTCATGTCACAATGCTTATTTAATAGTTTGGTACATAGATGGCTCAGGGAAATTCACTCTTTATTCAATAGTTTGGTACATAGATGGCTCAGGGAAATTCACTCTTTATTCAATGCGGATTCCTAATTGCTGACTTACTCGAGTATTCATAAGTATTCTGATGACTTACTTGTGTATTCACAAGTATTCTGATGACTTACTCAAGTATTCACAAGTATTCTGATGACTTACTCGAGTATTCTCAAGTATTCTCAAGTATTCTGACGACTTACTCAAGTATTATAACAAGTATTCTGATGACTTACTCTTGAGTCTTTGGTATTGATGTTCTTGTATTTCATCTCTAGTTCTTTGAGTTTACTCACAGCTTCTCTTTCATTCTCCTTAGCTGGATGAGAAAGGTAAGAAAGAATATTGAGACAGTTAATAGGGAATACAACTTTGTTGCAAATGTTTAATTTATTCATTTTGTATTCATTGTTATGCCTCAGCTTCTACCTTATGGACTACTAGTGACAAATGTCTACCAGTATTTTTTTAATAAACTATAATAAGATATACAGTAGGTTTACGGTTACATCATGTGAGAGGGGGGGGGGGGGGGGAATTGGGAGTCCTGAAAAGGAATGCTCAAGAATTACCAACAGTCCTTTTCAGGACTCCCCAATTATCCCCCTCTCACATGGCGTTACCGTAAACCTACTGTATATCTACATCTCCATACAAGCCGATACTTATATATATATCAAATTAAAGAATATTTATACTCTACCAACATCAATTAACCCATTGCATACAGGAACCATTTGGCTCCTATGTAAGCCTATGGGAATGAGAGAATTTAGAAGTCAACAGGTTAGATCAAGTTTTGAACTTTCACCCTTGGATGGACACATGCATTTAACCTCTCCCACCCTAAATCTAATAAATTCATCCTTGCATGCTCAAACATATATTTCATTTAAACTCGGTTTGAAATACTCTGAAGTTTTTCAATTTATCTTGATAACAATGTATTTTCTGGTATCTTTAAACACTTTAACAAATCTCTGACCTTTGCCCTTTGACCTCTTCCACCCAAAATCTAATCAGTTCATACTTGCCTGCTCATACATATTACATCTAACCTTGGTTGAAAGCTCTGTTGGCGGAGGTATAAAAAAAAGTATAAATGAAAAATAAACAAACCTTGCTTTGCTGCTTCTCCAGCCTTTGCCGCATCAGTCTCAGATCTCTTCTTGAAGCGATTTGAACTATATTTGTACAGCCTATAGGATAAGAAACACACACAAGATTAGGACATCATTTCTCTGGTATATTCATTACGTGACTTGCTGAAATCCTATCAATGAAACAAATAACAGTTGCAACAAACTTTAATCTTTCTACTATGGGGATGCCACACAGCCTACCTCATATTCACAAGTTGCTTCTGAAATTACTTCTGAAAGATTTCAGTAGAAAATTATTATTATTCATGGAAAGAAATTGGTATAACAACACTAAACAGATTAATCCTCACATTAAAGATGTCTTGATCTCTAATTCTACCCATTTTTTTATCAATCATGAAGAAAAATACATTTTACATTTTCTAGTAAAGTACTGATTTTACCTGTACATGCGACCTTCAACCTAATCCAAAGTCACTTGCAATAGTTTAAGACCACCCATACAAAATGCCTTAACTTTTAAAACACCAAACTTTGAATAGATTAATAATAAAAAGGTATTCACAGCTGCACAGCATGAGCTGTTGCATACACTAATATTTACATATACTGGCTCGATCTTTTGACAATTTGACAAGAACATAAGGGATTACATGTTCACTACAGGGGATGGCAGGTATTTTTATTAGATAATCGGTTTCTGATTAGAGAATGAGCCGTCTTCTAGAGAAGTCGGGCCGTGTACAGCAGGCTTGCTGCTAAAAGCGCTCTTGCTAATTTGACACTCAGAATTTGTTGTTGCTGCATTGCAGAAAATTTCATGTCACAGAAAATCTGACTTTGTCATAAAGCATGAATCACTTAAATGGAATCCAAGCACTACTTGATGATATTGAGCATAATGAAAAAAATATAATGTAAGCCTGGTAATAGAAATATCAATAAATTCCAGGTGGTCTTGAACTATTGCAAATGACAGCATACTAAGCTGTATCCCTATGTCTTTGACATATTTCACCTGTCAACCTCTCACAACAAAATTTAGGAATTCTCAAGGCAACATTAGGAATACAGTCTATTTTGTATACTTTTCACACAGAAAATTTCAGAAAAAGAAAGGAATCTAGGGTTCAAAACGATAGCTTGAAGGCCACCAAAATAGGAAACATTCCTGCAAATTAGGAATGGTTGGCAGGTATGATATTTCCTGGAGCAAAATAAACATCTCATTTGTCCTTTGTGTCCCGTTTTGTCATTCTTTTCTTTTTGTATTTTTTTGTTTTTGATTATTTAGATACTTTAAAATGGTTTACGAAAATATGTTATTATATTATATCTATTTTACTGTGATTATTAAGACTCTTTAAAATGATTTATGATAATAATGTTCATATTAAATTTGTTCTTGGGAACCTACAAAAACAAGCTATGCTTTCCAGTAGGTTCCTGTTTCATTTCATAATTTTGATCTTACTTTGTCAACTATATTCTTTATTGTGCAAACAATTGTTATATGAAATGAATAAATAAAATCAATCAACAATCAATTAATCTCCTAGAAGCTACCATAGAGAATGCTTCTATACCTTACCTTGGTTTATACATGACATATGTGAGTTTCCGTGTCCTCACTTTGCGCCCCTGGATGTAGATCTTCATCTTGGGTTCAGCATATAATATTCTTGCATAGGCCCGAAAAGAGTACCTTTCTGGGTACATGCTAAAAAAAAAAACATGACAGAGGCATCGTTAAAATTCAAAATGTGTAAAATCTTATCAAATGTTATAGCTGTGGCTTCTTGATATCACTCATGCTGAACACTCTTCTTTTTAAAATCTTATCTTTATAGTGTACTGCCACTTTGTAACAACTGTTTAGCTCTGACTCATGACAGTAATGCTTCCATATAAATAATTTGTCATATCCATCCCATTCAAGCTTACCCATTGTCGTAGGTGATATCCTGTGCATTAACACCTCCCATCAAAATGTCTGTGTCATCAGAAAATACATCAAGTTCTGGTTCTCCATTGTCTAACAGCTTCATATGATACACAACGACAAGAGTACCTGCAATGAGAATGTGGGATAGCGTGAGTCAATGTATAGACAGCCACAATATTGAAAACTTGGTGCTCATGGCCTTTTCTCTAAAATTTGTTTACTTCTAACCATCAAACTCCTTGAAGAGACTGTTGTGATATAGCGAGTGAAGCAAAGTAGTGATAGAAATGCAATTTTTGTATAAAAGATATAAAATATATATCGGCACCTGGCTGTCAAATAGAATGATTTTTGGACACTTCGATGCCAAAATATATAGGTATTCAGGCATTTTGCTCCCTGAAGTCATCCTGTTTCTGAATAATGCGAGCGAGGAAATACACTTTTTATCTGTAAAATGCTATTTCCTCATAAAGGAACGTACTCTGTCCTTTCACAAAATCGATGTTATGCCAAAATAATATTTTGAGGTTACTAAATTTCTCTGGCAGCACCCCTAGAGAGATCTTGCAGCACCCTGATTGAGAAACGCAGGGTTAGACTGTTGCAGCATTCCATTGCACATAGGGAATCAAAATAATTTCATCTGAGAATAAAGCCATATCATTAACGGAAGAGATCGGAAGGGGGGGGGGGAGGGACAAAATTGACCCCCATACCCTGTAAAAAGTTCTCTCTCACCACAAGATGCTAATTAAATCATTCCAACAAAAGATTCATCTCTTGTAGAAAGAAATTACACAGTGAAATGTGAATATGCCTACCTGAGTTTTTGATCTGTCTGAATTGCCTAAAGACTTCCTCCTCTGTATGGAACGGTGAGTACTTGAGTATAATATCCATTTCTATTCGATGCTGCAAAACAAAGTTTCCATAATATTACCACAACTTGTAGCCAACTACAGATTGTCATAGACATGGTGCCTAGGGTGCAAATTAAATTTGTTATTATATAGAATAAACATTGTACAATTAATTTCGATTGCCACTCAGTCTACTTTCTATAACAGAGGGTACCTTACCCTAAAAGAGGACCAGAAATTACCACCATACCGAAAGATAGTATCTCACTGGGCTACGACTGTTTGGTGTAGGTGAAGGTGGAGTGAGGAGAAAATGCCAAATCTGCTTTGGAATGTGTACCACTCACATTACTAGCCATCGATTTGTAGATGCAGATAAAATTTGCTTCCTATTGTCCCTTTCAAAATGTAGACATAATCAGATTGAAAGGTGTGTGGTTAAACAGAAAAAGCTGATAGAGATGAGTTTTTTTTAAAATATAACAACTTACAAGTTACCTATTTTGAGCTTGTAATAGTGTAGACCTGACTAATCAGAGACAAATTTTCAAATTTTTGTAAAATCTTGGTAGACTTGCACATACACATGGTCCCTATTTATTTAATATTTTCAATATTCGTGTTTATTTTCAGCTATTCACATTAGAGAAAATGAATTTCTAAACACGTTGCAAAAACTGATAATAATAAAATTAAAACTAGATGGAATTTTGACTGCGCGCAGTCGAAAATGATGCCTCCGCCATAGAGCAATTTAAACAAGTTTGGAGTTTAAATCTCCAGTGGTTCTTGAGATATCATGATAACAATCTCAATGTATGGAATTTCATAAGTTGACCTCTGTGACCCTTGACCTTTGACCTACGTGCTCCAAAATCTAATCAGATTGTCTTCCTATGGTGATACACACTATCATTAAGTTTGAAGTTTAAATCTCCAGTGGTTCTTGAGATATTATGATATGGTGATACATACTATCATTAAGTTTGAAGTGAAAATTCTCCAGTGGTTCTTGAGATATCGCGATAACGATCTCAATGTATGGAATTTCATAAGTTGACCTCTGTGACCCTTGACCTTTGACCTACGTGCTCCAAATCTAATCAGATTGTCTTCCTATGGATACACACTATCATTAAGTTTGAAGTTTAAATCTCCAGTGGTTCTTGAGATATTATGATAACAATCTCAATGTATGGAATTTCATAAGTTGACCTCTGTGACCCTTGACCTTTGACCTACGTGCTCCAAATCAAATCAGATCGTCTTCCTATGGTGATACATACTATCCTTAAGTTTGAAGTTTTTACATCTCCAGTGGTTCTTGAGATATCATGATAACAATCTCAATGTATGGAATTTCATAAGTTGACCTCTATGACCCTTGACCTTTGACCTACGTGCTCCAAAATGTAATCAGATTGTTTTCCTATAGTGATACACCAGGGAAAAAATTAATATTTATTTTTCGGGGGCTACTTTTCAAGTTTGCCTGCATGAAATTAACACTCTAAAATTTGTTTTGCATTGAACTCTATGCAAATTTACAGGGGCTCTTTTGTGATTTTCGAGGGCTCTTTTGAGCATTTTGGGGGCTATTTCGCCCTGAGCCCCCGTGTATTTTTATCACTGCGATACACACTATCACTAAGTTTGAAGTTTAAATCTCCAGTGGTTCTTGAGATATCATGATAACAATCTCAATGTATGGAATTTCATAAGTTGACCTCTGTGACCCTTGACCTTTGACATACGTGCTCCAAAATCTAATCAGATCGTCTTCCTATGGTGATACATACTATCCTTAAGTTTGAAGTTTAAATCTCAAATGGTTCTTGAGATATCGCGCTAACAAACTCAATACAAGGAATTTCATAAGTTGACCTCTCTGACCTGTGACCTTTGACCTACGTACTCCAAAATCTAATCAGATCGTCTTCCTATGGTGATAAATACTATTCCCGAGTCTTAAGTTTAAATCTTAAATGGTTCTTGAGATATTGTGATAACGGTCAAACGGGACGGACGTACGGACGGACAACCCAAAAACATGATGCCTCCGGCACCACCTTCGGTGGCGGAGGCATAAAAAAACATGTTCATAACTTTTAGTTATCCATCAACAACTGCTATATAATATAATCGAGCCATTGAGACAAGATATTTACCCTTTCTTTCTCTGCAGCGGAGGTACCAATCAGTGGTGTTCCCGTGACGGCATTGAATGATGGCATCGGGACAATGACTTCTTCTATCTTCTCCTGTTCATGGAATGTCCTTGAGAGCAAGAGACAGCTCATTGTGTCGCCCTTCTTGGTGAAGAGGATGAAGTCACGCCCTATTCGCATCGTACCCCTATGGACCAAAGTCAGAAATATTTGGTGGGCATATTTCTTATTACTCTTTAAAAGGGGTGTAAACTAACGAATACAGGGGAACGCCATCTACGTCTCCTTTGGACAACTACACGTAAAGCAATGGACTTGATTAACTGTAATCAGCGACCTAATCTCTACATGGTCAGCGTTCTCGAAACAGACCGAATTTCTATAAACCAATAATACATGATACAGTCAAACCTGCTTTAGTGACCATCTGTCTACAAAGCCATCAAGACCACATTTTTATTTTCCCTTGAAAACGGTTTATTATTGAAATATGTACCAAATGAACCTGTACATACAGACCACATGCCTATAAAGACCACTTTTCTTGTCTCCCTTGAGTGGTCTTTATAGACAGGTTGCACTGTGTTTCACTATATAATAGGGGATATGCACTGCACTTAGTTAAGTCACAACGAGAAGGACGATTAAATGATCATCATCTCCCTCATTATCTTATTGTGACTTATGCAGTGTATCACTGGTGCACTCACAAACATTAGTTCTTTGTATAATATACTCACGATTTCAGTCCATTTCCATACTGGCCTATCAAGTTTCCATCAAGCAGTCTCTTAGATGACCTTCCAAACTGGATTATGGATGCAGTATCATCTGTAGAAATCATATTCATAAAAATTGTTCCATTATAATTATCACGTGTATGTCCATTGATAAGAGATCTTGTGACCTTTAACACCTGACCTCAGTATGAACCCAAACTTTTCTTTTAATCTACATACTTGAGCCCAGTTTGGTTGACAGTGGTTCAGTTTTTTGTAAATTATTACAGTGGTAAGATATTTTCTCATATTTCAAACACTTTTATGACCCTGTAATTTTTCACCTTTGACCTCTTACACATAAAATCTAATAAGTTCAACCTTGTATGCTCATTCATATTTCATCAAAATTAGGTTTGAATTGTTTTAAATTAATGCTTTTCAAATTATAACGGTAACAGGATATTTTCAAACATTTTTCAATATTTATGACCCTGTGACCTTTCCCATCCAAAATCTAATCAGTTCACCCTTGATGGTTAAGATATAAAATGATTAAGATAAAGAAGAATTTACAATAAAAATGTAATGTTCATGTATATAAACATGAATAACCTTTGATCTTTGACCCTTGACCCCAAACTCTGAGTTAATATATGTCACCATGGTAATGCATAATAGTACCACGCTTGAAGTTCATGGCTCAGATGGTTCCTGAAATACTGCGATAGAGGCTAAAATCAAACCTGAAATTTCATGTTGACCACAATGACCTCCGAACTTTTTTACCTACTTGCCATTACCCCAAGACCCAGTTTGACGTGCATTGCTGTAAAATAATGTTCTCCTACATATCTATTAACCTCTTAATTTCAAGTCTTCATCCATATTTTGCATGAACTCTTTGTTTCCGTCTGTACTTACTTGGGTCCATTCCTGTTCCATCATCGAGGAAACATAATACGTAGCCACCTCGCATTGTCGCATCAAATTCTGCAGAAATAAAGAAATGATTTATAACTGTAAGGTCAAAATCGAAGTTTCACGTTTAAGGCCGAGAGACCCGTAACTATTAGGGACTGGAACAACCTTCCTTCTTCAACTACGGGGGGGGGGGGGGGGGGGGGGGGGGGGGGGGGGGGGGGGGGGGGGGGGGGGGGGGGGTAGTGAGCACATTTTTTTTTTTTTGATCCTCAAAAAAATTTCAATTTGCACCCCCCCCCTTGAGCGCCAGGGGGGGGGGGCCCTAACCCTCAAAAAAGGTAAAAATCACATGATTTTACATGATTTTTTTCTCAAGGGGGGGGGGGGGGGGGGGGGGGTGGGGGGGGGGGGGGGGGGGCCCGGGCCCCCCTGGATCCGCCACTGGTGGGGGGGAGGGGGTGGTGGGTGGTGAAGGAGTAATAATTGGTTTGGATACAGTATGCATAGTATGGTTTAATATAAAATGTGTATAATTAGAATCAAGTAATAACAAAGCAAATTATATCACAATTAAAATACAGAGAAAGAATCATTGAAATATCTAGGTATGAATTGAATGAGTAATTATTGTGAGTTTTAAAATGAACGGGAATTCTATATTCAATGTTAGAAATCATGCAAAGCCATACATATTTTCAACAATTAGATTGATGACCAATTGTGGAGAGCAAATTTATTTGCAAGCCTTACGAAGTATATATGCTAGCAATTGTTTATATGACAATAGGTGTATAACATTACTTGTTTTAAGACATGCGTTTTTACTTTTTTCCTACGAACTGTGACTTTTTACAAAGAAACATTTTTGAAAGTTCAGACAATAATAAGAGTTGGTACGACAAATCGTCTTCTTTCTCTAATAATTTAATGAAACGTCAAGGTTCCGCACGGAAAGGAAAACTGAATTCAGACAAAGATGTCGAAACAGTACAACGAATCGTCTTCTGTCTCTAATAATTGATAGAAACGTCAAAACTTCCACGCGAAGTGCGTGAGGGGGGAACTGAATTCAGACAAGGATTAAGAGCCGAAACGGTACAACGATCCGTCTTCTTTCTCTAATAATTGAATGAAACGTCATAGCTCCTGCGCTTCGCGCGGGAGGGGCGAAACAAGAAAAGTCTGGAACGGTACAATGAATCGTCTTCTTTCTCTTATAATTCAATGAAGTGTCAAAGCTTCCACGCGGGAGTGGGAAACTGAAAAATAACTTAGTTCCATGGCCCAGGGTTTATAGGGTTAAATGTGTAGACATTGGGACATTGACATTAAGATATATGTCGGTAATTGGTGGCTAGTTTGGTCGGTGGCCTCTACCTCCCCCCCCCCCCCCCCCCCCCCCCACTGAAAAAGGTCTAGCGACGCTCTTGATAACACAGTTTAAACACTCGAGATAATTTTAGCAAGTATTACTGGTGAAGTACCAGACCACCGTCTTTTTTTTCCAATGTGCAGCAACGAAGCATATACAACGTCTCGCGACGTGACAGATCACTTTTCTCTAACTTCTTACCAATCAGAAGGCCTCGTTTTTTTCCAGGAAGTGCCGGTGGACATTAATGCGCTAAATTTGGTTTTCAAATTGCAAAAGATCCCTACTCTTAGAGGGGGTTGGAGAAAGCAATTTTACGTCATATTACTCCAGGAAGTGCCTGAAATGCGTCTAATGTGGTTCTAAAAATTGTAAATGCTTCCCACTTTGCCCCTCCCAAACCCACCCCCGCTTGGTCGCTCCGCTCCCTCGCCGCTGACGCCTCGCTCCATCGTTTTTCATATATTTCACCCCATGCGATTTTGTGCCACCCCCCCCCCCCCCGGTAAGAAATTCCTGGATCCGCCACTGAACCCTGTGAGCTTTGATATTTTCTACCCAAAATTTAAACATTCAATAGTTTTCAATTCATTGCGGTAACGAAAAGCGGGACAGATGGATGGACATGATAATTTATGTAAAATTAGTCAGTTCTTCGTGTAACAGTTTAGAAAGATCAGAAACATCTCCGTAGTTGGCGGGAAAAGTTGTTCTTTTCCTTGGTTTCGAGTAACGGACCCCTGATCTCTACGAAAAATATCTGTCATAACGTTATCAGTCATGTCATTTATTGGGTAGACAAAAGGACCATACCCTTTGAGAAATCCACTAGGGACTTTTCTAGAAACCGACGACAAGACAGTTTTCGTTGTCCGCCAACTACGGACATGTCTCTGATCTTTCTAAACCATTTCACGAAGAGGTTACTGTTACTAGCTATACATCTCATGATATCGACACTATCAGCGAGAATACAGGAACTGTGGCATAGCGGGTCGCATAAACGGATTACGATGTTGGCCCGATGTCAAGATTATTATGTTGACTCGACGTCGGGAAAAATGATATTGGGCGGGCGGACATTTAAACAACGGTCCAACTTCACAATTTGATGTTGGCCCGACGTCCGATGTTGGGTCAACCTTGGCCTGTCGGACACTTTAACATCTAGTCAACGTCAGAATTATGTTGACCCGATGTCAGAAACTGATGTCGGTCCGACGTCGGAAAAAAGACGTTGGGTCAGCAATGGGCTGGCCGACATTTTAACATAGGGTCAACGTCAGAATTATGATGTTGACCCAATGTCAGAATCTGATGTAGGTCTGACGTCGAAAAAATAACGTTGGGCCAACATTGGGCTGGCGGACATTTCAACATCGGTCTAATTTCACATTTTGATGTTGGCCCGACGTCGTGAAATGATGTTGGGCCAACATTGGGCTGGCAGACATTTTAACATCTGGTGAACGTCAGAATAATGATGTTGATCGACCTAATGTCAGATATTCTGATGTCGGTCCGACGTCGAGAAAATGACGTTAGGCCAACATTGAACTAGCGGACATTTTAACATCGGGTCAACGTAAGAATTATGATATTGACCCAATGTTAGAATCTGATGTCGGTCTGACGTCTGAAAAATAATGTTGGACCAACATTGGGCTAGCGGACATGTTAACATCGGGTCAACGTCAGAATTATGATGTTGACCCAATGTCAAAATCTGATGTCGGTCCGTCGTTGGGAAATGACGTTGGGCCAACATTGAGGTGACAGATTTTTTAACATCGGACCAACGTCAAAATTACTAGTGATGTTGATCGACCAAATGTTAGATTCTGATGTCGGTCCGACGTCGGGAAAATAACGTTGGACCAACATTGGGCTAGCGGACATTTTAAAGGTAAAGACCAGTATTGGAAACGCCCCAATTTCAAAAAATGAAATGGAAGCTCTCATTACCAATCATGTGAAAGAATATGTTTTGACTAATACATGATGATAAAAAATTTGCCGGGAAACCGCCTACTAATTCATATATTTGGTAAATTTGTTTCTCTCATGGTCTGTGAGAGATATAGGGTAGTCCCATATACATATTTCTGTGTATAGTGCTTGTAACTTTACTAAGAATGGGCCAAATTTCTTATCATTTTGATGATTCCAGAACCTTGCAGATGCTAGATGCTAGATGATCAATCTTTTCTGATCGATTCCTTTCACAATGCAATCGCATGACCATAACTGGTCTTTACCTTTAACATCGGGTCAAGGTCTAAATTATGATATTCAGAATCTGATGTCGGTCCAACGTCGGGAAAATAACGTTAGACCAACATTGGGCTGGCGGACATTTTAACATCGGGTCAACGTCAGAATTATGATGTTGACCCAAGGTCAGAATCTGATGTCAGTCCATCGTCGGGAAATGACGTTGGGCCAACATTGAGGTGGCGGACATTTTAACATTGGGCCAACGTCAGGTTTATGATGTTGACCTAATGTCAGAATCTGATGTCGGTCCGACGTTGGGCAAACATTGGGCTGACGGACATTTTAATATCGGGCCAACGTCAGAACTATGATGTTAACCAAATGTCTGAATCTTATGTTGGCCCAACGTATTTTCTCGACGTCGGGCCAACATTAGGCTGGTGGATATGTTAACATAGGGCCAACATCAGAATTTATATCTTATTATCATACAAAATATAATTTTCGAGTCCACTCCTGGTCTCAATGCCATTTTTACTTCAACTGATAACAAAATGTAGGACATAAGTTAGATACTTATAATAAAAATGATCTAAAACCTTGACCTAAGCAGCAATCTAGGCCCATCTCTCAGGTTATAGTTCATCCAGACGTTGGATAAAGCCCTCCTTCTGAGCAGCTAACAGCTATAATATAAATCGATTATATTTTGGAATGGTAAACATTTTCAGGACATTATGGGCTTGTATAATCGCTTTGCTCTGTTTTCTCTTGTTATTGTGGGTTTTCCCCCCTTTTCAGTCTTTGAAGCGTATTCATCCCATCACTAATCTTCATGGCCAATATATATTATTATTGTCTTTCATTCCATTACTATTCATATAAGACTCATTTGTTGGTGTTTTATTTCTCGTGCTTGGTTTTGTTTATTATCATATTTATTGATTAGACATGTCGAAAAACTTCATGCAGGCGCTGTCGTGTTCTACGTGCCTTTTAAAAACGTGAAGACCCGTGCGTCCAACGAAAGGATTTTCTACGAAATATGATGGTCATATACGGCAGACCCAGTGAGGTGCACCGCTGGTTTGGACCATGGCTTTAATCAGGACTTTATCGTTTTAAGCATCACTTTCATAATCGTTTATAGACAAACCCAAATTTCACAGGAGTAGAAAAAATCAAGAAGAAGTTGCTTTTCAGACCTACCGGAAAGTATCCGGATTCGACAAGGAAAAAGTGTAGCGGTAAGCTCAAAGATTCATACCAGAACACGTATGAGAAACGGCGAGGACACCGGTGGAAAGGCCCCCCCCCCCCTCCAACCCCGTTTGACAATAGAATACACTATACAAAACCCACCTTTGTTCTCTCATGAATGATGTTTGCACCGGTGTGATGTCTTGCTGAAACATTCAGCAATTGCTTGTTGACGGCAAGAAAAAGGTTTTGAGTACGAGCAAAATGTAATGCATATACG